GCCTTTGGGGCCATTAAAAAGCCCTGGGGCCTCAAAAGGGGGTGGACTTCCTGCACGGGTTTGTAATCAAGGTGGAACGGGGGGGGGAACAAATTTTTTTTTGTGTGGAGGGGGCCATGGAGGGGGGTTCTTAGGGGAAGAAAAAAAAAAACGCGGGCTCGTTTAATTTTGAAGGGGTCTTTCCAAGGGGAGGGGGGGGACGGGGGAACCTCCCCCGAGCCCTCCCGGGTTGGGTCACGGGAAGGTTTGCACCGGGCCACGCCAAAGGCTTTTTGGGGTTTCACTTTCCACCCCTCGGGGGGGGAGCTGATGGGGGGGGAAATCCAGGGGGGGGAGGAGGGGTACAGGGACCCGAAGGCCCGCCCTGCCGTTTCCCTCCTCCCCGCTCCCGGGGGCACCACCATTCCACGGAACCACCGCCCGCCATTTTTTGGCCCCCCCCCCCCCCCCCCTTCGCCGCCGCCGCCCGCGAAGGTGCACTCGCTCAAGGGGGACGACTTCGGCGACGGCAACCTCGGCCTCACCGGCCTCGCCCTCTTCTTCTCCACCTCGCTCTACGACGGCCTCTGCAGCCAGCTCGGCCTGCCCGACTTCGCACTCGCCGCCGCCGAGCGGGCCCGCGTGGGCCGGCTCTCGGGGTCGATCCGGTGCGACGCGACCAAGCTGTCGAGCCACGCCTCCTCCTCCGCCGGCGCCTCCCGCGAGAGCTGCTGCGGCGAGGAGCCGGCGGTCACCGCGGCGCAGCTGAACGCCGCCGCCGCGGCGGGCGACGTCGAGCGGCTGCGCGAGCTGGTGGGAGAGGGCAAGGACGCGGGCGCCGTGAACGCCGACGCGAGGTCAGCGCTGCATTTGGCCGCCAGCGAGGGCAAGCTGGACGCGGTCCGCTTCCTGGTCGAGGAGGCGCGCGCCCCGCTGGTGGGGCGGGACCGGTGGGGGGCTCTTCCAGGCTCGAGGAGGCCGAGGGGAGGGACACGTCCATGACATGTCGGCGACACGTCCCGTAGGTGGGGCCGCACGCCGCTCGAGGAGGCCGAGGCGCAGGGGCACGCAGAGGTGGCGGGATACTTGCGGAGGCACGGAGGCGGCGCAATCACCCCCGCAGAGGCGAGCACCCGCCAGAGGCTTGCCCTCCCTCGTCACGCACACACGCGCACGCTGTGACGTATTACGCAGGCGACGCTGCACCGCACTCTCGAGCGGCGCCGCAGCGGCCTGGCCGAGAGCATCGGCCTCGCCGACCTCCCGCTTGAGCTCCTCGCGGCCGGCGAGGCGCCGCCCTCTTCTCCCTCCTACTCCCTCCCTCCCCCGCGCGCTTCGGCAGCCCCCTCCGTGCTGCTGCAGCCTGCATCGAAGGCAGCCACTCCTCTGTGGCCACGGTAGGCCGGGGCGGCAGCGAGGAGCGAGGCCGGACTGCCAGAGCCCCCGCCGGCCCGCCCGCCGACCGCCTCTCCCGCCGCGCCCCCGTCGTTGCGCCGGGCGTGGCAGAGCTCGTCAGCGGCCCATCGGCGCTGTTGCTGGGACCTTTCCGTGAGCCTCCTCGGAAGCGTTCCATAGGCAGAGCTCCACGCTGCTCGTCGGCGCGTCGGAGCAGCGCGAGGCTTCGGCGCCGCCGGCCAGCCTTGGGAGGGTGCACGCGCGGCTTGCCGAGCTGCTCCTCGCCGGCGGCACGCCGACGCAGACCGAGGGCGAGGCGGACGTGTTTTCCGCCGCCTACCACCTCGTCTGCGCCGCGGCGGCAGGCGCGCCGCACGCCGCCCGTGACCCGAGACTGGAGCATCTCCGCTGCACCGTCCCACCTTCTCGGAGCTTTCCTGCAGGCGAGCCGCGTGCCCTCCGCGACTTGCGCTCGATGCTGCGCGGGCTGACGGGCGACGAGGTCCTTCCCGGGGTGCAGCTCGCACCGCTTTGCACCGAGGAGGAGCAGTCGGCCGCGGCCGCGGCGTGCGCCGCCCTCGGGCCGCTCCTCGCCTCGGCGGGCGACGCTGCGGCTCTGCTCGACTTCGCGGAGGCGGAGCGGGCGAAGGGGGAGCTGGCCGGCGCGGAGGAGTGGCTCAGGGGCGCAGTGGAGGCGGTGCGGGCGGGGGGCGCGTTTGGCGACGCCGTGCTTCACTCGTGCCTCAAGCGCCTCTCCGAGGTGCAGCTGGAGCGGGGCGAGGCGGCCGAGGCAGCGGCGACTCTAGCGGCCGCCGCCGAGGCGGCACGCGACGCCGGCGCCTTCAAGCTGGGGATGAAGTGGGACATGGAGGCGACGGCGATGGAGGAGTGAACAGCTGCCCCGGGGCGGCACCGGAAGGCGCTGCTGGGCTGTGCCGCACGCTGCGGATTGTGAGACTAAGCCCTCTACGACTGGACGTATGTGGCGCCGCAGCTGAGGGAGATCAGCAGTTGGTCACAACAGTTTGATATTTGTGCGTCCAAGGGAGCGGGCGCCACCCGTGTCGTGGGCAGTTTTCACGTCGTCTCTTCAGTCTCCCGACGTCTGCAGACTTGACATATTTATATTGGCTATGTACTACGTACTGTGATCTGTGTACAAAATCTGTTTCACTGTGCGAGAACCGAGGAAAGCGAGATCTCCCCAAGCCGCAGTGGGCAGCCTCACACCCAGGGCCGCTGGGCCGGGGAGCCGCCAGCGCTCTCTTTTGTGAATGCGCCCGGGGGGTTGTGCGTTTGCGGTGAATCCAGAGGGCTCGCACCCGTCCTCTGGGGGGGCGCGGGGGCCCCCGGAGGCACCGTGCGCCGCGCAGCAGTGCGGAAACGGGGCTCCGGCTCCGTTAGTCTCCGTTAGCACCGACTTCCCGAATGATTACGGTTGATTAGAGGGCAGATTTGGAGAGATCTCGAGGAGTACATACAGATAGACCCTCCAACCATCAGAAAACTCCGACCTGCGGTCGTACTGACCGCCGACAGATCACTCCAGACAGCAGACAGGCCGACGTCTGCACGCGGCCGGCCGGGCGAGAGGCTTGACACGATCCGACCCTGCGAGACCCTGACGCTGCTGCTCTAGCTATCAGACATGCACTGCTGACTGCTGCCACAATGTGCGACCGGTGCTGGCCCACTTGGCGGCCTTCCCGGTCAGTGGTGAGGCGCAGTTCAGAGCTGTCGATGGCACGATGCCGCACTGGTCCCACATTGGTAACACGAGACCACCACGTTTTCCGGTCCAAGAGAGAGGCACTGGTGCTGTCCTGAGAAGGTGCGTGGTCCCTCTTGACTGCCCATGCGCGCGAGGCTGTGTAGGCATAGCCTCGAGAGTGCCAGCAGCCAATCTGAGGCAGTTTGTGACGCGCATTGCGTCAGAAGCGTGCACGCGCTGGAAGGACACCTTCCTACTGGCCGTACGATCAGGTCGTCACTGAATGCTTGATACTAAGGCCGCGAGCTATGCAGGTGATCAATTGTGCAGCATGGCACGGTCAGCAGCGCCGACAGGCTGTCGCCGCAAGGCGTGATAGCATGGCCGCAAGTACGCCGAATTCATGAAAACAAGTGAAAAATGGCGCAAAAAAATCCGAAAAAAATCGTGCGGCGGGCCATGGGACCCCATCTTCCCCCCGCATGGATACCCTCTAGGGCCCCCGCGCCCCCAGAGCACCCGTCAACCTCTCATAGACCAGCGCAAAGCGCCATAGGACGTATTTCTTGTCAACAAGGTCTGTGAACCCATCCCCAGGGCCTCCAGGACCAGGGCTCGCACCTCAACCTCTCACAGACCAGCGCACAGCGCCATAGGACGTACTCGAGTATTTTCTTCTCAATAACAAGGCTGTGAATGCCGTCTAGCGCGCGCGATAAGGTCTTTGCTCGCCTTCCCTGACTCCGTGTTGCGTGACTGTCTCTGTGCGATTTCGGGCCCGGGCTTGTGCGTTTTATGTGAAGACCAGCGCATAGCGACCCAGGACGTATTGTCTTCTCATATAACATGCGTGAATGCCGGCGCTTCCGCGTTGTGTCCAATCCTGGCCCCCGGGGGGCCTGGCCTTTCGCAGGGTGGGCTGCGCTGCGGTCGTGGGGTTGCACGGCACCAGCGATCGCAGACTCTCCCCTCATGCCTCTGCTCCAGCTGGTCCGGCACGCCGAGTCGGCCAACAACGCGCTCTACAACGAGATCATCTCCGAGTGTGGTGGAGCCGCGGCGGTGGCCTCCGACCCGAGCCTGCAGCGGCGCGTCGACGAGGAGGAGGCAAGGCGGCGGTCGAGCGACCCGCCACTCTCCGCGCGTGGCCTCGAGCAGGCTGCGCGGGTCGGTGAGCACCTCGCGGGAGAGAATCTCGACTGCGCATCGACGCTGCTGGTCTGCTCGCCGATGCGTCGGGCCCTGCTCACCGCCGCGCCGATTGCCCGCGGGCTCAAGGGTGCTGGTGTCGCCAACCTGCGCGTGGAGTGTCATGCGCAGTACTTTGAGGCTGGCGGCTGCCACGAAGGCGGCCGAGCGTTGCCCGGCCGCACGTTCCAACAGATCTGCGGCGATCACCCGCTGGATTTCGACGCGGCCGAGTGCTTTCCATCGCCAGACCGTGGCTGGTACTCGGCTGCCGGCGCGCCAGAATCCGACGCGCAACCGCGAGCGGAGCGCATGTGCCTGTGGATCACCGAGCGGCTCGCGGCGCTGCCCGACACAGGACGCGTCATCATGGTTGGCCACGGCGCCTTCATGGCGCGGTTGCTCGCCCGCCTCGTGGGCTTGCCGTGCGCGGGCGCCGCGGCCCTCTTTGTCCATGCAAACACGGGCGTGAGCACGCTGCGGCTCGTGCGCCGCAAGGGCAGCTTCCTGGTGCTCGGCCTCAACCAGACGCCACACCTCACGCCGCAGCTGCTGACGGGCGCACACCCGGCGGAGGACGGCTGGGCGGCTGCGCTGCGGGCGCCAGCGTGGGTCGTCCGACGGTACGGCCCCGAGGCAGTGGGATGCTACCCGATGCCGACGGGCCTGCGCCGGCAGCTGTTGGAGGCGCGCCGCCGTCTGCTCTGGGCGCACGAGAGCGGCGTGGGGGCGAGCGCGTACGAGGAGAGCGACGCGCGATCCGTCACGTTTGTGTGCGTGCTCGAGGGGAGTGAGACGCCGGCGGGGCAGGTGCAATACGACCCCTCGACGCGGCGGCTGCGGCAGATGGTCGTGCTGCCGCAGTTTCGCAAGCTAGGCATCGGCTGCGCGCTTGTGCGGGCGGTGGCGAGCATTCATGCGGAGAAGGTGGCGGGCGGGTCCGTCAACGGGCCCGGCGCCGAGGGCGACGCCTCGCCGCCGCTGCGCGTGCACGCGTGGCAGCGCAGCGAGGCGTTCTACACGCGGTGCGGCTTTGCGCGCGAGGGCGACCCGTACGAGAGCAACGGCGTGAGGTGCGTCCGGATGGCGTACGCAACGCTCGAGTGAGAGAGCCCTCCCCTTCACTCGCTCCTTGCTAGTGCTTCTCACGTTTTTGCTCTCTCTGTCTGTGTTCGGTGGGGGGGGTGTGTGTGTGTGAAAACCAACAAGAAATCACGCCTTCTTTCGCGTTTCGGCACACCTTAGGGTTTGTCGTTGAGCATCGTTCGGTCCGCATGCGTCCGCTGTACAATCTCACAATCCTCAATCGGATATACAATGACAAAAACTTCCACAAAGACCGCAGGAATTCTCACCACGTCCAGAGACACTCTTGTGGGACCGGGGGGACCAAAAGTGAAGGGAATTTGCAGCTGTGAAGAGACGCCGACGAACGGCGGTCATAGAAGGAGTTTTCGAGAGCCCTCTCCTCCACCGCCCTCCCTCTCCCCCCGGATGAAAGAGCCCATCGACCAGGGCCAAACGCCTCCAAGTCCACCGCCGGGTGAGCCTGAGTGGGACTGGCGCGAGGCGGCTGATGACCTGCTAGGCAACCGCTCCTCGAGCGACCGCCATATTGTAGTCGCGGGCATCGTGGCGGTGCTGAGCTTTGTGCTCTTCTTGCTCGTTTGTCGCTGCTGCCGCTGTCGGCGGCGCGCCATCCAGCGCCGCGGGCTGCGGAGACACGATACGTGGCGCGCACGTGTTGGTGTCGCCGACGGCACGAGTGGACTAGGGACCGGACTCAAGCCACCGCCGGTCGAGTGCAAGCCCGCCTCCACCGGCCAGACGAGCGTGTCGGCGGCGGCACGGCTCGTTCAGATGCCCGAGGAGTCGTCGACCGCGCTCGACGAGGCCTCCGACACGCTCTCCTCCGACGCCGACCAGCCTGCTGCGCTCTCCTCCGGCCAGCGCGCTTTCCTGGAGGAGCTCTCGCCTGGCGAGGTGTGCGCGGCATGAGACATATGGACAGAGCGCCCCAGCGCTCCGCTGTCTCCCAGCCTCTCTATCCACCCCCGCCCCCCCTGCGCTCTTCCAGGCCGCCGTCTATCGCGCCACCGGCCGGCCGCCGCCGCCAAGCGCTGCTCGGCCGACACCGGCAACCGCAGCTGCGCCACCGCCACGGCCTCCGCCGCTCTGGCCAGAGCCGCCGCCGCCTCGGGCCAACTCGCGGACGCTCGGCGCGTGGGTCTCGTCGAGCGGAAAGGGGCCAAGCTTCGCAAAGAGCCTCGTGCGACAGGGCGCGAAGAAGCAGGCGGCGGCGGCGGCATCGGCGGTGGCGCGCAAGGCAGCGGCGCTGCGTGAGGCGGCGGCGAGCAAGGTCAGCTCTACGCGAGGCGGGGGGCGCGAGAGGCTCGAGGAGGAGCCGGTGAGGAGTGGAGGTCGGGAGGTCCGCGAAGCCGCACACGACACGCGTCCCCCTGACGCGTCTCCTGCCCGCCGCCCCCCCGAGGTGGTGATGCTCGACGTCGGCACGCGAAAGGGGCCGGCGCGACTCTGCATCCGGGAGGGAGACCACCCCCAAAAGCTGGCCGCCGAGTTCGCGGCGAAGCACCGGCTGGGTAGCAGCGTGGTAGATCGCCCACTGGCCCCGAGCCGACCACACTCCCTCCCTCCTGCTCACTCCCACACACCCCCTCTCCTTCCTCCACATACACTCACGCACTCACACCCTCCCGCTCACTCGCTCTCTCCCACCTACACTCACGCACTCACTAGGCCCGGTGCTCCATGCCGGTACTAGCTCGCGCCTGCTCGTACACCGCCCGCTCGCCACACCGCTTGCTCGCCACTCTCTCGCCCTCGAGTGCCCTCCTCTCGCGCCGCGCAGGCGCAGACGTGCGGCTCAAGCTCGAGGGCGTCATCCGGCAGCAGATCGCGCTTCACGCCGACTTCCAAGCCGCCCAGGCGACGGTCTCGAGCTCCGCAGCGGCAGACGACGACGCGGCGCGCGCTGCTCGGGTGCGCCCGCCCGCCGGCCTGCGGCGCAGGGGAGGGTAGGGGCGGCAGAGAGACACGGCCCACACGACACTCACTCACTCACCCCCCCAGGCGCGCAAGGCGGAGGAGGCCAAGGAGCGGGCTCTCGGCGACGACCCGCCCACCCCGGGCAGGATCGGGATGGCCGCGGCGGAGTGCACGCAATGCCTTGCCGAGTCCTCCACTGCCGCCGCCGCCGCCGCCGCCGCCTCCGCCCCCGCCGCTGCCGCCGCCGCGATCACAGCCGGCACGACCCCCAGTGGCCCCGCCGGCGCATCGGAGTCGGAGCGAGACTGCGAGCTTCGCTTCCGGAGGCGCGGCGAGGTCTGCCGCCGCCCGAACGGCGGCACAGCGGGCGCTGCTAACGGCGGCACAGCGGGCGCCGTGAACGGCGGCACAGCGGGCGGCACAGCGGGCGGCACAGACCCGACTCCAGGCGCGACGTCGCTGGCGCCGTCAGTCCAACCGCCGCCACTCGCCTCGCATTTTGCTCTGCAGATCAATCCGGGTCGCCAGCCGCGCGCTCGGCGGGTTTCTTGGCCGGGCTTGGCGCAGGAGCCGGCTCCGGTAGCCCCAATCGATGTGGACGAGGTCAGCGTCGCCGTGATTGCGTCGCTGCAGGCCGCTGGCGTCAACATTGCGGCTGAGCTGGTGGCCGTCGACGACCTCGGTGCCGGCTCAGTGAAGGTGACCGTCTCTCAGGGCGCAGCGGGAAGGTCAACATCACAGCTCGTCGCGGGAGCCTCCGGGGAGACGTTCCTGGCGGCGCTGGCGAAAGAGTTGGACGCATCGGTCGAGCTCGCTGCGGTGCCCACGACGGCCATCACCGCGTCTCCGTCGCGCCCGCTGCCATCGACAGCCGCGACGGCACGAGCCTCGCCGCCGCCCTTTTGGGCGCAGCCGCCGCGGCGGCCGGCGCCTGGCGTGTAAACGTGGAGAGGTGTTTGTGTTGGGTCGAGAGCGCGCGCGTGTATTAACTAAATTATCGGGCGAGGACTAGAACTGCCCTGATTGCAATAGAGGGTGTGGATGCTGAGTTGACGCATGACGGAAATCGGAGGACGCGACCCACTTCGCCACAGACGGTCCCCGCGCCTCGCCGCTATGACGGCCGCACGACCGCAGGTCGTGTGCGTGCGGCCGTTTTGTCCGGAGTGAATACTCCAACGCGCTCGTCGGTGGCGGCTTCCTCCAACCTGCGCCGCGCTCGGCGAACCTCGACAGCGCCTTCGGTGGCATGCAGCTCTTTGCGACAGAAGCCTGGAGAGCAGCTCCTCTGCTGCTCACACGCTCTGCACAGATGGCACAGCCTACTGTGCGGCTGCCACAGCTGTGACAGCGATGGGCTCGCCCTCACTGGCCCTCAGTCACTTGTGCTGCGGCTTGTGTGAGCGACACTGCTCGGCGACTGCCGGCACACTGTGAGACCATGGGTGTGAGGTCAAACCACGCTACCAGCGCTTGGTCACATCGGCCCCGAGGTCAGATTCTTCTACTCTGTTGATGACAACACTTGTCTACTTGCTGGAGCCGAGCAGGAGGGCCCAGCGCACAACCCCTGGTCAACTCACCCTCCACACCCCGTAGGGGCCGCGCAAAAAGAAGAAAAAACTACGCCAAGGCAGAAGGCTGTGTTCCCTGCGCCCCCAGGTCAGGGCTTTCTTGCTCGTAGCACGATTACCAATCATCCGGCCCGCTGCGCGCTGGGTGCGCTTCATAGCCGGCCTGTGTGGGTATGAGGTTGCTCCGAGCGCAGGCGCTGAGCTTGCTGAACGGCCATCCGATGAGAGCAGTGTGTGACAGCGCAGCGCGCCCCGTGTGCAGGAGCGCGCTCCTCACCGTTCCCGGCGGGGTAAGTACTCAGTAAACAGTAATCCCACGCACTCTCTCTTCTTCACTGTATGTTTTTGGCATCACAAATCACAAAAATGTAAGTCCACACACTCTCGTCAGCAAAACCCCTTGTGGGTTGGGCCAAGAGGTAGGTAGCGGGGTACTCGCCGCCGTAGGATGCTGGAAGGTAATACGCCCCCCCCCCCCCCCTGTACTGGCGGTCCGTCCCCTGCCCCCCTCTCGCACTCTTGCTCTTCCTCCATCGCTCCATGCCACCGGACGAACATACACAGAATAATAAAATACAGAGGGATCTGACAGAGCGCGAGAGGACAGCAGTGCTGGTCACAGCGATCACGTGGCATCCACGCATGTCCCCACCCACTCCTTCCCGCCCACAAAGAACGGTGAGCAGAGGCTCCCATCAGGGCAGGGCCCGCCCCATGCATGACCCTCGCCGCACACTTGGAGCTCGACCTGAGCCGCTGGAGGTCGGGCTTCTGCTCCTCTAGTCCCTATTGGTGATGCTGAGCTGGAGTGTGGCGGGCAAGGGCAGCAGGAAGCCGGGGGTGGCGGGGACGGCGATGGGTGCTCTGGCACAGGAATCGGTCCGGACCCTAGATCCGGCGGGACCTCGTCACTGTGGCAGCACCCACTGCACTGAGCGCAGTCGTTGACCAGCAGGCGGCACGGCAAGTGAGAGACATTCGCGCAGGGAACACCAAAGCATATGTTACCGCACGAGTCACTCGAGGCAAGATCGCTCCCAGAGCCGTCTTCAAACGCTGAACCAACGTCGCTGAAGCCGTCGCTGATCCCAGAGCCTAAATCAAGTGTCACGTCACCCACCAACTCGACCTCACAATCCGCGCAGCCGGCGCATGCAGCTGATGAACACTTGAGTTCCCACGTCCCAAGGGCGTCGTTGCACCACTGGGCGCACGCCATCGACGGCCAGATTGACGGAATCGCTGGCGGCGGCAGTGTTGACGGTGCTGGCGGCGTGGAGCACGCTGAGCAGGCCCGGCAGGCCTCCCAGGTGCACTTATACTCCCACGGCCCCGTACTGAAGGCGCAAAAGCGCCTGCATGCTGTTGTCGGCGCCGCCGGCCACGGCGGCGGCGAAGTCAGCGTATGCGGCGACGGAGCAAGCCCAGACGGTAGCTCGGAACACTCGGAGCAGCCCCTGCAGCGTTTCCAGGAGCACCGCACTGTCCACGTTTGCGTTTTCGTGGAGCAGAATTGTGCGCAAACGTGACTCGACCACGCGTTTTGTGCGAGCCCCGCCATTCCACTGACTTGAGCCGAGCGGACCGGCGGTCGCTGGGGCTCGGGCAATGTCTGTGCAAGCACACCTCACGGCAAATCCCAAATCGGCACGTAAAGCAACAAAATCTCGCGCTCGCTAATAGCACGAGTCAATTGTCGGAAATCGCCGGGTTTGTTGGTGTGTGGATTTTGTTTTCTCTTTCTCTCTCACTCTCTCCCACCCCTTCCGATTTTGATTAAACTTACCTTTGCCAACAACATACACACCTAACACACTAACCTCATGTATCGGAGTTATGGCATACTTAAGAGCTGTGAACGTGAAGAGAGTGGTACCAGAACTGTGGGTCGTTGCGGCACGCATGGGGGGGCCTCCCGGACGTATGATCCTAGCCCAATACGTCCCACGGAGCACATTTCGATTTTTGACAGAATTAAATGCACTGCCCCCGCACGGTACTAATAGTCGTAGTTTTGGCACCGCTGCCCTTCACGGCACCACACCGCCGCTTGACAGCCCGGGATTAGCCTAGCAGCGAGTGGGCATCGCCTGCCGGTCGGCTGGGCACGAGCCAAGCACTTGGGCGGCCGTCAACCGAGTCCGAGCGGCGCCTGAGGCGGGTGCCACGGCGTCTGCACGAAGGCGTGGCGGGGTGAGGAGCCAGGAGTGGTGAACACCTCCCCGTCGGGCGCGCGGCGCGCCGGATGGTCCGCCGAGGCCGCCGCCGCCCCGGCGGCGGCGATGGGGGCGGCGGGGCCGACCCGGCCGGCGTTTGTCGGCTCCACCTACAGAAGAGCAGTCTCTGTGGGTCGACGATACTAACTCGGTAGTAACGCGGAGCGATGCTGTGCGGCGCCGAGTTGTGCGCGAGGCGACCTCCTGAGGCTACCTGAGCTGGCAATGGATGCCACCAGGACGCACGGCTAGCAGGAGCCAGTCAGGCATGCCCTGCTGTGGAGCAGAGCCGGCTGGCGCACCGGCGATACTAACTCAGCGCGCCGCGAGAGGCGAATCTGGGCGACTTTGGAGGCGCATTCTCGAGCTTGCCGTCGACGATTGATGTCGGGTACATTGTCACTGCCGTCGGGGAAGGTCTTCTCTCAGCAGGCCGAGCGCCGTGGCCTGGCTCGGCTCGCCGCGAGTCGCGCCCTTTTATCAGTGCCAAAACTCACGAGACCTCGATACTAACAAAGACTACTATACAAGAGCTACTATGTCCCGCCTGAACTCTGGCTATCACTGTATAGAAAGGAGACCGAGACCGAGTTCTCCTCGTAGAGCACGCCGTGCGCCCAGAGGCTGGGCACAAACAAGACGTCGCCAGCCTGTTGCGTGCACTCCAGCTGGCGGCCGAGCTGACCGCGGCGCGCAGGCTCAAAGTCATCAAAGAAGTGGGCGTTGCTGTACGATGCGTCGGCAGGAGGGTATAGGAACCACCGCTTCCGGCCGTGCAGCAATGCGCTCACCGCCATGTAGTGGAAGTGGAGGGAGGTGCCGGAGAAGGGCGAGCCCACGTTGATCTGGTAGTTGTTGAGCACCGCCATGCCGCGCGCGAGCTCGCTCACCCAGCCAGTGACGGGCTGCAGGTCTAGTAGCTCCAGGGTGTGATTATGCAGGTGCGCGTGCGGCGCCCATCGCGCCTCGACAACGGTATCCGGCGAGAGGGTGGAGTCCGAAGCGTGCTGGCTGAGCTTGTGCTGCTCTCCGTTTTGGATGGCTTCAAACTCCGGCAGCGGCTTTATCGTGGAGCGGCCCGCGCGCGGTGAAGCAAGCGTGAACACACGGAGCCCCGTGTCGTCGAGGCCAACTTGCAGCGCCTCCCGCTCCCACGCGCCCAAGTCCTCACGCAGCGCGCCTCGCAAGAGGACGGGTCGCTGCCGCGAAAAGAAGTCACGGGCAAACTCTGCCGAGTCCATTTCTTCACGCACGTCAACGTCGCAACGCACTCTTGATAAGTCCTCGCCCTCCACCACCGGCACCGTGCGCGGTCTCCCCCAACCGGGCAGCCTTGGCGACACCCGGTTGACAAACATTGGGCGGGCAATCGTGCCTGGGAGGAGGGTTCTCCTGGATGGCGTGTGCTCGCTCAAGAGCGCCGCAAGCTCCTCATAACCCCCATCGGCTGCGTGGTCGGCTGCCCTGTGTCCAAAGGCATCCCGCTGCTCCGTGCCTGCCTGTGCATCAAGCAGCAGCAGCAAGGCCGCGCCGTTGCCTTGCCGGGCGGCGTAGTGGAGGGCGGTGCGCCCCAGGAGGTCGGTTGCGCTGACATTGGCTCCGGCATCCAAGAGAGCCTGGACAAACTTGGCGTTCCACTCGTAGACTTCGGCGCGCAACGCAGTTGGATCGGTGCGAGTAGCGGAGTCGTCGTACAAGCTCGATGCGGACGACATGTTGTACGTCTTGATCGAGTCGTGCGAACATTCAAACCTAGAGCTATCGACGTAGGTGTTCCCGTGTCGGGTCCTCCACTTTGAGGCGGCTATGAGAATGTGTGCGACTTTGACAGAGGTGTGCAGTGGAGTCTCTCCGGACTGAAGGGCGGCGAGGGTGGTCGCTGTTGTGCCACGCCGCAGCAGCTCTTGCAACGCAGAAAAGTGTCGAGCTTGCACTGCCGCCATCAGCAATGTCCTGCCAGTAGCGTCCACCAAGCTGATGTCCAGGGATGGTTGCTGCAGAAGGACCTCGATGACGAGGTCAAAGTCATGCCTTCCGCACTGGTTCCGATGAAAGGTGGTTTGCTTCTCGGACCACCTGTCAAGAGCTATGTGCAGCGCCGTGGCGCCGCTTGCCGAAACCGCGTTGACGCTGGCTCCTGCTACCAGCATTACCTCGAGAACGTCGGCGACGCCAGCTTGCGACATGCGCAAAAAGGTGCTGTCGAGCCGCGGCAGCAGGCCAGCAAGAATCGCGGCGCGAGCCAAAAAGTCGCGATTCGCTGCCGGCATTGCTTGCTCGTTCACTAGCGCGAGAGACTCCCAAAGAAAGTCCTCGAGCTGTGTAATGCTCGGTCCGAGCGCCAGGGCTGCTATTGTCTGTAGGACGCACTCAGAAATGGCCTCGCCGCTGTGAGCAGCACGTTCCCGCGCATTGTGCAGAATGAGAGAAGGAACCGCAGAAGGCCTCTGAGTGGCGGCCAACTCCCACATCTCGATTGCCAATAGTGGCGTGTTCCTGCTTTGGTGACCTGCACTCCAGAATTGGATGGGCAACGGGGGTGCGGAGGCAATGCTACGGCTGCCATGCACATTGAGGATCCCCAGCCCGACGGCCATGGCGATCAGCAGTAGCAGACTGGCTCCGGTGGCGATAAATGACAATGTGAGACCACGTGAAGACGACAACGAAGCTGCCGCTTGTGGCTCTACGGGGTTGACCCGTCTCCTCCAGATCGAGGCGGACTTCATGGACGGCCGAGCAATATTTTTTCGTTACTATTATTAATTGATGCTCTTCGCACGGCTGAGCCCCCCCCTCCCCCCCCCCCCCATTCCCTGCCCTCTCCTGCCACACACTCCGTCAGAGCCCCCTCCCCTCTTGCACAACAGGAATTTTGACAATTAACCCCTAAACGGCTGCGGCTCCCATATGGGAGCTTCGCCCATATCTGTGAAAGAGGAAGCTGACCCGGCTGGTCGCAGCGACGGCCGATCCAGCAGTCGTCTGCGACATGGCAGTGGCCCCGGGTCATGTGCAGCTAGTCCCGAGCGGCTCAGGTCCCAGATCGAATCTCGGACCCACAGATTCTAGATTCCTTTAGATTCCCTGGATTCCCGCAACAACGATCTCTTAGCGGCGGCAAACAGAGGCGCAACTCTGCCAGCAGCGAGGAGGCTCCTGCTGCTCAGCTACCGAGGCCTGGTGGCGTCGGCTGCTGCGTGGAGAAGACAGCAGCACTGTCCGACCTCAAAACATGCACAACAAGCGGGATTTGTGACTCTGTCCTCGATTCTTCAGTCGCTCTGCCGGACGCGCTCGCTTTGTCGCGAGGCTCACCGGTGTAAGCCGTGTGGACGCCCAGAATAGCCTCCCCTGGCGTAGCTAGAGTGAGAGATATTGTGCACGTGGTCAGCCTCTACAATATATACACTGACACTTTACCTCCCAGAGCTCGTCTAGGTCCGCCACGGCCATCCTCAGCCTCCAGAGGGCCCCCGGCCGCGGCGCGGTGCGGCGGCGTCACAAATCCGACGTCAGTTCACCGGGACGCGATCGGGCGATCTGAAGCCCAACTAGGCGTATGGATTGCCCGCCCAGGGCTGTCACCTGGACCCCTCAATGGACGCCTGCGGTGCCGCCCCCACGAGGTGTTGTTCACACCTGTCCAACCATTCGTGCAGCAGGAACGCGCTGTGTGTGGCTGGCAGCAAACTCAAATGACGACGGGTTGCAGCCTCGTAGCTCAACGGCAACATTGTGCATGAGGAAGGCTGATATAAGTAGCACCAGCCACACAACCAACAGCTTCTGGAGAGTATGCGGAGCGCAAGCAGCCGGTGATCAAAGGCGTGTTGCTGTCGGTGGCAGATTGCCAGAGGGACGCCGGCGCTTCGGTGCGTGGCTTCGTCACAATTTTCCACCGCTCAACTTGGAGGCAGTGTGTCTAGTAGCGTGCTACACCTATGACGGCGGACCTCACTGGGGCGCCGACGTGCGACGACCGTCTGGGATCGAAAGACGAAACCGCGTCCCAGGAGCTCGTGCAGAGCGCGCTCCGGAGCTCTGTGGCGGGAAATTTGAAGGGAACGTGGTGGCTTCCCACCGCCTCTGTATGTGCCCAATAAAGTGCTAACACGACCCTCGGGCAGCAGGGGGCATGTGGCGAGCGCACGGAGGCACAGTTAGGCCGCCGTGATATCGCCCTTCCGGGCACCCCGTTTCGGTAGCCGTTTAGGGGTTAACCAGATTGATGGGCTTGCTCATCCCGGAGTGGTTCGACCCCACATAAATCCGAGACGGTGACGGGATGCTGGCTCTGTGGTCTCAGGCCCAGTGAGGTAGTGCACGAGACTATCCCGGATCCTGCTGAACAAGTTCCTCTTGTAGCTCGATCGGTCACACCACCATCGCCGTCGGGGAGAGGGGGGACGACACTGCCTCGGCAGCGTGCACCTCGATCCTGCACCGTGTTTGTTATGACCCCCCCCATGACCACACCAGTGAGGGTGGGCGAGACGATCGAGGGGTCCCGTACCATACGGAATCGACCCTATCCACAGTGCTCAAGTGCTCAAGGGTGTGGATGCTGGGTTGACGGAAATCGGGGGACGCGACCCACTTCGCCACAGACGGTCCCGCGCCTCGCCGCTATGACGGCGACACGGCCGCAGCTCGTGTGTGTGTCGCCGTCTTTATCCGGAGTGAAAAGTCCAACGCGCTCGTCGGTGGCGGCTTCCTCCAACCTGCGCCGCGCTCGGCGAACCTCGACAGCGCCTTCGGTGGCATGCAGCTCTTTGCGACAGAAGCCTGGAGAGCAGCTCCTCTGCTGCTCACACACTCTGCACAGTTGACACAGCCTACTGTGCGGCTGCCACAGCTGTGACAGCGATGGGCTCGCCCTCACTGGCCCTCAGTCACTTGTGCTGCGGCTTGTGTGAGCGACACTGCTCGGCGACTGCCGGCACACTGTGAGACCATGGGTGTGAGGTCAAACCACGCTACCAGCGCTTGGTCACATCGGCCCCGAGGTCAGATTCATCTACTCTGTTGATGACAAGACTTGTCTACCGGCTGGAGCCGAGCAGGAGGGCCCGGCGCACAACCCCCTGGTCAACTCACCTCCTCCACACCCCGTAGATAAACTCTGTGATCAGCTGGTCTGTGTGTGAAAGTGTGTGTGAGCACGAAAAGCGAGATGACCGAGCTTTACTCTCCAGCATTATTTTGTGCTGCGTAACCGCCATGAGACGAGCGCCGTCCCTCGAGTCCGCACGCTGCTGAGCTCATCGCTCGGCCTCCGGTGCTGCTCCTCGTGGGGCAAGTTGTCGCGGACGACGGCAGCCTCAAAGCCGACCGGCTCGAGGAGCGAGCGCACGCGCGGCACCGACATGGCGAAGGGCGGGCCGCCGTCGCGCTCGCCGATCGGGAAGACGGCGGTGAGGAGTTCGCCGCCCGGGGCGAGCAGCGCGCGCATCTGCTCCGCCCAGCGGCCGCGCGCCGCCGGCTCGAGCGCGCAGAGGAAGGTGCAGTCCCAGATGAGGTCGTACTGGACGCGCGCGTCGAGGGCGAAGAAGTCGGCGCACACGACGTCGACGCTGGAGGCGGCGGCGGCGGCGGCGGCGGCGGCGGCGGCCTCCGCCTCGCCTTCCCCCGACGGCGGCAGCAGCAGCCGCGCCGCCTCCGTGGGGTCAGCGACGATTCTCCGTGACGCCTTCGCGGCCGCGCGCCCCTCGGCCGTCGCGGTGGCCGGCGGCGGCTCGACGGCGACGGCGACCTTGCCGGTCACGAGGAGCGGTGCGGTGGCGCGCGGGAGTGGGACCCCCTCCCGCCGCACGAGCTCGTTCGAGTAGCACGCCTCGACTCCGTCGGCAGTCGAGAGGGTGATGTGCGGCGAGTCGCGCCGGCCGGAGCCGCCGGCCGTGATTGCGCCGAGGCTATCTGCGAGCTCTGGAGTGGCGAGCGCCACCGTCACCGCCTGTCCGCGGGAATCGGACGCCTCGGCCTCGACGCGCAGCGTGCAGAGGGTGCCGAGGAGCGGCAGCGCCGCGGCCAGCTCCGCCGCGGCGGGCTCGAAGCACAGCGTGAGGTGCTGCTGCCCCGTGACGTTTGGGTGACGGGGAGGCACGGCGGCGGCAAGGGCGTCCACGCTCGTGGGGTCGAGCATCACGCCGACGTAGCGGACGCGCCATGCACCGCCGCCGCCCGCCGAGCCGCCGCTCGCCTGCAGCTCCTCCCGGGCCGCCTCGCATGCCGCGGGGGAGAGGTCGACAGCAACGACAGAGGCGTATCCATGTCGCGCCAGTGCCAGTGCGTCGTATGCACGCCCGCAGCCCGGCACCAGCGCCCTTGCGCCCGGCCCCGGCTTGCTCCTCCGGGAAAGCTCCGCCGCGAGCGGCCGAGCCACTCCCGCCACATCGAATCTCGTGCCTTTGGGAAGGCCGCCGTCCTGCGCCCACAGCTTCTCCCAGTGAGGGCTCGCGCCGGCGTGTGACATGCTGCTGGCAGTGCGAACGAGGAGCGTGCAGAGCGCGCACGCTGCTGCATGTGTGTGTTTCGCGGAATTCTTTTTCGGGGGAAGAGTCTACTCCCTTGCTGTAGCGCTCCCAATACGTGCATCACTTTTGTGACGGTGTTACAACTTTGATCAACCACATCTCGATAACTAACATGTCGACGCTCATGAAAGTAGGCGCAATCGATCGGGCGCCGTATTGGGAGCGCGACTGCTTGTCGAGAACGTGCGTGATCTGTGATCTGTAAGGGTCCGCCCGCAGGCGCATTTTGTATACCGAGGCGGTGCCCGGTGCCGAGCGCAGGCAGAGCCCACAGGTCGGACCTTAAGACAGCGTTGTAGATCCCTGGGCGAGGGTGGTGGAGGGGGGGGTCCGGCGGCGGAGCAACCACCTCCTGCTCCTCCCGGCGTGCCGGGGGAGGCAGGATGTCATCCCCCGTGATCCCGACCGCCCCGTCGGGGGTAGACCGCTCGTCTAGCCGATCAGCCTTAAGCGAGCGGTCTGGCCGTTGGAATGGCCGAGGTTGGTGGACTTGCGTCCTCGCATCGATCGTGATTACAAGCATTGTTACAATTCAATCACCATGAACCACGTTCATCTCGGGAAGGGGGAGTATTCGCCCTGCATGCGAGGGCATGCGCGGCGCCCCCTTCCTCTGTCGGCTTAGTACGGGTGGTCGGCGCGTCTCCGTCTGAAATCGAGAACGTAGTGTTGTGAGTGTGCTGTGAGAGAGGCTTGCGTTCGAAGAATTCTTTTGCGAACAACGGGGTTCGGCTGTGTCGTCTCTAAGAAAAGAATATGTACATGTACATGTAACTCCCTCGCACCAACAGCTACACAGGGCACGGGAAAAGAAAGAAAGGAAGAAGGCAGATCTTTTCCTAATTTCGAAGTTGGCGTGACAAGTCGCTGCCAGGAACGCTGCGTGCAAGGCTGCCGGGGAGCGGACGGAGACTGGGACAGACTGCCGGTCTAGAGTCGTTGTCTTTCTTTCTTAAAACTGTTCTTTCTTTCAGTTTCATATCACCTCTGTCCACCATCTTCATTAATCTCTCGTGCGCCGAACACTCCGGCGGCCTTGAGCACGGCGTGCGCTCGGTACCTTCGCTTGAAAGTCGCATAGGTGCGTTCTCGGCAGCGTTGCAGACTGTCCCAGGCGGCATCGAAGGCATTTGTCGATGTCTTGTCTCTGGACTCTCTGGAGGTATCTGCAAAGTGCACTACAGGGCTCCAGAACGCCACGTCTGCGGGATGGGAGAGTTGCGCCACGATGCAGGCCTTGTTTGCGGCGAGCACGGCCCCCCTAAAGGACTCAAAGGGCAGGAGGTGGCTGCTGTTGGCGCCAGCAGTCTGGACGGGGAGCGATCGATGAAAGACCGCCTGGACGGGACACTGCTGCAGGAACGCCTTCATCGCCGGCCAGCTTTGCACCAGCTTGAAGACTGCTCTCGAGGGCATCAGCCACCCCTCTGTTGGGCGCCGCCTGCCAACAAACCCAATGCTCCTATCAGCGGCGTCTCCGAGAGTGGCGCTGCTCACGCCAAGATCCAAGGAGCTGCAGTAGGAGGGCGGCACAAAGCGGTGAGCCAGGCTCGCGTACAAGCCGTGCTTCTTGAGGAAGAGGAGGTTGCTCTGGGCATAGTCCCAAAGCTCATCGGGCTGATAGCTTAGCGCCTCCCGCTCCCGCTCGGCGGCAGCGGCCAGTCCGATGCCGAAAAGTGGCTCCGATTGATACAGGACAAGCTTCACGTTGGGCTCTGCGGCACATCGAGCAATGGTCTCCGTGTTGTAGCTGACGCGCCTGTTCCAGTAGCCCACCACGACGAGGTAGCCCACCTTCCCACGCCTTCCGAGCCTGCGCAGATCACGAACGACATCGTGACAGTCAGGCTGTTTGGTCAAGTTGAAGCCGCACTGCAGCGAAGCGTCCGTCCAAACTGTCGACATGTTTCCGTGTTCTCGAAAGGCTGTTTCGATCGTTGCCACCAGTGGAAGGTAGCGAAACTGCTCAAACGCCTTTGGTGGTGGTGCCCAGTACACCCACACATCCGGCGGCGGGCTCATTCCCAAAAGCATGGATGCGAAGAGGCCACAGAGAGCTTGAGCTTCGAGCGCGCGAGTGAGGGCCAAAACGTTGATCACACCAAGTAAACCGTCGTGGTATATTGTTGGCAAACCGTACTCCGCCGCCGCCCGCCTCTGGCCTTCACATAAACGCACAACCCCGGGCCCGAAATCGCACAGAAACAGTCACGCAACACGGGGTCCCAGGGAAGGCGAGCAAAAACCGACTCGCTCGCGCGCGCTAGATAGACGCCGACTCGGAGGCCGCACCGGTCAGGCGCACAGCCGGAGAGAGAGGGAGGCGCTCAATCGCCGCACGCGGCGAGCGCCTTCATCATCTCCGCCTCATACGCACCCTCCACCCTCGCGCCCGCGTCGGTGCGCGCGAGGATGGCCTCGCCGGGTGGTGCGGCCGCAGCAGCTATGCCTATGGCAGCAACCGCAACAAGAGGCAGCAGCGGCAGAAGCAGCGGCAGCAGCAGCAGCAGCCGCCATCGCCGTCGGGCGGACCCTTACAGATCACAGATCACTTCTTTATTAGTGCCAGTCAGTGTTAGTGCCAGTCAGTGCGCGCTCGCGCCAGTCCCGTGCCCAGTGAGTTTTGTTGTATTTGTGGTCCCCACAATCGCTGTCGTGGGATCGCTTGTCATGCGAGAGAGCGTCAACGTTTTTCTCAAAAAAGAAAACTTTGGTTTCGACTGCTTGCCCGTCCTCGCGATCACCATGGCCGATGAGGGCTACGTACTGCCGGCCATCATTCCCGACACGCCAGAGCACCGGCTCCACATGTCAAGCTGGTGCAACGGCACCGCCCTTCGCCCGTCGGGCGGCGTCGGGCTGGCACCGTGGGTCGGAGGCCCCCTCCACCTCCGGCACATGGCGGCGTATTGCGAGGCGCGAGCTCCGAACCATAGCCTCACGAGCGAGCTCTGGGCGGGAGGCCTTGGCCCGCAGGTCGAGGCCCGCTTCAAGGCGATGATCGGGTTCGAAATCTTCTCCGAAACTGCTGCCGTGCCTGCGCCGTTGCCTCTGACTGCAGCCGTGGTTCTGCTCTTTGCCGCTTTGATTTTGGCCCTGGCGCTCACTGCGCGGCTCAAACCTTTGAGGCCTTCACCGCCTCCTCGTCTAACCTGTTGCTAGGCCTCGCAGTCAAACGTGCTGCACAGGGGGCATGCTCGCGGGTTGGGCAGCACTCATCACTTCGCCCCGTCACCCGCTGGCGGCCAGCGCGAGGGCACTCGCGGCCGGCAGCCCTAGAAGCGGAAGACACTAGCGCTCGAGAGGACATGTGTTCCGATGTGTTTGGCCGTATCAACAATCAAGCTGTGTCCATTCTGCACACTGCAGCGCATCGAAGTCGTTTTTTTCTCGTGGCCGTGGCCAAGAAATCAAAGCAGCGAGGTGCTTACTGGCGAGGTGAGACCGAGCACGCGCGAGCTGGAAAATGCGCCGCAAGGGCACATCAACCGCACACATAGAGGGAGCGAGAGCGCTGGCGCGGCGAACGATAGAGACCCCCGCGCGCCAGTAAGTAGCGTTGTGCCTCAGCACGGAGCGCCGTGTCATGATACACCGTCAACCGCAGGCATGGCGTGAATGAGGAGCATTGCCGCCGCTATGGCGACCGCGGCCGAGAGCAGCCCATGCAAGTTTCGCAGTCTTACCACATCATTGAGCTCCATCGCGAGCTTCACCCTCTGGTCCGATGCGCGCACCTTTTCGGCTTGCGCTGACAACACATTCATTTCGGCGGCCCACAACTCCGCCTCGGCGGTGGTGGCTGCATCATCGACAGTTTCGTCGGCCGGTACAGTCGCATCCTCGAGCCTAAGGTCCGCCAGGAAAGCGAGGCGCTTCCGCTGAAAGGCGTAATCAATCTCGTCGTCTGGGTCGGGCACATCATCATCGCTGCTCGGACCGGCGAGGCAGGGGAGCGGCGCGCGGCACATCGATGGAGGTGTCGCCGCGAGATGCCTTAAGGCCAGTGGGCGGCCGGCCAGGGGCCCAAGAAAGAGCATCCCGCGTCGGGCCGGACGGAGAGCGCCGCGCACAGCGAGGGGCGAAGAAGAAAAAGCTCGGCGAACAGCTGTGTATATCCTATCACCGCCCCTGCCACCCACGGCGTGAGCCTTGGCCGCCTCTGTCAGTGTGCCCGTGATAGTGAGAGACTGCCAGTGAGAGAAGCCGGAGGAAGGTCGCTAGTTTCCAATTCGGCGCGGCTGCCTGGTATAGCCCCAGCTACTCCGCGTCGCCGCTGCCTCCCTCGCGAAGTTATGTTCCCAGACACAGGAGCAGCTGTGAAGCGAGGCGCCAACAGGGGGCGGCGGTGGAGGCGGCGGCGAGGTGGCGCGAGCGGCGGCGCGGCGGGGTGGACATCGCGGAAAAGAATTCGCATCGCGCGTCTTGGGTCCTGGGTTGTGTTTTCGTGTTGAGACAAGCAACAAAGTAGTCCACCCCCAAGAGTGGATTCACGCTACAAGAGCAATGCTACACAGGAAGCTGGTCCTTCGGAGTACGGAGACAGCTCAAGGCGTATGGACTAGACACAACAACACACACGAGATGCAGGCTCTGCAAAGACCTCCGAAACGCTGCGGTGCTCAGAGGCGTTTCCAGGCAATACTACGCACGCCAGGCCGGAGCTCCCTCGCCTCGGCTGAAGGATGCTCGCCATGTTGATTTTGAGGTGATCGCAATGAGTCTCAAAGACGTCAGTCTCCTTGCAATGCTGTCTTGACGTGCAGTCCTCGTACATGTCCTCCCACGACTTTCCACTCCAGTTCCGTAACTTGCTAACTTCTTGGTGTGATCGAAGGAGTCCCACGGCCTGAGTTCAATCTGCCCCCCTCAAACAAACAAAATCCTGAAACAACACACGCGAGACAGAGCAAAACGTCCCTTGGGGTGTCTGTTTTCTTTCTTTCTTTAGAGCAAAACGTTGCAGGTTTGTTTTGTGACGATCAAACTGAGCGGGGCGGCCTGTCGGGGTCGGCTCATGAGGTGCACCTAAAAGAAAGAAAGAAAGAAAACACACAACCCAAGGGAGGGATGGGAGAGAGAGAGAGATTTTCTTCTTCTTCTTCTTGGGATGGGAGAACGGCACGCCGCCACCACACAGGGATTTTAAGGAGAGGAGTGTGGTGCGCTAGCCGTCGCCCACCCTGGGGAGTCTGCCTCTTCGTATCTCTTTTCGCACCTCGCGAAAGACCCACATAAGAGGCGGTCGTCCCACAATAGGGGCATCGGCTTATCTTTTCGAGCGGCGCCAACACACTCACACACATACCACATACACACATATGTCGCTCGCGGACCTCCTCAACGGGGACATGGACGACGACGACGACGACGACGACGACGAGAGCTACGTTGCCGACGGCGACGGCGACGGCGACGGCGACAGCGACGACGACGACGACGCGGCCGCCGCCGACTTGCCGGCGTGGCGTTTCGTGCGGCTGCACCCGCTCGTCAACCGCGGAGACGACGCGGAGCTGGAGCGGGTGCTGGAGAGCGGCCGCGGCCTGGAGGGCCCGTCGGCCGACCACTTTATCGAGCGCGTCAACCGTCCCGATTCGACGGGCGCGACGCCGCTGCACGCCGCCATCTCCTCCGCCGCCATCGCGGCCACGGTCAAGGCTGCGGGTCCAAAGGACCCGTGGGCGCCGGACTCGGTGCGGCGCGTGCAGCTCCTCCTCGGCAGCGGCGACTCCGACCTCCCGGACGACTCTGACGAGGAGCTCGCTGCGGCGGTGGCGGCGGACGACGCCGCGGCAGGCGGCACCGCTGCCGCTGCGGATGGCGGCGGCGGCGGGAGCGGCGGCGGGAGCGGCGGCGCGGCGGCCGAGTGGGGCTCCGGGTGGGCGGAGGGCGAGGGGCAGCTGCGCTGCCTCCGCCTCCTCCTCTCCTCCGGCGCGTCGGTCGAGCGCAAGTACTTTGGCCGGACGGCGCTGCACCTCGCCGCTGCCGTCGCGGGTCTCGAGGCGGCGGCCTCGTTCGCGGCGGCGGCGGCGGCGGCGCTGCTCGACGCGGGAGCCGACCTGTGCGCGGTCGACGGTGACGGCCAGACCCCTCTCCACCTCGCCGCCGTCGCCGGCACCGGGTCCGGTGGCGCCTCCGTCCTCCAGGCGATCCTCGACATCTCCCCATATCTCCCCATATCTCCCCATATCTCCCCGTATCTGCCCATATCTGCCGTCCTCCAGGCGATCCTCGACACGGCGGCGGCGGCTGCCGCCGCAGCAGTGCGGCGCGCAGACCTGTCGGGGCGCACGCCGCTGCACGCTGCGATCCGCGCCGGCGGCCCGGGCGGCTCGGCGGCGGCTCTGGCGCTGCTCCGCGCGCGGGCCGACCCGAGCGCCGCGGAGCACGCCGGAAGCACTGCGCTGCACCTCGCTTGTGCGGCGGGCGACAGCGAGGTGGTGCGGGCGCTGCTTGCGGGGGGCGCCTCCTCGTCCGCCAGGGATGGGTTCGGCCGGTCGGCCGCGGGCGTGGCCGCGCGGTGCGGCTTCCTCGACATCGTCGCGATGCTTCTCTCCGAGGGGACGGCCGAGCACGCGGCGGAGGCGGCGGCGGCGGGCGAGGCGGCGGCTAAGGCTGCGGCGGCGAGCGGCGCGGAGGCTCGGGCGACCGCACTGTACGCGCACCCCGCGTGCTTGCTGCACACGGCGCCGGTGGGGCGGGAGTACGACGCGCTCTCGCCGGCCGAGGCGCAACTATGTATTGTATTATGCTTCTACGGCCTCCCTCCGCCGCGACGCGTCCGCGACACGTCCGCGACACATCCGCGACACGTCCTTCCAGGCGCGCCGCCTCTACGGCCAGCCCGAGTGTGCTGAGCGGCTGAGGACCATGCTGGCAGCCGCCCGCTCGCTGCGATCCGACACACGACTGCCCTCGACACGACCTCGACCCGTCCCCGACGTGTCGTAGGCGCCGTACGGCTCGCTGCGCGCCGCCCGCTTCGCGCCGCTGCTGCGGCGAGTCGCCCCGCGCGCGCAGCTCGCGGACGTGCTGCGCGCGGCACAGTGCCGCATCTCGCGACGGCTCGGGGCATGCGAGGGACGTGTCGTGGGCATGCCACGCAGGCGTGTGCACGAGTTCTCGTACTACGACGCCCTCCGCCGCCAGTGCGCCGGCCTAGCAGAGCAGTCCGAGGCGCCGAGCCACGCCAAGCCGTCGGCGAGCGGGACACGTCCACGACACGTCCGAGACGCGTCCTCGTAGGCGGAGCCGGCGAAGCCCGCCATCGGCCGCGTCGACACGGACACGGAGGTGTGACGCCGCTCTCTCCTCACGCCCCTCGTCACACACACACGACCCCTCTCTCTTCCCGCCGCCCCGCCTCTTCCCGCCGCCCCCTGCTCTCACCCCACTCTCTCCCAACGCCGAGGTGACGGCGCACTCGCTCGTCGCGGCGCTGCATGCGGCGGGCGGTGCGGTCCAGGCGGTCGCCGACGTCTGCGCCTCGCCGCGCCGCGCGCGCAACGCGTTTTGCGCCGTCCGGCCTCCAGGTGCGAGATACACATCTCCCCATATCTCCCCATATCTGACGTCCGGCTTGCAGGCTCTCCTCTGCCCCTCTCGCCTCGCCACCCGCTCCGCCCTCTCCTCTCGTCTCCCGCTCCGCCCCGTCTCCTCCTCTGCGCCGCCCGCCCGCCGGGCCACCACGCCGGCACCTGCTCCGTTCACTAGCTAGCCACGCATTACATTAGGCCACCACGCCGGCACCTGCTCCGTTCACTAGCTAGCCACGCATTACATTAGGCCACCACGCCGGCACCTGCTCCGTTCACTAGCTAGCCACGCATTACATTAGGCCACCACGCCGGCACCTGCTCCGTTCACCAGCTAGCCACGCATTACATTAGGCCACCACGCCGGCACTTGCTCCGTTCACTAGCTAGCCACGCATTACATTAGGCCACCACGCCGGCACCTGCTCCGTTCACTAGCTAGCCACGCATTACATTAGGCCACCACGCCGGCACCTGCTCCGTTCACTAGCTAGCCACGCATTACATTAGGCCACCACGCCGGCACCTGCTCCGTTCACTAGCTAGCCACGCATTACATTAGGCCACCACGCCGGCACCTGCTCCGTTCACTAGCTAGCCACGCATTACATTAGGCCACCACGCCGGCACCTGCTCCGTTCACTAGCTAGCCACGCATTACATTAGGCCACCACGCCGGCACCTGCTCCGTTCACTAGCTAGCCACGCATTACATTAGGCCACCACGCCGGCACCTGCTCCGTTCACTAGCTAGCCACGCATTACATTAGGCCACCACGCCGGCCCTCGCGGCGCGGTGGGCGGCCAGTCTGCCGGTTTCTGCCTCCTCTCCACCGCAGCCATCGGCGCGGCCTACGCGCTCGCCTGCCGGCGCGAGGTCGCGCCGCGTCGCTCTGCTCGATCACGACGTCGCAGCACCCGGATCCATTGGTTGGCTGGATTGGCGGGCTGTAGGTCGTGCGCCGTGTCGCCATCCTCGACTACGACGTGCACCACGGCAACGGGACGCAGGAGTGCGTGCGCAACGTCCGACCGACCGAGCGCGTCGAGTCGTTCAGCGCGGCCGGCGCGTGCGCGGCCGCGAGGCCGTCTCCAGGCCGGGGCGGCGGCGCGCCCACGACAGCAGTCGCGGGTGGCTGTAGGCGCGACGCTGAGGCTGAGCCGCGTCGAGTGCAAGCCGTGGCTGTCGGAGGAGGACGGCGACAACGTCTTCTTCGGCTCGATCCACGGTTTCGGCGAGGAGGGGGGCGGCGGCGGCCAGTTCTACCCCGGCTCGGGCGGGCCCGTCGACCAGAGCGCTGAGCCTTCCGTCATCAACTCGCCGGTGGGCCCCGTCCCTGACCATGACACCCTCACCGCGACACCCCTGAGCACGACATCTGTGCGCCGTCGGGTGTGAGGGGCGACGCCTTGCACACCCAGCCCCCGCACCCAACCCCGGCAGGTGGGGCTGCGCACGCCGTCGGCGCAGTGGCGTCGCTTCATGAGCGAGAAGCTGCTCACGCCGCTCGCCGCCTTTGGCCCCGACCTCGTCATCATCTCTGCCGGTTTCGACGCGCACGCGCACGACCCTCTCGAGGTGCCCCAGTGCCGCTTCTCCCGGCCGCTCGCACCCGCACTCCCCCCCCCCCCCCCCAGGCCCCTCCCCTCGCGAGCCCCCTCCGAGACCCCTCCGAGACCCCTCCCCTCCCCCGGCCCCGCGCAGGCGGGCGCGCTGCTCGACAGCGACTTCGAGTGGATGACGGCCGAGCTCGTCGGGCTCGCCGAGCGCTGCTGCGACGGGCGGCTCGTCTCGCTTCTCGAGGGAGGGTACCAGACCGCCGGCGGACCGCTCGCGTCCCTCGGCCGCGCCGCGGCGGCGCACGTCGCCGCGCTGATGGACCCGACCCTCGTCGGCGTGCCTTGGGACGCGCGCGCGTGTGGCGAGCGGCTCGAGAGCGGCATCGCCGCTGCGGCCGAGTGGCGGGCGGCGCGCGCCACAGCAGCAACCTCCGCCGCCGCCGCGCCGGCGGAGACCCAAGAGGACGGGAGTAGCCGCCGCTCCAAGCGCTCGCGCACAGACGTCGATTACACGGCGCTCCAGGCAGAGATCGAGGCAGAAGAGGGGGGCGGCGCGTGAAGAGGGCAGGGGCGGGCCGCATGGCTGGGGCCTGGACCCCTGCTCAGACGCGCCGCAAGGCGCGCAGGCGCGCACAGGAGGTGGGAGCGAGTGGCACGAGCTTTTGGCTCGCCGAGACGCTAAAGTACTTTCACGCCCTTCCACCACAGTGTTTGCGTCTATCCAATTGTGTCCACTGTGTGTGGCGCTGCGGCTGGCGGCCTGGCGCCTGCTGGGGCGGGTGCGGGGCCGCCCCGGGGGGCGCGAGAGCGCGCCAGGCCACCCACCGTGCATGTTTGACGATGTATGTATGTATGTATGTATTATTGGGACGCAAGGATTGGACGGAGGGTGGACGCGTCCAAGGGGCGCGGTTGGGCTTGGGGCGGGGCGGCGCACATGGGCGATGGGGCGCGGGGCGCGGGGGGGCCGGGGTTCTTTCAAAAATAAAAAAAAACAAAAGCGTTTGACTATCTCTTGTTCTTGACAGCTACGTGCTGTAGGATACTGCTCAGCGTCAGCTAGCGCCGCCGCGCGCGTAGAGCGTACTCACAGACGATACGGGAAAACCGCCGACAGCATCGAGCCTCTGGGACTCGAACCTCCCCCTCTCGAGAGACGCGCACACACATGCCGCCCCGCAGCGACGCTGATCACTGTGCGTGGAAGTACATACACCACCCCGGCGCCTCGCGCGCTACGTCTCATGAGGGCAAGATCTTGATAGGGTGCGCCTCGGTGTTGATGACGTGCGTGTTGAGGTCGAGCAGCGAGTCGTCCGAGAACAGCAGCAAAAAGTACTTTAGCGACTCGGCGAGCCAAAAGGTTTGCATGGTGTCGTCCTTGGCCGAGCCCCTCAGCTTGACGTTCTTGAGCCCCGAGTAGCCGCCGCTCGGCACGCGGCAGTGCCGCTCGAAGGCGGAGAAGATCTCCCAGCCCCACTCGCGGTACCTCGCGTCCTTTGTGAACCGCCAGAGGTAGAAGAAGGCCTCGATCGTCTCCGGGCGCAGCAAGTTGTGGTTGGCGCCGGCCACCATGCTGCCGCCCACAATCTTGACGAACTCGGGCGCGAGGCCGGTCGGCGTGAGGGTGTACATGCGGTGGCACGTCTCGGCCAGCTTGGCCGCCAGCGCCATGTGCTCGTCGTGCTGCTCGGGCAGGTGCTGCGCGCCTATCGTCTCGGGCTCAGACTCGGCTCATCTCGGGCTCATCTCGGGCTCGTCTCGGGCTCATCTCGTAGCGCTGCTCGGGCATGGGGGCTGCGCGCCGAGCGCGAGCGTGCCGGGCACGAAGCAGACGAGGTGGTCCATCTTGCGCACCAGCTTGCCGCTCTTCTCCTCGCAGAGGTAGGTGAGCCCGCCCTCCTCGATGATGAGCCGCCGCTGCATCCCCTTGACCGCCTCGAGGTACATGCGCTTGTACTGCTCGTGCTTCTTCCCCGTGAGCAGCCACGTCTTGAGAAGGTACTCGTAGAACGAGTCGCCCATCGCGCCCCAAGAGATCGTCGAGCCAGACGGGCGGCCAGACTCGGGCCGGATGTGGATCGGCCACAGCCGGCCGCCTACTCACAGCCGCGGGGGGTGGGCAGACGCTACTCACGGCGGAGGCGGCGAGAAGGCCGCATCGGAGCCGCCGTCGGTCAGGCCGCCGCCCTGGCTGTCGAGCAGGTCGATCGCGCGCTGCGCCCGCTCGCGGAACTCGGGCCTGCCCGCGTGGTGCGCGAGCGCGAAGAACTCCATCTGCACCGTGCCAACCTCGGCGAGCAGCAGGGAGCCGCCCGTCCAGTTGGGGATGGTCTGGAGTACGGAGGGGGGGGAGGGCGTGAGATGTGTGTGTGTGTGAGGGGGAGTGCGCGCACACGCTCACACACACACCGGGTGCGTGTGTGCGTCGGTGCGTGCGCGTGCGCGTGTGCGCGTGCGCATGCGGAGGAAGCAGGGAGGCGCTTGGGGAGGGCGGACACGTCGAGGGGCGCGGGCAGAGGGGTGTGTGGCGCGGGGGTAGGGTGCGCCTTGTGCCCGGTGAGGAGGGAGAGGGTGGTGTAGGGCAGACCGGCCGCGCCGTACGCCTTCTGCAGCTTCTCGCCCAGCTCGATGGAGCGGTCAAGCAGGACCTGCGAGGTGGGGAGGAGAGGGGGCGGGGAGGAGAGGGGGTGGGGAGGAGAGGGGGCGGGGAGGAGAGGGGGAGGGGAGGTGAGGAGAGGCAGGTGAGGTGAGAGGCAAGAGTGGAGAGAGGCGGGGTGTGGGGCCGGGAGAGAGGTGAGGAGGGGTCGCGCAGGCGCCTTCTCTCCCGAGAGCTCATACGCGGCCAGCATCCCACCCAAGCAGCGGATGGTCGTCTCGAAGACCGAGATCGGCTTCGGGCGCTCGTAGTTGAGCGAGTCGCGCACCTGCGGCGACGGAATCTCGGCTCATCTCGGCGCATCTCGGCGCATCTCGGCTCGCGGTTTGGAGGGTCGCCCGGAGAGGGCGGTGGTGGTGGGGCATCGGCGCACCCACTCCACCCCGTGCGCAAACTCTTTGGTCAGGTTTGCCATCCAGAGCACCTGCCGCACGCGAGCTCGGTGCTGTGTGGAGGAGAGGGAGTGGCGTCTGGGAGCGGGTGCGGCATGGAGGAGGACGCACGTCGAGCGAGTCGAGGATGGTGAGACCGAGACCGACCCAGTCCTTGCCCTTGTGCGAGACGGGCTGTGCGGGGGGGGGGGGGGACTGGAGGCGGTGGAGGGGAGGGAGGAGCAGGGAGCGGGCGAAAGGGTACCAGAGGAGGAGGGAGGGGAGGTGAGAGGGAGGTGAGAGGGAGGTGAGAGGGAGGTGAGAGGGAGGTGAGAGGGAGGTGAGAGGGAGGGAGGAGAGGGAGGGAGGGAGAGGGGAGGGAGGGAGGAGGGCCGCCTGCAGCTCGTCCTTCCCCCACGCGTACTGCTCATACCCCTTCCACGAGTGGCGCAGTGCCTACGGGGCGCAACCCATCTCGGCTCCTCTCGGGCCAGCCTCGACGCGCCACCCCCTCCCCCAGCCTCGCCGCGCCTCCACCACAGCCTGCCTCTTCTCCTCCACTGTGGCGGCGGGCAGCGGCTCTGACCCGCCCGCCGCCTCGCCGCCGCCCGCCGCCCCGCCGCCGCCCGCCGCCCCGCACAAGCCGGCGGGCGCCTCGACGGTGGCCTCGTACCTACGCGGAGGCTCGGCCAAGCTGCGGCCAAGCTGCGGCCAAGCTGCGGCCAAGCTGCCCCTCGGGGAATCTCGGCTGTCCCGCGCTCACCGGCACGTCTCTGGCTCGTGGACAGAGACGAGAGCGAGGGTAAGGGTAAGGGTAAGGGTAAGGGTTAGGGTCAGGGTCAGGGTTAGGGTCAGGGTCAGGCTCACCGGCACGTCTCTGGCTCGTGGACAGACACGAGAGCGAGGGCTCCCTCTGCGAGGACGGAGTCGGCAGCCTCCTCGCCCTCGCGGCAGACGAGCTTGACCGTCACGCTCCGCGTGCTCTCGCGGTCCGGGCACGCATCCCCCCGCACGTACTCCTCCTCCGCCTTGTGGCAGCTCAGAGCGGCATCGTCCTCGCGCAGCCGCATGCAGTGGCAGCCTGCCTCCTCGGCGCCGCAAGCGTGCGGCGCCATCCCGAGCATGTTCTCCGCAAAGGCGGCCTTCGCGTCCGCCGCGTGGAACTGCCTCACGTGCTGCCCGAGGCAGACCTCGTACACCCACCAGCCCTCCTTGAGGCGCGCGCAGCCGGCCCGCTTCTCGGCAGGGAGCGCCTCCTCCTCCGGGGCCAGCGCCTCGGCCCCGTACGGGGTACCGTCCTCGCCGGGAGGGTGCTCGTCGCTCTCCTCGCTCCACTCATCCTCGTTGAACTCGCCACCCGCGTCATCCTCGCTCTCGCCGCCGCGGTCAAATCGCCAGCTCTCCGCCCGCTCGGCGAGCTTGATGAGCTTGCGCTCCTTTGCGAGGTTGTCCGTCCGCAGCCGGTGCAGTTCCTTCTGCATCTCACGCTGCTCCTCCTGCCGCCGCGTCTCCATCGAGAAGAAGGTGATCATGAAGCACGAGAAGAGCACGAGCTGAGCAGTGAAGAGGAGGACGAGCCAGTTGCACCCGCCCATGGGAGGCGAGCCACGATGGAGCCGGTCAATTGTCAGTTGACGACAGATATTTCAAGCTGGCCTGTCTCGCAGAAGCCAGGCCGTGCAGCCGGCAACGTGAGCCGTGAGGAGCGAGACGGAGCCGGCGCTTCTTTGCGATCGTGACTCACCAGAGGAGAGAGAATTCGTGCGGCCGCATCATGCGTTCTTTTTATTTTCGAACCAGCTTTGCAGCGGCGCCGCCAGCCCCGGCGTGACTCACAGGAAGAAGAGAATTCAATAGCACCGGCAAGAAGAAAGCGCGGCGCTCATGCTTGGTTCGTCGCTCTCTCTTCTTTTTCCTTGTTTTTTTTTCCAAAGTGAACTTGCACACGCGTTTCTTCCGAAGTTGCTCGCGCGGGCGCGCTGGCCTCTCCCGCTCTCCCACCGCCGGCTCTGCCAGCAGCTCCGAAGGCCAGCATGCGCCTCGCCACCATCCTGTCTGGCCTTGCCGTGCTCCTCCTCATCTACAACCTCCGCACTGCCGCCTCGCTCTGGGACGCCCCGCCGCGGATCATCGCTCCGGCGACGGTTCGCGCTCAAACGGGCCGGCTCCAGCCGTTGGTGTCCGACAGCGGTCTGGCCACGGCGGCAGCGCCCATTCGCACGTTCGAGGCCCCGACGGTCGTTGCCGACCCGTCGGCGGGAGCACCCCGAGTGCTGGCCGGCAAACCGCCCTTTGAGCCGCGAACCCCAAGCGTGTGCGGCGGCTCCGGCCGGTCGGGCGTTCCCGTCACTCCGCGCGCCATCAACTACCTGCCCGCCAGCTGTGAGGGGCCTCCCGCCGTCTGCGCCGCGCTCTCGGCCGTCGCCCAAGCGAGCCAGCAGCACGACGGCGCCGTCCTCCTGCTCGTCGCAGCGCACGATGACGCGTCTGAACTCGCGCCATTCGTCGAGGTGGCGGGCGCACCACCGACACACAACACTGCACCCGCCATCGCTCGCGCATCCTCCGCCACCCCGCCCCCGCGCAGACTGCCGCCGCCGTCGGAGCTGCCCCGCGCCTCCTCGTCGCCGCGCTCGACGCCTCCGCCTCCGCAGCGGCAAAGGCGCTCTCGCCCGCGCCGACGGTGCTCGACGCTGCGCCGCTGCTGCCCGCAGGCCTGGCCCGGCCGGCGCGGAAGTGGTACTTGGCGGCGGCGCTGCTCGCGGCCGGCGCGTCCGTCCTCTACTGCGACGTGCGCGTCCGCCTCTCTGCCGACCCGTTTGGCGCGCTCTACCACGACGCGGACCTCGAGGCGCCTCCGGACCCGTCGGCGAGCGCGGGCAGCATGCTCTTCGGCGGGAGGTGGGGACGGAGCCCGGGCGAGCGGGGCTCGATGATGGCGCGCAGAGTCGCCGAGATCAGCCGCTAAGATCCGTGCCCGAGAGCCACCGGGAGTCGCCGAGACTCGCCGAGACGGCGAGAGTCGGCCGCAGCCCAGGCGAGCGAGGGCCCGAGGCTGGCGGGCCCGAGGCTGGCGCAGCCGCAGAGTGGGAGGCGGTGCGAGCGTCTCTGACCCCGTCTCGCCCGCCGGTGCAGGTGGCGGGCGACCACCTCATGGGCTGGTCCCAGATGTGCGAGTCGTACGCGATTGGGGCCGTCTCGCCCCGCCTCTGGTTTGCAGCCGCGTCGCACGAGTCGGTGCAGCCCGCCCGATCTCCTAGACACTTCCTAGACACTTCCTAGACACTTCCTAGACACTTCCTAGACAGACAGTCGCACGAGTCGGTGCAGCCCGCCCGGCAGCCTCGGTCGGTCGGCCCGCTCGACGGCACGTCCGTCACGCGTCGATGGCGTGCCCGCAGGTGCAGCTCGCCCGCCGGCTGAGCGCGCGGCTCGGCGGCGCGCTCTTCGGCGACGAGGGCATGGTTGCGGGGGGGATGGTTTGGCCGGCGCACGAGGCGGAGCCGTACGTGCTGACGGAGGAGCTGGTCGGGCCGGCGCACGACGGCATCACTCGCGCGGGCGCCTCGCTGCGCGTGCTCGAGGGGCGCTGCTTTGGCGGCGGGAAGGTCGTCGCCTCGCTGCCGTCGCCGTCGAGCTCGAGAGGCGCCGCGACGGACGACGTCCTCACGGCGCGCGCCTTCCTGGCGAGGCCGCAGGTGCTCTCCTCGGGCTGCGGGGCGACGCCTCTCGCGCCGCCAGAGGAGGCGATGGGCGAGGCGGGGGCGGAGCGACGGCGGAGACGGCGCCCTCGATGGCGCCTCCCTCACGCGCCCACGGGCTCGCTCCCGTAGGCGGGCGCCTCGACGACGGAGAAGGCGCCGTTCGAGCCGTGGGTGCGGCACGAGGGCTTGCCAACGCCGCGGCCGCTCAACTGGCTGCCCGCCGCTGCGGCCGCCGGCGAGGCGTGGCCGCGCCAGGCCGACTGCGAGGCGCACGCGCTGCAGCCGCTCTGCACGACTTTGCGCACCGTGGCGCGCCGGACGGCCCACGGCGGCGAGGTGCTCGCCGCCGCCGCCAGCGAGCACGTTCCCTGAGCTTGCGCCTCTCCTGCGCCTATCCCCCGCCTTCCCTGAGCCTTCCCTGAGCCTTCCTGAGCGTTGCAGGTGCTCGCCGCCGTCTCCAACAAGAACTTGGTCGGTCCCGGCGGCGCGCTCGACCTCTTCCTCGACGGACTCAACTCGGCCAACATCACGCACGCGCTGGTGGTCGCCCTCGACGAGCAGACCGGCACGTGGCTCGGCCGGCGCGGCACCGCCTACTACGAGCGGCGGCTCGTCTCGCGGACCGGCTCGACCGACAACCACGCGACGTCGGGCCTCAAGTTCAAGGTGCTGATGGACTTCTTGTCGGTCGGCTGCTCCGTCCTCCTCTCCGACGTCGACGTCATCTGGCTCACCGACCCCTTCCTGGGCAGCCTCTACCGCGACTCGGACGTGGAGGGCATGAGCGACGGGTGGGACGAGCTGACGGCGTACGGCCACCACCACGGCTCGGGCGCCTACCGCGTGCACGCCCGCAACTCGGGCATGTTCTTCCTGCAGTCGACGGTGCAGGGCCTCGCCATGGTGACGCGGCTGGCGCGGCGGATGGAGACGGAGGGCGTGTGGGACCAGTCGGCGTGGAACCAGGAGCAGTTCCACCCGTCGCTGGGCGCGATGACGGCGGTCGGCGTGTCGGCGCGCGTGATGAACTACCTGTGCTTCGAAAACTCGAAGCTCTACTTCCGCTTCCTGCGACACGACGCGCAGCTCCGCCAGGGCTTCCGCCCCGTCTCGATGCACGTCAACTACCACCCCGAGAAGCAGCCGCGCATGCGAGACTTGTACAACTACTACGTCCTCGGGAGCGAGGGCTCGCCGCAGGACCTGACGGGCATCTGGAAGTGGAACGGCGGCGAGGGCTCCGCCCTCAACACCGAGTGCAGGGCGATCAACACCAAGGCGACGCCCGACGCCAGCAATGCGATTGTCAAGCGGCTGCTCGGGCCGGCGGGCGCGGGCTCGAAGCTCGACTGGGGCGGCTGCGCACACTGCGTGGAGCTCGCTCCGGACGGGGCGCTGAAAACGCCCTGGGGGTCGGGCCGCTGGGGCGCAACCTCAACCATCCACTTCCCGGATGTCGCCTTCGCGGCCTTTTTCAACACGGTGCACCTCCTCCGGATCGCGCCGAACGGCTCGTTCGTCTCCACGCGCTGTTCCGACGGGGAGGGGCTTCGTGGCGCGTTGGTCAGCGCGACGTAGGCGCGGGGCTAGCCCTCCTGCTGCCGCTGCATCGCAGACACTTTTCTAATTCCCCTGCGTGTGTGTTCCTTGTCGTCGGTCCCGTGAGGAGATCCGCTGGGGGTCTTGGGTCCCGCCGCGCACCGGCCGCGGGCCGCGGGGGGCGTTTGTGTTTTTTGTGACATGATATTAATATGTGATTTTGTCTTGATTGCGGACGGTTCTGAGACAAACCTCGTACATACATTCTCCTACTCAGCTGCGCCTTGTCCTTGTCCGTTCCTGATCGACCCCGTGCTGGCATGCGAGAATTCCCCGGTCCCGCCAGGCTCGCACGATGCAGCAGAGCGCCACGATCATCAAGAGAAAGGGCAAAACAAGCATGTTGTGTGCACGGCCCTGATCACCTCTCGGCACACCCTTGCGCTGGCGAGGCGCGCGACTGCGGTGGCGCAGCTCCGCGGAGCACGCCTTGGAGAGGCACTCGAGCGATGCAGTCGCGGTCGCAGTGTCGAAAGCAAGCATCTGGTCCTTCGCCAGAGGCACCTGAATGCAACGACGCAGCAGTGTCAGCGAGTGACACAACCCAGAGATCGTCTCAGTGACGTTAGAGCGGCGCCCACACGCGCACATCGCTGCGCGCGGCGCACGCCTAGGAGCAGCGAACGAAGACAGGTTGGAAAATTCGGAAGACAGGTTGAAAAAATCGACGACTAGCAGTCGCGTGCACGCCTCGCCGCCCCGGGCGTGCAGCAGAACACATGCGCCCTCGCCATCGAGAGGCTCGGATGCGACCCAGAGTCGCACTCCGCCACTGCTCTCGGATTGCAGAGCGAGACTCACCGCCCGCTGTTCACCCACCACGGCGGCCTGACTGTCAAGGAGGCGAGCAGCTGCAGCCCGCTCAGTTGACCCGGTAATGGCAAAGTAGAGCGATGGTGGCTCGTCATTTGCTGCGGTTCTGAATCGCGTCACGACGGCTGTCCGGCCGTCTGAGGCGGCAAAGTTGAGTGAGCCGTGCGAGGCACCAGTGAGCCGTGCGATGGTGCCTTCGATGTCACGCACCGTCCGTCTCATCGCGCCGATCACTTCAGCCGGTTCAAACTCCTTGGAGCGGAGACACACGTCGCCGCCGGCAAGGTGTTGTGCAAACAGTGCGCCTGCAAACTCTGAGTCGGTCTCGCCCGCCAACAGGCGCCGCAGATCTGGGCATCGCAGCGCCGAGGCAAAATGCTCACGCCAATCAGGGACGCCGCCATTGTGCATAAAGAGGAGGGGTCCAAACTGAAAGGGGTGGCGATTGGCCGCGCTGCGATCGCCGTCGGTCGCTGCGCGGATGTGGGCAAGCACCACCTTGGAGCGGGCCTGGCTTGCAGCAGCCAACATTCCAGGGTGGGGTTCATGAGTCGCCGGCAGCACTGCGGGTTCTCCTGACCGACAGCGGCGAGGAGACGTCTCATTCCACCATCCAAGTCCGAATCCGTCCATGTTCATCTCATGGTTCCGCTGCGCCGCAGTCCTCGCGTCGAACAGCCGGGCCTCCGTTGCCCGTGGTGTCAGCGGTGGCGAATAGGATTGCCTTGCAAGAGAGTGCGGTGGCTCCGTCACGAGCTCAGTGCCGCGAGACGCCCTTGTTCCTGCTACAACCGCCCAGCGGCACCCACACACTGAGGGTATGCTGGACACGACTGCAAGGAGTGCTGGACAGCGCACGGCACGAACCATGTGTCACAGCGGAAGCGGCGCCACGAAAGTGGCGCCGAGAGACGCTTCCAGGTGCAAGGCGCAAACGTCCACGCGCTCGTATAGATCGTGCGTCCGTTGTCGGACTCGGAGCGGCCTCGGACCCGCAGGCGACTGTCGGCAATAAGTAGCCGCGATAACCCTGGCAGTACAGGGCTTTGTGCAGCGTGCTGCGTGTGCGTGGGTGGGTGGCCAGCTCAACTTGAGGGTGACCCCCCGAAGCCGAACCCATAGAGTGCGTGCCACCCGTGGCCGTGCCAGCTGCCACCTCGCTCCTCGGCCCATGTCTTGCCTTCGTTCGGTTCGATACATACCGTGTGCCCACTTATCGCATATGCTGAGTACAAACTACAATCAGCTGTGAGCTGAACAGAATCCCCGCCGCCGCGGCGCGGCGGGGTAGGTGTGTGGGCAGTGGGGAAAGGAAAGATACACGAAACGCAAACGGCCACGTGGGGGAAAGATACGGAATGGCTACCGCTAGGGAGGTTAATGTGATGTCACCGTGGTTTGATCCCCGCCGTCGAGTACGGACGGTTTGCTTCGAAAAACGGGACCCTCGCTGTCCCGCCAGAAGAAGTCCACCGATACAGACCGCCGCGTCACAATCTCGGCGACCGCGAGACACCCTCACCGGGGCTCAACCACACCCTCGCAGCCCGGGTCCGCATGAGCCTCGGCAGGCCGCGCCCGCGCCGCACTAGCGCTGGTCGGCGGCTGCCGACTGGCGTTGCGAGCGCGTCAGCCGCATCCACAATGCACTCCTCGTCGCCAGGCTCGCACGCGTCGGCGGCAAAGGAGGCGCACACGTAGCCCCACACGAGATCGACGCAGTTCGACGCGAGCACGCGCCACTGCAGCGGCACGTTGTAGATCACGACCTATTAGTCGGCTGGACTACATTCAACAGTGCATCGTGCAAACAATGGCGCCGGAACCGCCGGGTAGGACGTTGGCGGGCGTCCAGATGCGCAGGTTCGCGCCGAGCATGGGAACGAGCTGGCGCCGGACGGCGGCGGGCACGTCAGCGGGCGCGCCGCCGTTCGTCAGCACCGACGCGGGGATCTGGTACAGCGCGAACACGATGGGGCACCACACAGCCTGCTCGAGCGCCAGCGAGACCGCCGTGTGCTCGAGCGCCCCGCCGGGAAGCGGCGAGACCAGCGCGTCGGCCGCATCGTAGTAGGTGGTCCAAAGCGCGCCGGATCCGACGCCGGTGGCAAAGAAGCTTGCCGTCCTCCGCAGCGCAGGCGCCTCGCCGCTGCCCTCGCGGGACTGCGCCGCCAAGTCGCCGGCACCCCAGATGAGGCCCTGCGTCAGCGCCTTGGTGGGCAGCGGCGCGGAGGCGAGCAGGTGCTGGTAGAACTCGACAGGGTGGAAGAGCATCGCGTGGAAGAGCATCGCGTCCTCGCTCTACGGTGCGAGACCCACTCGGCGCTGGGTTCCAACTTTTTGCGGGGTGTGGTATGGTTCAAGGGTGGGGGGTATGGTCCTGACCGCCTATCCCGTTCCTGCATTGTCAGCAGGCGTGTGATGGTATCAAAGTGATTTTACCAGACCATCCAAAAAGTCCGAACCCTCGGGGCGCGGTGGAGCATCAGGCTACCGCTCCCGGGCGGCGTCGTGAGCGGCGGCCACTTGGGCTCACGGCGTGAGCGCGCCGAGATCTGCGCCGCGCCACTGCTCGACCTCGTCTCGGACGCTCCGCAGGGGCAGGAGCATGCTGCCACTGTTTTTTGTCAGCAGCATGACATTGACAGCGAGGCCATCGCCGCTCGCTCCGCTGTTGCACCATCCGCTGCTGCCGCCCGCATCGCTCAATCTGCTTTCGCGCTCGCCGCCTCGCATGTCCGTCGAGTCGCCTGCGGCCGGCAAGGCGGTCGCTCCAAGCGGAGACTTCACTCCGCCGCCTCCGACGAGCTCACTCGCGGGCGCCATCGCGCTGGTCGCCGGCACGACCGTCGGCGCAGGCATCCTCGCGCTTCCGGCCAAAACGCTGGCCGCGGGCATCGTTCCCACGACCGGCACGCTGCTCGCGTCGTGGGTGTACATGGCCTCGTCGGGGCTCCTCATCGCAGAGGTGAACGTCAACACGCTCTGCGCGCTCGAGCGGTCCGCCGTCTCGCTCTCGACGATGACAGAGGAGACGCTGGGTGTGGCGGGGTCGCGGGTGAGTTCGCTCGCGTACGTCTTCATCCACTACACCCTCCTCGTCGCGTACATGCTGCAGGGAGGCACACTCCTCCTCGAGCTCGGCGCGGCGCTGCCTCCGCTCGCGGCGCTGCCCGCCGCCACCGCCGGCCCTCCACTCTTCGCGGCGCTGCTCGGCGGCGCGCTGCTGCTGTGCCCGCCCGCGGTGGTCGAGAAGGTGAACGCGGTCGCCGTCGGCGGCGTCATAGCCACCTTCGGGCTCCTGCTCGGCCTCGGCGCGCAGCAGGCCCCCCCCGCCGCTGGCTGAGAGCCACGCCCCACACGCCACGCCACCGTCCTGCAGGCGCGCAGCAGGTCGACCCGGCCCTGCTGGCGCACGTCGATGTGCCTGCCGTGGTGCCGCCGCCCCCGCCCCACGCCGCCGCACTCGCCGCCGCCGCCACCGCCCTGCGCAGCTGTGCCCGAGCCTCCTCCTCCGCCCCGACCCGCCTCCCCGCCCCGGCCGCCCCTCAGGTGCCCGCTATCCCGGTGATGGTGCTCTCCCTCGTCTACCACAACGTGGCGCGCGGCCAGCCGCTGCTGGCTCGGCTGCGGCCGGAAGAGACGACCGATCGCAATGCCCCGCCGTGAGCACAGGTGCCAACCATTTGCTACCAGCTCGGCTGCGACCTGCCCCGCATCCGGACCGCCATCCTCGCCGGCGCCGCCGCCCCCCGCCCTCCTTCCCCCTCGCCGGCTGGAAGGAGATTACCTGTTCACGCGTCTCTGCCGCGCGAGAGCAGGCTCCGCCATCCCCACCCTCATGTTCATCGCCTGGTGCGCCGTCATCCTCGGCTCGGTGCCCTTCGACGCCGCCGACGCCGCTGTCGCGGCGGGGGAGACCTTCGACCCGCTCGCGCTGCTCCGCTCCTCGGGCGACGCGTTCGGCGAGGGCCCGCACGGCCTCGGTTGCGCCTCGGCCGCGCCTCGCCATCTCGGCCGCGCCTCGGCTGTAGGCGAGGTCGTGCGCGTCTTCTCGCTCCTCGCCGTCTCCACCTCCTTCGTCGGCTTCTACTACGGCCTCACCGACTTCTTCGCCGACGCGCTCGGCCTGGACCAGCGCAACGAGCGGGCGGCGGCGGCGGGCGGCGGCGCGGCGGCGGCGGCCGGCGCGGGGGAGCGCGGGGAGGAGCCGAGGGAGGAGGGGGACGCGGCGGCGAGGCGGACGCCGCAGCAGCGGGCGCTCCTCACGGCGCTCGCGCTGCTGCCGCCGCTGGGCTTCGCCCTGTCGGACCCGTCCATCTTCTTCTCGGCGCTCGACAATGCGGGCACCTACGGCATCCTCACGCTCTTCGGCATCATCCCGGCGGCGATGGCGTGGGCGCAGCGCTACGGCGACGGCGACGCGGAGCCGGGCGACGCCGTCGCGCCGGCCGCGCTGCCCGGCGGGCGGGCGACTCTCGTCGCGATGATCGTGGCGGCGGGCGCCGTGGTGAGCGTCGAGACGTGGGAGAGGCTAGCCGCGGCGGGGTGGGCGGGCGCGTAGCGCCGCGGTACACACACTGTGGTGGTGTGAGAGCAGGCCTAGGAGTAGGTGTCCAGCGATTGGCCGCTTTGCGTATCTCGAGACCTCGAGAGAAAGCCACCCGCAGGCCTCCCCGTACCCCGAGGGCCCAAGTCAACAATAACACAAATTCTTCGAGGTTCACCTCGGAAGCCCTGATAAGATCCTTCGACTTAGGGAGCGGTTCAGCTGCTCCTGCTGCGTGCTGGGCGGGCTTCAGGCTGGTGCTCACGCGAAATATAAAGGAATCGACGCGATGGGTACAAAGCATACAACAAGAGGAGAAAGAAGAGGACGGACATCAGTGATGACGAAACAGAAGCTAGTGCAGACGAGGGCAGGGCAGACCCGGGGACGGCGGAGTCGGAGCAGACGGCATCGGCTGCCGAGGAAACGTTGGGAAGAGGCACGAGGAGGGCGGCGACCTCAACCGACTATGCTCTATGGAGGACCCGTCACCAGACGACGCAGGGCGGACGACGGGGAGGCGGAGCAGACGCGCAGGGCGAGACGAGGGAGGGAGCAGGATGTTGCGGAGATCAGCAGGAGGATGTACGACGAGATTAGGAGCAGCAGGGACCCGAGCGCCGAGGGACCATGTGGAAGACGGCTAGTGCTAGTCCCCCATCGGGAGGACGACCCCGGCTAGTCGCCGACCACACCCACAAAGAACCCTGCACAAAGACCGCAGGGCGGGGACCTGTTCCTTTTTACCCATCTCCTAGTAGAGGTGTCCGTTTTATTTATTTATTTAAGCCCTGATAAATGAAAAAAACCGTGCCGCGCCGCGCCCACACCGGAAACTCGAGCGAGCCCTTTCAATCTGCAAGCCGCGGGCGGCTCCAACTGTCAATGTCGTCTCGCATTACCGGTACGCGGGCCTAACTGCTCTCTCTCCCCCCCCCACTCCCCATCGAGACTGAGCCCCCGGTGAGCACGGGCTGCGGCGCGACCCTTGCCGTCCCCGCGCACGCAGGTCACCATGGCTGCATCCAGAGCTGCTTTGTCGTGCGCACTCGAGCAGCGCGCAACGGTCGTGCCTCCCTCGTCGCCGCGTGGAAAGGGCGTGATGCCGGACGGCACCTCGCGCTTCACCCTCGCCAAGGACGGCTCCACCGTCTACCACTTCATGGGCTGCTCCACATTCGCAGAGTACACACTTCCTAGACACTTCCTAGACACCTCCTAGACACTTCATGGGCTGCTCCACATTCGCAGAGTACACACTTCCTAGACACCTCCTAGACACCTCCTAGACACTTCCTAGACACTCCATGGGCTGCTCCACATTCGCAGAGTACACACTTCCTAGACACCTCCTAGACACCTCCTAGACACTTCCTAGACACTCCATGGGCTGCTCCACATTCGCGGAGTACCACACCCGCCTCGCAGAGGTCTTCCCGCCCCTCTCCCTGTTCGGTCCACCCCTCTCCTCGCCCGCAGGTACACCGTCCTCGCGGAGATCTCGATCGCAAAGATCGACCCAGCCGCGTCGCTAGAGAAGGCGCCTCCTCCTCCCGCCACAGCGCACCTCGACCGTCCTCGGGCGCTCAGACTGGAGCGGAGCCGACGCAGGCGTGTCTCTTCGGCTGCGGCATCTCGACCGGCCTCGGCGCCGTCTGGAACAACGCGAAGGTCGAGCCGTTCTCGTCCGTCGCCGTCTTTGGCCTCGGCGCCGTCGGCTTCGCTGTCGTTCAGGCGGCCGAAGCAGCAGGCGGCCTCGCGCCGTCCTGGAGCCTGCCTGGACCTCGCCTGGAGCCTTCCCGCAGGCGGCCAAGGCGGTGGGCGCCTCCCACATCGTCGGCATCGACGTCAACCCGAACAAGCGAAGACGCGGCTCCTGCGAGGCGCCGAGCCTGGCCGCGCTTCCACCCCGGGCCTGCCCGAGCTTAGGTTCGAGATGGCCAAGAAGCTCGGCTGCGACGTCTGCTACAACCCAAAGGACCACGGCGACGAGCCGATGCAGCAGGCGGGCGTCGGGGGGGCTCGCGAGAGATCGCAATCTCCCGAGAGATCGCAGTCTCCCGGCCCTGGCGCAGAACCCCAACCCCCACCCCCCACCACCTCGGCCGCAGGTCTTGGTTAAGAACTCGCCCACCGGCTTCGGGTTCGACTACACCTTTGACTGCACCGGCAACGTCAACGTGACCGCCCTCCTCGGCGCGCAGTGCGGCGGAGGGAAGGGCGCGGCTTCACACCCGTCTCTGCGAGCAGGCGATGCGCTCTCGTGCAACCTCGTGCAACCTCGTGTCATCTCGTGTCATCTCGTGTCATCTCTGCGAGCAGGTGATGCGCTCCGCTCTCGAGGCGGCGCACCGCGGCTGGGGCCAGTGCTGCCTCGTCGGCGTTGCCGCGGCGGGCAAGGAGATTGCGACGCGCCCCTTCCAGTTCATCACCGGCCGCCGCTGCTTCGGCACCGCTCCCGCCGCGCCGCGGCCAGAGGCGGCGGCGAGCACAGCGCGGCGGTCACGCGTGGTGTGTGGTGAGAGCAGGCACCGCGTTTGGCGGCTGGAAGACGCGCGACGCGATCCCGATGCTGACCGACAAGATGATGAAGGCGAAGGGCAGACCCTTCCGAGACTCTTTGCGAGACGCCTCTGCCCCCACCCTCTCTCGCTCCTCTCTCTGGCCCTGCCGGCTGCGTCCCGGGCTCACACATCTCTCGCGTCGCGCCGCCCTGTGACTTGTGCGCGGCGTGTCCGCAGGGCGAGATCGCCGTGGACCACTTCATCACCCACCGCTTCAACGGCGTCGGCGAGACGACGAAGGCCATCGACGCGCTCCACTCGGGCGACTGCCTGCGCGCGGTGGTCCACTACTGCTGACGGACTGACCGCGGTGCCGCGGGCCTGCAGGTGCTAGTGTGGTGGGTGAGTGTGCGTAGGTTGGGTTTCGCAATGCTTGAAACCGCGTCCGCCTCGTGTTTTTTTTCGCCGCGGATTGCGGCGGCCCTGGGGGCCGCGCGAGTAGCTGGCGAGTAGAGGCCCCGGGCCCACCCTGCACCCAGGCGGCTGATGGTGCTCCCAAGCCTGCCGATGGACCTCCTGCCAAGCATCTGCTCGCACTTGCGCGTGCGCGACCTCATGGTCATCTCGCGAGCAGCGCGTGCCGACGGCAATCGAGGATCTCGACACGTGCTTTGCTCTCGGGCCCCGAGCGGCACGCGCTGCGGCATCTCTGCTTCCAGACGGGTGGTTTGGACTCTGCGCCATGCTCGTCCGCGAGGGAGGTGCGTGGATCGGCGATCTTGGCGTGGCGGCACCGCGCCGCCGCAGCTCCCGTGCCAACGACATGCTGCTGGGCTCAGCTGAGCGTCCGTTGATGCTGGGCCCTGACCACCCAGATTTTCCGATCCCAAACATGTTCATGTTTCGCCCGGTGCAGCGCACCGTTCTCTCGGTCGCCGAGTTTGAAGAGGCGGTCGCCGCAGCCGATCCCTTTGACACCATCTGCATCGCGGCCGACCTGAGCTTCACTCAGGCGGACATCGACTGCGGCATCTCCTCACTACAGAAGCCGCTGCGCCTCATCGGAGCCGATGTTGAGGCGCACGCTGAGGGTCACAGATTCGACAACGTCAACGATGGTGGCTGCTGCGGGGGCGTGCATTTTCCGATTCGCTAGCACATTCTGCGCGTGCCGAGCGACACCTTCTACGCCCAGGCTCCCGGTATCGCTCTGGTCAATCTGACGATTTTCGCTGGCAACATTGACGTGGCCGTGGAGCCCATCTGTGAAGAGGCGGTCTTTCCCGCCCTCCAGATTCAATGGGGTAGCGTGATGATACCTTTCTCGGGGGCTATGATTACACTGGCCAGACGATTCACCCGTGGCGGCACAGCTGGAGCCAGTGACGGGCGAGCCGACTGCAGGAGGCCGACGCCGTCGTCTCCATTGCGCAGCCTTTGATTGCGCACGTACATGTGTGAGCTGTGGCGTTTATGTGAGCTGTTGGCTGTGTGGGTCCGCCCGCAGGCGCGGTACATCCCGAGGCGGTGCACGGGAGCTTTTAGAGTGTAGGTGTGTCGAGTAGGGCTCTCGCCGCCGACGTGGGAATGCTTGTAGATATGTTTGTTAAACGCCCAAATGGAGGGGGTAGGGGGATAGGGGGTCTGCACAGATCCCATAAACCCTACCCTACCCCTCACCTCTCGAACCAGGCTGGGGGAGGGTTGCGAGAGTCATGGCTGAGCGGGAACGCCGCCCGTCGTCACGCGACGGGTTTGTGCTCGAGGTTGGCTTTCTCGTGAGACACGTGCACACCGGCCGCCTCCACATGATCATCGACATCGACTTTTGGGGTGGCGCGCATGACATCGGTGGGCACACGCTGATCACTGAGGAGCTGGTGACTTCAGACGGACTCCCCCTCGACTCGGAGCCCGAAAATTCCGATTCGGACGAGGTTCCGATGCCAGAGGCGTTTGCTGACGAACAGGTATACGCGCACGAGTTTTGCGGGCGAAACGGGAGCTTCGAACGCACCTCTTTCTGCGAGCGGTGCGACATCTACTTTTGTCCCGAGTTTGTGACGTGGTGCTTTGACAGCAAGCCGGAGCGGGAGTGGTTTGAGCTTGCGTACATCAACAAGTACAACCACAACGATCTGTGGGGCCCAAGGCTGCATCGCCGGAAGTCTTCCTGCCAGCGCTGCGAGGCAGACCGCCCGAATGGATTTGTCCTCTGGCAGCAAGTGCGCCGCTGGCTTCGTCTGCGGTCCGCGGCCGAGTACTGGAGCCGACTGGCGCACCACCCAAAGTACGTCTCCACGCACGCAGCCCTGGCATCGGCTGACCTCGCGGCCGTTCTCGCGTGACCGACATGAGATGACTCCATTGCATGTGTGAGCTGTGGGCTGTGAGGGTCCGCCCGCAGGCGCGTTACTTTCCCGAGGCGGTGCCCGGCGCCGAGCCTTTAGGGTCCATGTGTGTCGAGTAGGGCTCTCGCCCGACGTGGGATCGACCGCGCGGTCCCGGAGGCCGCGGGCCATTAGCGGCCGGGGGGGGTCCTGTCTGAGTCGTGTGTCGGCTTTATGTCTACGGCGAGATGCCGGTCCGGCTGTTGGGCGTTTTTGTTCTACACCATTCTTCGGGCACGCAGCTAGAGCCTGAGCCGTACAGTACGCACGCGCCTTGTACGTAGCTAGCTGAGTGATGGCTCGCCGCGAGGCGAGAGTCTCGCGCCTCTACGTCTAGCCGCCGCACCTCTCTCTCTCGCTCGCCTCGTCGCCGCCGCCGGCCCTCGGTGGTCCTCGCCCTCGCGCCTCGCCTCGCACCCCACACTCTAACCACCTTGCACCTACTGTGACAGCAGTGAACACAAGTCGCAAACGAGTCTCAGAACTCCACTCCTATTCAGGGATCGCTGCTTGCCAAGCTCAGCGGTGGTGTAACGTCAGTGGTGTAAGAGGCGAGCTCGATGGTCGTGCCGACTGGTTCGTCGTGCAGGGACCAGGGAGGCGCTCGGCAGAGGACCAGTTGGGGGCATGAATACCATGTTGTAACCGAACTTCTCCACGCTGCGATCTGGCACGCCCCACTTCTCCTCAATGATGAAAGCGAGCTTAGAAAGTGCAAATTCCAGATCACCCACTCCGGGTTTTAGGTACAAGTAGCCCGGAATGCGGTTGCATACAAATGTATAGTGCTCCAAGTGCTACTTACTCTCTCTCACAGCAGACAGGCTCGACACAGGCGCGGGCTGGCACGTGCTGGTACAACACAGGCACGTTTTAAAAGAGCGAAAAAGCATAAAAAGAATTTGACAACAAAACTCTCTGCTCTCGCACAACACTGACTGGGAGAGAGAGAGAGCAGGCGGACATCGCTTCCAGGGAGGGGGGCGCGCTTCTCTCCACACCACATCCTAGGGGGGGGGTCCGACCCCCCCCAGAGGCTTCACCACATGCTGGGGGGGGGGTCACCGCCGAGGACCCCCCAGAGACTCGTGGTCAGACCCTCCGGGCCCTTGATTTTACGCCTCATTTCGCAGCATTTTCGAGGGGAAAATCATCCTTTGAAGCTACATGAGCCTTGAGACTGGTCAGAGTCTCCAAGATATTGGACTTTCAGCCACGATTTCACAACTTTGGGGGCAAAATCGGCTCTCTGGCGGCTATTCCTAGCCCACGAACTGCTGGGGGGTGCCCACCACATGCTAGGGGGGGGGTCCGACCCCCCCCACAGAGGCTTCACCACATGCTAGGGGGGGGGTGGGGCGTGGAGCGCGCCCCCCTCCCTGGAAGCGATGTCCGCCTGCTCAGACTATGGGTCGTCCAGAGTATCGACCTCAGGTTCCTCTGGCTTGTCAGCCGATCACTTGATGGCACACATATGAAGTACACAGCCATCGCCAACTCGCTGGTTGGGTTTCAAAAATCTCTCTCTGGTCTCTCTGCAAGGCCTCTCCCGACCTGAGGGCGAGTGTAGAGGATGTAGAGTGTAGAGCGCTGTAGAGCTGAGAGATGTAGATAGAGCTATCGAGTATGGACGGACGGAAAACACCCCCCTTTTATGCCTGACACCTGCCACCTCGCCTCGCCGGCTGCATCCCGCTCGCGGCGGTCGCCACCATCCCTGGGCACCGCCACTGCCCCTGTCCCTGCCGCCGCCGTCGCCTTCCGATTCCTCCCCACCGCCCGGCCTGATCCGCGGCGTGTGCAACGCCCCCCACGCACAAACATGGGCACACACCTCGGCATCGCCGACCCTGATGCCGCCGCCGCCGTCCCTGTCGCCCCCGCTTCCACCCACTTGCTTTACTGCCGACTCCAAGCGGGAGGCAGCAATAGCACGCAGACAGAACCCTGAGTGAGAACGTCGCCATCGTGTAGCAGGCAGGCCTGGCTAGCCGCGTGTTGGGGAGTAGTGTTTGTGCGTGTGGTGTACTCTCTCTCCACTCAGTGAGTGAGCAGCGCGCGATAAAAACAGCTGAAAAACCTCGGGGGCCAGACGGCCCTCCCCCTACTGTATTAAAAAGAACAAATCGCGAACCACCTGTGTCACACGATGATCGTGGCGGCGGGCGCCGTGGTGAGCGTCGAGACGTGGGAGAGGCTAGCCGCGGCGGGGTGGGCGGGCGCGTAGCGCCGCGGTACACACACTGTGGTGGTGTGAGAGCAGGCCTAGGAGTAGGTGTAGCGATTGGCCGCTTTGCGTATCTCGAGACCTCGAGAGAAGACCACCCGAGGTCGCTGTGTCATGTTCATCACGGCATTCTGGCTCGCGAGTGCGGCTCACGCCGCCGAGCTCACTGGCATGTCAGACGCAAAAATCGGCGCGCCCACCATCCTGTCGCTCGACAGCCCAACCACGCGGTGGACGGCGTCGACCGGCGGCGCTTCGCCGCCGGCTGGCTGCGGCTTTACTCGCGTACAGCCCAGCCCGGTTTCAGCGGTGGTGCTCGCGAGCGGCCGAGTCGAGGGCGTGCGGACGCGCGAAGCGTGCTGCGAGCGCTGCTGGGCCGAGGCGCTCTGCGTCTCGTCGCTTCACGACGCCGGTGCGGCGCTCTGCTTGCTGCAGACCTCGCCGGAGAGCGGCGCCGCCACGGTGCTGGCGGCCGAGGTTGACGAGGCGTGGACGCGGTGCGAGCCGAAGCGGGCCGACGGCCCGCCGCTCTCCCTCCAGATCGACGCCTCCGTGCCTGGCGACCTGCTCACCGACCTGCAGCGCGCCGGCGTGATTGGCGACCCGCTCCGCGAGAAGAACTGGCTCAACTCGTCGCTGTGGAACCACCACACGTGGACGTACACCGCGAGTATCAGCACCGCACAGCTCGGCTCTCGCCTCGGCCGGCCCGGCTCTCGCCTCCTCCTCGTCTTCGACGGAATCAAGATGGGCGCCACGGTCGAGCTCGACGGCGCTCGTCTCGGCGTCGCCGCAGACCAGTTTCGCAAAGGCCCCGAAGAGGGGTCGGGCGCAAGGCCCGCTCGCCACAACACCCGCGCGCGCGATCCGTAGGTTCTTGCGGTACTCGTTCGACGTCTCGGACCTCGCGGCGAGCGCCAAGCGTCGCGACGGCTCTGCATCTGCGAGACACGGCGCCTGAGCCGCGCCTCTGGGCCAATAGGTGGGAGCGCCGCGCACGCACACGCTGGCGGTCAGCTTCGACCCGGCCATTCACGTCGACGGCCGCTTCGCCGCGTGCACCGGCGGCTGGGACTGGGCGCCCGCCCTCCCCACCCCTCCCCACCCCTCCCCACTCCTTTGCTCGAGGCGGCTGGGTGAGCGGGTCCTAGGCGCCACTCTCGCACTCTCACCCTCGGCGGGATGTCCCGAGGTCACTCGAGGTCACCCGAGATTAGGCGCCGTACTCGCACGCGTACCTCGACGGCGCGCACACCATGTCCAAGGGGATCTGGAAGTCGGTCTACCTCGCCGCCGTGCCTCCCTCGAGCGCGGCGATCCTGCACGCAGTGCCCCAGGCCCCGCCGCCCTGCAGCCCAGGCCCCGCCGCCCTGCAGCCAGCCTCGCCGCCTGGCCCGCCCCGCCCCCCGCCCTTTGCCCCGTCGAGTAAGGAGGGCCAGCCCCCGCCGCCCGCAGATCTTCTACCGCGGCGACTACCCGACGGCGCGGCTCGAGGAGGGCGGGCACGCCGGCTTCCGCGTGGCGAGATGACCCGAGATCAGCCGAGATTAGCCGAGATTAGGAGGGCGGGCACGCCGGCTTCCGCGTGGCGGTGGTCGTCCACTTCGAGGCGGCGACGCCCCTGCGCGGCACGCTGCGTCTCGCGACAGAGTGGGGCCCTCCCTGTGCGCTCCCGCTCTCCCTCCCCGCCGGCGCCTCCAACGCCACAATCGAGGCGGCGGCGCGGGCGAGCGAAGTGCGCCTCTGGTGGCCGAACGGGCTCGGCGGCCAGCCGCTCTACCGTGTCTCCGTCACCTTCCGCCCCGACGACGGCGTGCTCTCTCTCTCTCTCTCTCTCTCTCTCTCTCTCTCTCTCTCTCTCTCTCTCTCTCTCTCTCTCTCTCTCTCTCTCTCTCTCTCTCTCTCTCTCTCTCTCTCTCCGTCCGCCAGCAAAGCCGTGGCACAGCGCCGGCGCCGCCCGTCAGCAGCGAGCCATTGTACAAGCTCTGCTCCTCAGGCGGCTCGCCCGTCACTGTGAACCGGACGGTTGGCTTCCGGTACGTCGCCCTCGTCACCGGCAACGACACCGACCCCTCCTTCGTCGCGCGGGCGAGCGGGCGCGAGGGGAGCGGCTCGCACGGCGCGCCGCTCACCGTGTCAGCGCGCCGCGAGGAGGGGACCACCCCACCCGGAGGAGGGTCGGGGTCCTAGGCATGCTCCTCCGCGTCAACGGGGTGGCGCTGTTTGCGCGCGGAGCGAACGCCCTCCCGACCGAGCGAGTGCGAGGGGCGTTGCGAGCCCCGCCCGCACCTTCGTTTAGCCTTGCCGTAGGTCATCCCGACGGACGAGCTTGAGGGGCGCTGGTCGGCGGCGGCGCACGCAGAGATGGTCTCGTCGGCGGCGGCGGCGCGCTTCAACATGCTGCGCGTGTGGGGCGGCGGCGCCTTCCTACCCGACGCGTTTTACGACGCGTGCGACGCACGCGGCTTGCTCGTGTACCACGACATGCAGTACGCCCAGTCGGGCCATTCGCCAAAGGCCACCCCTGCGCGGGAGGCGGAGCTGAGGCGAGCGGTGTGAACGGCGTCTCTTCACGGCGACGGGCGCGAACAGGCGACCGCGACGCAGGAGGCGGAGCTGAGGCACGCGGTGCGCCGCCTCGCGAGCCACCCGTCGATCGCGGTGTGGGACGGGTGCAACGAGTGCCAGGTGGTGATGGGGACGCCCACCGGTGTGTACGCCACATTCGTGATGACCGTGGTGGCGAGCGAGGACGCGTCGCGTGCGGTGTGGCCCTCGTGCCCCGCCGCGGGCTGGAGCAGCGGTGTCCGCACCCCTCCCGCCCCCTCCTCCCTCCCGCCCCCTCCCGCCCCCTCCCCCTCCCGCCCCTCCCGCCCCCTCCCGCCCCCTCCCGCCCCTCCCGCCCCTCCCGCCCCCTCCCGCCCCCTCCCGCCCCCTCCCGCCCCCTCCCGCCCCTCCCGCCCCCTCCCGCCCCTCCCGCCCCCTCCCGCCCCTCCCCCTCCCGCCCACTGCCCCTCTTGTGCTCGACTGCAGACACGCCCCTCCCGCCCCTCCTCTCCACCAAGGAGCCTGACCCGCCGCCGCCGCCCCCCACCTCTCCCGCCGCCGCCCCCAGGCGTGCGGCTGCTCGACGCGCTCCCAACCGGCCGCCCCCTCGTCACGCCGAAGTCGCGCTCGCGCATCGAGACGCACGGCCCCTACCAGCACGGCAGCGGCTTCGCCGCCGTCAACGGGGCCTCGCGCCTCGCTCTCTTCCCGCCCAACCTGCCGATCAAGCTGCCGGACGCGGCGCCCACCGGCCCGGCGCACCCGAACGTGTTTGCCTCCGAGTTTGGCGCGGTCGCCATGTCCTCTTTCGAGTCGATGGCTCCGACGCTCGCGCCCAAGCACTGGGGCCTCCACGCGGGCCAGCGCAGCGACAACTGCAGCGGCGGCTTCGAGCGGCGGTGCGAGGGGGAGAATGTGATGGCGGAGCGCAACTACCCGTGCGACAACATGATCGAGGTCTACTTTGGACGCGCGCCGGCGGGCTACCTCGACGCCACCGGCGAGGCGGTCTTCCGGCGGCAGCTCTACCAGTGCCTCCTCGCCCAGGCGCGCCGCCGCCCGGACCACCGCGTGCCCGCCAGACGGACTCGCCGGGCCGCGCCGCGTCAGCGCGCGCGCCCGCTGCAGGCGCTCAACGTCAAGTCCAACATCGAGGCGCGCCGCGCGAGGAACGAGCTCGGCATCCTGGTGTGGCAGCTCAACGAGATCTGGCCGACGGGCGGCTGGGGTCGCTCGGCGCAGCGCCGGCACACCTCTTGCCCTCCCCTCCCGCACCCCCCCCCCCCCCTCTCCCGCTTAGGCTCGCTCGAGTACGGCACCCCGGTCGCGGGCCAGGTGCTCGGCGGGCGGTGGAAGCCACTGCACTACCTGTACGCGCGCTCCGTCTTTGCGGACGTGGTCGCGGTGTGCGGCGAGGGCGGCGCCTGCTACGTCAAAAACGACGGGCCGCGCCCCGTCGCCGGCCGCATCGCCGTCCGCGCGCTGGAGTTTGCCAGCGGTGTCGTCACCCCCTTGGCCGCAGTCGCCGTCGCGCTTCCCGCGGGCGCCGGCGCGAGCGCCCGCTTCGAGATTGACCTGAGCGCGTTCGACGGCTCGACGCACCTCCTCATTGCGGAGTGCATCGACGACTCGGGCGCCGTCCTGTCGACCAACGAGATGCTCTTTGCGCCCCCGAGCCAGCTGCAGCTGCCGACGGCGGTGGTGAGCGCCGGCGTCGCCGAGGCCCCCAACGCGGACGGCTCGATCGACGTGGTGGTGAGCGCGAGCGCGACGGCGCTCTACGTCGTCCTGACCAGCCTGGCGCAGGGCCGCTTCAGCGACAACGCCTTTGCGCTCCCGCCGGGGACGGCCACTGTCCGCTTCCTGCCCACCGGCGCGCTCGACCGGTCGCTGCTGGTCTCCTCGCTGCGCGCGGAGCACCTGCAGGCAAACCTGATGCCGGCGCCTGCGGCGCGCCCCTACGAGCGGCCCCGGGCACATCTGGCGGCATGAAAACATCAAAGAGGGGGAGTGGGGGGTGCGGCGCGTGGTTCACTCAATTTGCTGCGAGGAGAGCCTCGGGCTCTAAAGATTTTTACAAGATACACAGCAAGCACCAAAAGCTCCCTCGCCTTTATGCTTTAAAGAAAACGCGAAAAGGAGAAAGAAACCATCTGCTGCTGGATGGACCTGTGGAGCGCATCTATAGGCCAAACTGCAAACAACTCTAACACTCAGACTCACACTCATCACTCTCTCTAGGCCTCGTAAAGAAAGACAGAAGCGGAAAACACAGACATCGCGGGGTACGGAAGCGTCAGGGTCAGTAGACAACCCAACCCCGGGAGATTGGGGCGGATGACGACGGCGACTGTGCCGCAGCGTCTGGTGCGCGTACGGTTGCAGCGCATGGTGGTTGGTGGAGACAGTTTGAGAGAGTCTTTCGAGACCATCTCTTGACCATCTTGCAAAACAACCTCACAGCTCCGGCTACTGCTCCCTCAAGAGAGGGGAGGCTGTTTGTGCGGTTCGGGTCGGTCGGCGTGAACCGAAAGAAAGAAGAACAAAACCTAATGAAAATAAAAATCTCCCCTGAAGGGTCGCAGAAACCTCCCTTGTCGACCTTTGGGGCATCTCCGGTTACGTAACTCTCACGCCTCCCCGCGACCGCCTTCTCTTCCTCGATGCTGTGCGCCTCGCTCGCGCTGCTCGCCGCGCACCGCGCTCCTGCGGCGCCACGCTCTCGCGGGGGAGCCAGATCGGCGGTCGTCAGCCCGACTACCCCTGCGCCGCTGCCTCTCGTCGAGCGCTTCTGGAGCAAGGCGGCATATCTCTCTCACCACAGCGAGGTGCTCGGCGACGCCCTCGCCTTCGCCGCCGAGGCGCACGATGGGCAGCGGCGGAGGTCTGGGGAGGCCTTCATCGTGCACCCGATCGAGGTCGCCATCATTCTCGCCGGGTGGCGCATGGACGCTGATGCGATCGTTGCGGGGCTGCTGCACGACACGGTGGAGGACACCGACGTCACCGTCGAGCAGATCGAGGGGCGCTTCGGCGCGGCCGCCGCGTCAATCGTCGCCGGCGTGACAGACGGCGCGGCGGTGCCCGCCTCGCAGAGCCAGCGCGAGCTGCTGCTCGCCATCTCGCGGGACTGGCGCGTGGCGCTTCTCAAGCTCGCCGACCGCACGCACAACATGCGAACGCTGGAGCACATGCCTGCCGCGAAGCAGGCCGCGAAGTCGCGCGAGACGCTGGACCTCTTCGTCCCCCTGGCCCGGCGGTTAGGCGTCGAGGAGATTGAGCGCGAGCTCGACCAGCTGTGCGTCTCGTACCTCGGCGAGGAGCGGCCTGATGGGCCGTCCCTCCTGGACAGCTTGCTCGAGGACGAGCGGATATGCCTCCGCCGCCAGCGGGCCTGCTGGCGCGAGCACCGCGGCGCATGCGCTTCTTCCGTTTGACGGACCATGCTAGTTCGGTTTCTGCCTATGCCATGGACATGGACGGCATGGCGACATTGTGTGTTGTGATGTGTATGTGTATGTGTATGTGTGGCCCGCGGCGGTGCGGGAAGAGAGTGGTCCTCTCCCGGCCGTGGTTGCCCCATGTGTGATCGTGTGATTTTTCGCATAGATTAGTTGCATACATTCTTGCTCTTGGTCGCTGCCTCTGCCCTCTCGCTGTCGCTCGCTCCCGACTGGGTCCAGCCCTGGGTGGCGCAAGATCTGACGTTCTGTGACAATCGTCAGATCCGTGTTTTTCTCGTTGTTTTGTCGCTCGCTCCGCTCGCCACCTCACGCTCCGTAGTCCGGCCATGCACTCAATCCGAAGTCAGGATGCAAAAGAGCCGTAGAAAATTGCGTGGAGCTGCGCCAGCTAGTCAGGGTGATCGCTCCGCATGTCCTGAGCACTCCCGGAGCACCGGAAAGAGAAAAAAGCTCGGTGTGAATAAACACTCGGAGTCCTTGTGCTCGACGCTTCAGCTGCTCGCTTTTGCGGCTGCCTGTGCTCTCCCCGCTTTGCACCGTCGCTCCGAGGATCTCGCTGCTCTTCGTGGATCCACCCCGAGCATTTCCGCCCGACGGTGTATTTTTGCCGCAGCACGATGAGCGGCTCAGCTGCTGAGTCGGTCGGTGAGTGTGTCCAGCCCTGCTCGCCCGCTGTGCGCCCTGCTGCAGGGGTGGCAAAAATACGGCGAGGGGTGGGGACGCTCGGGGGTGATCCACGAAGAGCTCCCCTGCCTCGCGGTGCCTCTCAGGTGTCGACCCGGTTGAGGCCCAAGCAGCGCCAGCAGGTGCTGCTGCGGCGGGCAGAGGCGGCAGAGGAAGAGGCCGTGGCAGGGGCCTCAAGTGCAGAGAGTGCAGCCGGCGAACGCGCGAGTGCACCTCCGAATGTCCGAACTGGCCCGGCCACCAATCTGGCCTCGCAGCCGCTGCACCGGCGGCGGCGGCGCGCTCGGCTGATGATGCGCGCTCGGAAGCCGAGCTGCTGCTCGCGCCCGATGCAGCCGGTGGCGGCAGCGCGGGCGGCGTCGCTGCCGCGGATCATTTCGGCTTCGCGGGCGGTGCTGCCGACGGCGCGGGCGGCGAGGGCGCGGGCGGCGGTGTTACGCCACGGCCGGGCGTGCCCGCCGACGGAGCCACGGAGGTGGGCTCAGCCGACCGCCGCGCATCGACGCGACAGCTGACAGGGCGCACGCGCAAGGAGCCCGAGTACATGGCACGAGATCGAGCCGGCGAAGCGGCCGCACTTCGTCGGATTCGGCGGATGCGGTCAGCTTCTGGGGCGGCGGCCAGCGACGACGAGTTGGAGGGCGAGAGGGAGGAGGAGGAGGAGGAGGAGGAGGAGGAGGAGGAGGGGGAGGAGGAGGAGGAGGGGGAGGGGGAGGAGGAGGAGGAGGGGGAGGGGGAGGAGAAGCAGGAGGGGGAGGAGAGCGGCGACGTCGACTGGGAGGAGGAATTGCGCCAGGCTGAGGTGGTTCTGCGCAGCATCCTGCGGAGCCGCGCGGAGCCGGCTCTGCTATGGCGCTCGGAGGTGGGTGCAGGCGACGGCGGCGACGATGAGGCGATCGCCCCGGACGATGAGGCCACCATCACCTGGGTGCTCTCGCGCCGCGACGTGGATGCCGAGGACAGGGTGATCGTGCTGCGAGGCTTCATCGCGCTCGTCAACGGGCTGCCGCCGCCGCGCGACTCCAACTTCCGGCCCGAGACTGACGAGGAGCTCGCGAAGCAGGAGGCGGAGGACGAGGACTCGGTGGGCCCGTGCTCGGGGACGCAATCCGAGCTTCAAGCGTCACTCGACGCGCTCGGGACATCGCCATCGACGCCGGGAGCCGCCTCGGCAGGAGCCGCCTTCTCTCGAGGTCTCGAGATACACAAAGCGGCCAACTTAGTCTGTTGTGTATCGCTGGAGCTCCCAGCTCGGAACATGTGCATGCAGGTAGGTAGGTAGGAAGGTGAAAAAAGCCAGGCTGGATGCAGGAACATGTACACATGTGCATGCGCGGCACGGGAATTTTTTGGTCGAGGAGATTGCCGCGCAGATTGCCGCGCACGCCAACGACTAGCGACGCGCCGGAGACCACACACATGCGCGGACACTCCTCGCCGCTGCGTGCCTCCGCGCTTCTCGGCAGCGAGCCTCTCGCCCTCGACCTTCTCCCGGCGAGCCTCGGCGAGGTTGAGGCGAGCTTCGGCGAGGTTGAGGGCCAGCAGTCGCCCTTCCGGCGCGGCTCCACCGTGGTGGCGGCGGCGGCGGCGCTCTTCAAGGCCGTGATCGGCGCTGGCATCTTCGCGTTTCCGCCCGCCGTTCGTGCGTGCGGGCTGGTCCTCGGCTCTTGCTTCGCCTTTGCTATCGGCCTCATCTCGCTCTTCGTCACTTGGGCGACCATTGAGGCGGTGCGAGAGCTCCGCCGGCGAGGGATGAAGGCGGCCTCGAACGGGCGGATCGAGTACGTAGAGATGACGCACATCTACTCGCCGCGCGCCAACGGAGCCATCACCGCGCTCACCATGTGGGGGCAGTACTCGTCGGTGCTCGGGTGACTCCACTTCGCCAAGCGCGGCTGCTCGCCCGTTCATCATGTCTCTTCACACCGGGCGGGACTGAACAGGTACTTTATCTTTGTGCACGAGACGCTCGCGCCGCTGCTGCCGCTGCCGAGTCAGGCGGTCTTTGCGCTCATCGGCGGCGCCGTCTGCCCGCTCGTCCTGCTGCGCAAGACCTCGCACCCCGCCTTTGAGGCGGCGATGGCCTTTGGCAACGTGGCGGTCGCGCTCGCGCTCGGCACGATCGTCTTTTACGGGCTCGTTCAGGCGCCGGAGCGGCCGCCGCTGGACGAGCTGCGGCTGGCGGACCCTTCCGGGCTCGGCCTCATGTTTGGGGTGAGCCTGCTCATGTTCTCGTGCCACCTCGAGGCGGTCACGATCGAGCAGGACATGGCGCGGCGCGGCGCGTTCGACCGGATGCTCGTGTGGAGCTTCGTCGTCCTGGCGGCTCTCTTCCTCGGCTTCGGCGCCTGCGTCTACCTCTCGTTTGGAGAGGCGACCGGCCGGGTGCGGGCGGCGGGCGGCGGCTGGGCCGAGGCGACGGTGATGCAGAACCTGCCCGAGGGCGGCTTCCTGACGGCGGTCAAGCTGCTGATGAGCCTCAACCTGCTGCTCATGACGCCAATCACGATGCTGCCCGCCAGCCGCGCCATCGAGGCACCCCTCCGCCTCTCCGCCCGCCCGCTCGCCCGCAGCGCCCTCCGCGTCGCCGTCCTCGCCGGCATCACCGCCGCGGCGGCCGTGGTGCCCGATTTCGAGACTGTGGTCGGCCTCACAGGCAGCCTGGGCGGGCTGACCGCCTTCACGCTCCCGGCGCTCCTCTTTGGGCACTTTTGCGGCGCGGACCACCCGCTCGGCCGCGCCCTGGCGAGCGGCGTGGCGGCCTTTGGGGCGCTGGGGACGGCCTGGAGTTTCTGGCAGATCTGCTTCCCGGCGGCGGAGACGAGCTGAGCAGCTTCGTATTTCTCTCTCTCTCCCCCCCCCCCCCAGCCAGCCCCCTCAAATTCCTCCTCGCCTCCTTCAAAGAGAAAGAAAACGCGACCCTCTGCAAACTAATAAGAGTAAAGAGAAGGCCTGCAGCCTTCTTTTTAGCGCCCAGGCACAATTTTCCAAAAGAAAGAAAAGAGACACCCAAGGGACAATTTCCCCGAAAGAAAACAGATAACCCGAGGCAATTGCCGTAATTCTTTTCCTTCGCTTCACGCGGCGGCGCTGCGGTGAGCTCGATTTCGATGGATGAGGCGGTGAGATTGGCCGTCGACGGCGGCAAGGTGATCGAGGACTCGCAGGAGTTCGCCGCCGCCAACGGGTTTGCCCACGCCGAGCTCGTCGGCCTGTGCAAGAGCCTCGCGACTGGCGGCTTCATCACGACCGAGGCCACCTCGAGGCGCGCGGCGGCCGCCACGCACGCATACGCGCGGCGCAGGCGCCGAAATGCATCCGCCGCCCACCCTGCGCGCGCAGGCAGTCGCTGCAGCTCACCAAGGAGGGCGAGCTGGTCGTGACGAGCGGCAGCCCCGAAGCGGTCGTCTTTGGCTGTGTGCCCGCCGAGGGTGGGATCGCGTCTGAGGAGCTGGACCAGCGGGCCGGGGCGGCCGCAAAGGTGGGCCTCTCCAAGGCCATCCAGAACAAGTGGCTGCAGGTGGTCAAGCAGCCGCTTTCTGCCGACGAGCTCGCGGCAGCCGAGGCGGCGGCCGCCGCCGCCGGCAAGAAGAAGGCGGCGACGGACCGCAAGCTTGTGCAGCGGCTGGTCGGGTCGGTGGAGGACGCGGTGCAGGCGCAGCTGCGGGCGGCCAAGGGCGGCTCGCCGCCGCCCGACGCGGAGCTCGCCGTCCTCAAGAAGCGCGGGCTGCTGGCGGTGGCGACTGTCAAGGCGCTGCGTGTGGCGGCGGGGCCGCAGCACGGCAACTGGGGGCGGAAGCCGGCGTCGGACCTCACGCACGAGATGGTGCTGCGCGGCACGTGGCGCGACGCCCTCTTCAAGCCCGTCAACGTGGACGCGGCGGGCGTGGCGCCCGCGGGCGGCGCGCTCCACCCGCTGCTCAAGGTGTGGAGCTCTGTGAGAGCGCGCGGCGGCGGCGAGACCGACGGCCCCCCCGCCCCCCGACCCTCCGCCCCCGGCCCTCTACCTTGCCTCCCGCGCCCCATCCCCTCCCCGCCCGCGAGGTGCGCTCCATGTTCCGCGAGATCTTCCTCGAGATGGGCTTCGCCGAGATGCCGACGCAGCAGTACGTCGAGTCCTCCTTTTGGAACTTTGACGCGCTCTACCAGCCGCAGCAGCACCCGGCGCGCGACGCGCACGACACCTTCTTCATCAAGACGCCGGCCCAGACGCGCGAACTGCCCGCCGACTACATGGAGCGCGTGCGCGCCACCCACGAGGCTCGGCGGCGAGGGGCGTGGCGGGGCCGCCGGCGCAGCCTCGCCCGCACCGTCCCGGAGCCTGCCTGCAGGTGGGCGGCGAGGGGCTGAGCGACGAGTTCAACTCCCGCTCGACCGGGTGGCGGTACGACTGGTCCGAGGACGAGGCGCGCAAGAACCTCCTCCGCACCCACACCACCGCCGCCTCCTCCCGCACCCTCTACCAGATTGCGCAGCTCGCAAAGGCCAACGGCGGCGCCTTCCAGCCGCAAAAGTACTTTTCCATCGACCGCGTCTTCCGGAACGAGGTGCGCCGTGCGAGCGCCGCGCCCGCCTCCCCCGTCTCCACACTCGCCGCGCCCGCCCTCCCGCCCTCCCACGCCAGCGCACGCCCCGTCCCACCACGCACACCCTCGCCCCACCCTCCACCCTCTCCCAAGCCCCGCCCCGCCCCTCACCCGCCCCGCCCCGCCCCGCCCCCCGCTCCCCCACGCCACCCCCTCTCCGCGCCCCCGCTCTTCCCGCAGGCGCTCGACGCGACGCACCTCGCCGAGTTCCACCAGGTCGAGGGCTTCGTCATCGACCGCAACCTCTCGCTCGGCCGCCCGACGCCGGACCGGCCGCCCCCCCGCCTCGGCCCTTGCTCGCTCACGCGCCTGTGAGGTCGCCCGGTAGGCAACCTGATGGGGACGATCGCAGACTTTTACCGGCGGCTCGGCCCCGAGTTCAAGCACATGAAGTTCAAGCCCACGTACAACCCGTACACCGAGCCCTCGATGGAGTTCCACTGCTACCACGAGGGGCTCGGCAAGTGGGTCGAGGTTGGCGACTCGCGGTCTTCCGGCCCTCCTCTGGGACCCTCCCCCTCCACAAGCATTGCCCGGGCCCTGCTGTCAGGTCGGCAACTCGGGCGTCTTCCGGCCAGAGATGCTGCGCCCGATGGGCTTCGACGAGGACGTGCAGGTGATCGCGTGGGGCATGTCGCTCGAGCGGCCCACCATGATCAAGTACGGCTACGACAACATCCGCGACCTCTTTGGCCACCGGATCGACCTCGGCATGGTGCGCAAGCACCCAATCGTGCGCTGGACCTGAGTGGCCGCCGCGCGGCGCGCTCTCGTCCGCTCTGCGCGCGCGGCCGGCGCCGCGCGCGGCCGGCGCCGCGCGCCGTACACGGGTGTGTGCAGTGCAACAGTGGACAGCACACTGCCGCCTCCGCCTCCGGGTCCGCGGTGTGTGATGAGAGAGCGGGGCGCTGCAGAGTGTCTGCTTTCGTTGTCAGAGTCCCCGCTGTCGACGCTTGTGTTTTTATAAGCCGCCTGAGGTGCTGCCTCCATCCCATGTGGTGAGGGCGCGAATACGAGGGTCACGCTCGGCTCGCTTCTTTGCTGCTTTTTGAAACGCTTGATTTGAGACCGCGACGCTCAAATGCAACCACACACCGACGGACACAAATCGAGGCTCCGAGCGGCCCGATGCACGCCAGAGTACGCACACTGTCAGGGAGAGAGTCGGCGACTCGCAGAGGCACCCGCAGCCCAGGGCACCGGAGGCTGCTGAGCGAGAGCGAGAGCGCCGTTCAAGCGGCGGCGCTTCGGCACCGGAGGCGCGCCGCCGGCGGTGCGCCGCGGCGACGGCGCTGCGGCGGGTCGTGCAGCGCCGGACGGCGGGGGTCTCGCGTGCGCCGGGCGCGCGTCTCGCCGGAGCGCGAGGGCGGGACTCCACACTCCACGCTGCGGAGGAGGCACGCTTGAACATCGTTCGGAAAAGCGGAGGCTGGTCCGTCGCCGGCGCGGGAACTGGGCGCCGGCGGGAGGTTGGCGGGAGCGGAGGTATTGGTTGTTTGGAGCGAGGTTTTCTTTTCCGAGCTGCGAGGCATTCGAAAGGGCAGCAGCTCGCAGCCAGTTGAGCCTCGGCAGCTTTTTAGCCTCGCCCGAGAGGCCCCGAATGGACTGCAACGCGTGCGAGTTCTGCCTCGACAAGAAGAAGAACGGCGGCCCCGGCCTCAAGCGCAAGGCGTGCCTGTACAAGCAGCGCGGCGGCGGCCCCGCCGCTGGCGGCAGTCAGAGCGCCGACGGCGCAGGCGCCCAGCAGCCTGCGGAGGCTGCGCCGGCGCGCGCGCCGTCGCCGCCGGCCGGGGCTGAGAGCGGCGGGGACCAGATCCCCGCCGCGGCCGCCCCCTCGCCGGCGCAGCCCCCCTCGCCCGCTCCGGCCGCCGCTGCAGCCGGTGTCGCCAGTGCGGCCGGCGCCACAGCCACACCGGGCGTGGCCTCCGCGGCCGCGCCCGCGTCGAGCGGGGGCGGCCACCCGCCGCAGGCGTTGCGGCAGACCCCCGCCGCCGTGCCGGCCATGCCCCCCATGGACATGGGGGCGCAGCTGGCGGCGGCCGTGCAGCAGCAGGCGGCGGTGCAGCAGGCGCAAGCGCGCGCTCAGGCACAGGCGGCGGCGCAGGCGCATCCGCACGCGCAGGAGGAGGCGCTGGGCGGGCCCTCCCTGCCCTTTGCGATGACCTCTGCGCCCCGCGCGATGGTTCCGCAGCCGCCGCAGCAGCCGGCGGCCGTCGCGCCGCCGCAGCCGCCGCCGCAGCCAGAGGTGCAGCGCGCGTCGTCTGCGGGTCCCTCCGAAGCGGGCAGCAGCTCCGCCGCGGACGCGGAGCTGGGGGCGGAGGAGGACTACAAGGCCGTCCACCTTGTCGGCGATGGCCTCGACGATGACCGCGCGCCTCTCAACGAGTGCGTCGCGACGCGTGAACACCCCCCCCCCCCCCTCCCCCTTACCCGGGGGGGGGTTGCTCTTTGCACGTTGTGCAGACCCTTTCCCGGCCGGGGCCCCGCCAGCGAGGCTCCGTGGCGCTGCTCTTCCCGTAGTTGCGACCCCCACCCCCAATCAGCCACCCACCCAACCCCCACCCTATCCCCGATGCGACGGCCCCAACCCGGTCCAAACAACCCCCTCTGCGTGCAGGCTGCCCGTCAACAAGAGCAGTAGCAAGAAGGCCTCGACGCCGGCCGCAGCCGTGCCCTCGACGCCGCTCAAGACGCCCGAGATCGAGGCGCTGCTCGCGAATGGGGGCTCGAGCCCGCTCCTCGAGCTCGCCGACCTTATCGGCGCGCGGGGGGCAGCCGCAAGCGCCCCCGCCGGCGGCGCCCCCGAGATGTCGCCTCTCTTCCAGCTGGCAAACATGCTGGACCGCACGCCGCGGTTGCCGATGCCTCGACCGTCCATGGGGTCGGCGGACCGGCCGGTGGAGGCGAGCGGCATCGTGGGCGTGCTGCTCGGCTCGTCGCTCGCCGCCTCGCCCAACAGCGCCGCCAATACGCCCGACCAGCTGCGGCAGGACCTGAAGAGGGCGCTCGACCACTCGTTTAGCTCGCGCGACCCGGCCGCCTCCGAGATGATGCCGCCGCCCGCGGCGCGGCCGTCGGGCGGCGGCGCGCAGGAGAAGAAGGCGCCCAAGCGCAACCTCGAGGAGTCGCTCGCCACCGACGGAGTCGGCCTCTCGCCCCTCTCCAGCCAGCTGGTCAAGGGGCTGTTTGACAAGATGGGCAACGACGACTTTGACCTGGGCGAGCTCGTCGTGGGCGGCATGGACCAGGGGGGAGAGGAGAAGGCCGAGCGGCGAAAGTCGACGTCGGGCTCGAGCAAGCGCGGCAAGCGGCAGGAGAAGGAGAAAGGAAAGCCCGTAAAGTGCCGTTGCGACAAGTCGGGCTGCCTCAAGCGCTACTGCGTCTGCTTTGCCGTCGGCAACCTCTGCTCCGCCGAGTGCGTGTGCAAGGGCTGCGAGAACGACGACTCGACCGAGGAGCGGAGGCAGAAGCGCGCCGCCGCCATCGCCGCGATGGAGAAGAAGAAGGCGAACGCCTTCAAGCCGCGCATCGGCGGGGAGGAGGGGACCGACGCGGTGCACTTGATTGGCTGCAACTGCAAGAAGAGCGGCTGCATCAAGCGGCGCGCGACAGCCGACCCGAGCCCCCCCCCCCCACCACCACCACACACACACACACACACACACACACACACACACACACACACACACACACACACACACACACACACACCTCACCCCACGCGCGCGCGCGCGCGCACTGGGCCGCCCCGGGAGCGCGCGCTCCCCTCAGCGGCCCCCCCCTCAGCCTCCGCGGCCCCCCTCAGCCGCGTCCCGTCCCCTCCGAGGGCCGTGGCCGAGCGGCCTCACCGCCTCATCCCCCCGCCTGAACCCAGGTACTGCGAGTGCTACCAGTCTGGCGTCAAGTGCTCCGACAACTGCAAGTGCGTCGACTGCAAAAACCCGTTCGGCGCCTTCGAGGGCTGCAAACGCTCCGAGCCCGCCCCGGAGGCGAAGGCCGCCTCCTCGCCCGCGCGCCTTCGGTCGCCTGGTGGCGGCCCTCGCTCGCCGCGGCAGCCAGCCTCGCCGGCCGACACGCTCATCGCGGCAGCGGCGGCGGCGGAGAAGGCAGCTGCGATGGAGGTCGACTACCCCCGCGGCTCGTCACACGGCGCGCCGGCCTCCGCCGCGCCAGTCGGCCCGTTTCCTGCCGGAATCGGCCCGTCTCCCGCGGCGCCGGGCATTCTGCGGATGATGACGTCCATCGACGGGAAGAAGATCTCCCCGTCGATGCAGGCGAGCCGCGAGGCCGCCGAGACGCTTGCGCGCGCGGCGGCCGAGGCGATCAACGCGCCGACGCCGAAAGGATTCCCCATGCTGACGCCCGCCGGCAAGCCGCAGCCCAAGGCAGTGTCGTCCTCCGACCCGGCCTCTTCGGTCGGGCCGGCGACGACCATGGCCGACATCCACCGGCCTGTGCAGGCGCGTGCCGTCCGTCTAGCCGTCAAACCCCTCCCCCCCCCTTCCTCCCCGCCACCACAGCAACACCACGCGAGCTGCACCCCCCCCCCCCCTCCCCCCGCGCCCGCCCGACACCCGCCCGCTCCGCGCAGGCTCTTGCCCCGCCGGGGATCTTTTAGTGGACCCTAAGCTGTCCTCTTTGCATGCGACTTTGCCACGGCGGCCCGCCGTGGTCCGGTCCGTGTGAGCGCGCGCGCTCGCGCGCCCGGCGGTGTCCCCGCCGTGGCGCCCGTGGCGTTGCCGCTCCGGATCCGGCGCCACTCCTGCGGCTGGTGCGCTTACACGTACCGGTTCGGCAGCAGGGACAGTCGCTCCTCCCCGTCCGCCGCCCACCTTAGGGCGGGCGGGATTTGTACCGAGAGGCAACCCACGCATCAGTGCGCTGGGACTGCGACATTTTGCTGCGATGCATGTCATTCCCGCCTCCCCTGCGCGTCGCCCATGGCGTGCTCGAGAGAGCTAGTCAGGCGCTGTGACGCGGTCTGCTCCTGTCATAATGCATAGGCACAGTGCGGGATTTGTGGGGGGGCGCTCGTCTCGTGTGCGTGGTGTGGTCGCGGATTCGCCGCGGCTGCCCGGGCCTGCCCACCCTGTTGATCGTGTCGTCCCCCCTAGGCCCTAGCCCTTGCCTTACGTGCGCGTTCTGTTGACGTGAGTCTTTATTAACGTTATAACGTTATTTGTAATGGTTGTTGTAAAAGCTGATCTTCACGGCGGACATGGTCCACCATTCCGTCTCCCCCGGGCACCTATCCGCGCCGCTTCGCCCGCATCCCGCTACGCTCGAGGCCACTAGCGACTAGCTCGAGCGCCATGGCTGTCGTCTGGGGGGGCGACCCCCCCATCATTGTTTACCGATGCGTCCTAGAACAGTGTTGGCTCGAGCACCGTCTCTCGTCTGACGTCTCTCGAGCGGCCCGCTGATCGCGGCTGATGGTGCGGATGCCTGTCTCCGCCCCTGTGTGGCGCCGAGACTCAATTCAAATTGGACCATGGACGTTGCGCTGACGGGTGTGGAGATGCGAGGGTCGCCCCCCCCTTGCCCCACCACTTTGTGTGTGTGGAGTTTACCTTACCTTACCTTACCTTGCGCACAGCCACAGGGGCACACGTTGGTGTCGATTGCTCGACTGTCGTTGAGATGCGCAGAGTCGTTGGACGTTCTGCTCGGCCTCGGGGAGGCCGGCCGAGGGCGAGGGGGGAGCCGCGCTCGGCTCCGCAGAGCCTGCCGCAGCCATCAATCAGGATTCTCAGGCCGAACGCGGTACTGACGTAGGCCGCATAGCCAGTGCCGTAACTAAGCCAGTAGCGCACACGCCAGGCCGCCGTCCCTGCGCACGCGGGTGCCGTCGTCTGCGCCATCAGCATCACGCTCGGGGGGTGACAGCCCTCGCGCCGAGCAGACGGTCCTCAGTAGTACCCGCGTCCGCCGCTCGCTCCGCCCGAGTCATCCGACTCGAAGTCTGAATCGGAGCCGCCGCCGCCGCCGCCGCCAGAGTCAGAGAGGACTCCCTCCTCGTCCCACCCGTCGAGCCCTCCGCCGCCCATGTTGAGCTGGCCGAGGAAGCCGGGGTCGGGCCGGCCGGCGCGCCTGTCGATCAGCCCGACGCGGAGCGTGACCGACTCGAGTGCGTCGAGCTGCTCCGCCGCCCCGCCCTCGGCCAGCAGCACCGGCTCCGACGTCTTGTGCCGCGAGTCAAAGGTGCGGGCGAGGGTGCCGATGCGCAGCTGGACGCCCTCGGGCATCACGTGGCCGGGAAGGATGAAGGCGTCCGTGCGCAGCGGCGCGCGCGACTCGCGCAGCTGGAGCACCGCCGAGAAGCGCCGCTCGGTGTGCTCCGACAGCGTGTAGAGCTTCCAGCGGAAGCCCAAAGCGTGGAAGGTGGCCGAGACGCAATGGGCTGGGCGACCCGCGACGTGCTCGTGCGCGGAGCAGCGGTGGAGCACCACGTTGGTGAACTCGACGTTCTTGCACCGCGAAGAGAGCATCTCGACCACGCGCTGCCCCTCGCGTGCCGCAGTCAGCGCCGCTGCATGCGCGCTACGCTGCGCCGCCTCGCGCTCGACGACGCGCTTGAGAAGCTTCCAGCCGGGCGCCTCCGCCTTTTTGCAGCGGTCCTCATGCGCCGCCAGCTCGCCCGCCACGCCCTCCCACTTGCATCCCAGCGGCGAGTACTTGCAGGCCACCCGCCGGTAGGCGCACTCGTCGGCGAGATGCGTGGGCAGGCCGCCACGCGTCAGCATGCGGCCGCACTCGTCGTTGGGGCAGCGGATGGGGAGCATCGCAATCGAGCGCTCGGCCAGCATGTTGCGGATCGGCTTGAAGAGGTCGAGCGCCTCGCGGCACGACGGGCAGCTTGGCTTCTCCTCGTGGCAGACACGCTCGTAGCAGCCGCCGCAGACAATGTGGCCTGCGCAGCACTGGAGCACCTCCGCCTCGGGGAAGGAGAGGCAGACCGAGCAGCAGAGATGCGGGTGCGAGTCCTCGTCCGCGACGGGGCACTCGGGCGCGGGCGTGGCCGCCGCAGGCGCGGCCACCGCAGGCGCGGCAGCCGGCGACAGCGGCGGCCGCTCCTCGGCCTGAGGCGCGGCCGCGGTTGAGGAAGAGGAAGCCGCAGCGCCAGACTCCTTGACGCGGCGCTTGCCGGACGAGCTCTCGCCACCCTCCGAGTTTCGATCCCTCTTGGAGGACTTGGACATCGCTCTTTGTCGAGTGTTGGCCCCTGGAACGTGGCCGCTGGGGGCCCGGCGACAAATTCTTTTTGAACGAAATCACGCCGAAATCACCCCTGGTGTGGCGCCGGCCGCACTGGCGACGCCGGCTGCAGCGGCGGCCGGAGCGGGCGAGGGGGGCTGCGCCGGCGAGGGGGCGGCCGCGGCGGGGATCTGGTCCCCGCCGCTCTCAGCCCCGGCCGGCGGCGACGGCGCGCGCGCTGGCGCAGCCTCCGCAGGCTGCTGGGCGCCTGCGCCGTCGGCGCTCTGACTGCCGCCAGCGGCGGGGCCGCCGCCGCGCTGCTTGTACAGGCACGCCTTGCGCTTGAGGCCGGGGCCGCCGTTCTTCTTCTTGTCGAGGCAGAACTCGCACGCGTTGCAGTCCATTCGGGGCCTCTCGGGCGAGGCTAAAAAGCTGCCGAGGCTCAACTGGCTGCGAGCTGCTGCCCTTTCGAATGCCTCGCAGCTCGGAAAAGAAAACCTTGCGACAAACAACCGTTACCTCCGCTCCCGCCAACCTCCCGCCGGCGCCCAGTTCCCGCGCCGGCGACGGACCAGCCTCCGCTTTTCCGAACGATGTTCAAGCGTGCCTCCTCCGCAGCGTGGAGTGTGGAGTCCCGCCCTCGCGCTCCGGCGAGACGCGCGCCCGGCGCACGCGAGACCCCCGCCGTCCGGCGCTGCACGACCCGCCGCAGCGCCGTCGCCGCGGCGCACCGCCGGCGGCGGCGGCGCGCTCCTAGAAGCGTAAGCGCTCGAACGACTCTCGGGCCGCGACAATCTTGCGGGACACGTTCGTCGCCATTGCTAGGTCCGCGGGCGACACCTCCACGATGGCATCGCGCTCCCTTCGGCGCTCGATGTCGCGAGGATTGGATGCGCGCACCAACGAGGTGGGCGTATTGATGCGCTCCTGCAGCAGCACACGGACCAAGAGACGGGCTCGGGTGCCGGGAGCTGCGCGCGCGAGCTGCCGCGCTACGTCCTACGGACTTTGCGGTGCTATCGTGCTATCTGTGCATTGTGGTGGGCAGGCGCACATAGCCCAGCCCGAGGCAGCCCGCCAGGTTGCCGTAGGTGACCTTGGAGTAGTTGCCGGGCATAATCTCAACGAGATAGTGGAGGTGGGACGGCGACATCCACACGGCATTGGCAAGGCCCGCGCCATGCAAGCTGCGGAGGAGGCGGGGGCGGCGTGACACGCCGACAGCTTGACGTGACCGAGTTAGTTGCACGACTGTGTGAAGGCGGGATCGGGCTGGCGGGCACAGGCGCGTTGCGCACCCCCCAACTCCACACCGCAAATTTGAAAGATATTGTTGAAAATCAGGCCCGGCCGCAAATTTCTTCAACATTTTCGCAGGCGCTCCGCGCCTGCAGATTTTGAAATAAATTCGACAAAATTGGTACCTGGCCCAAAGAGAGGCGGTGTCTCCGTTTTTTTTACGTTATACGTTTATTTATCGAATCATAAACCGCACAGACAGCCGAGACTGGAGAGACAGCGACGACAGTCAGAAGGCAGCACTGGGTCCGGCGAAGGCGAATGCGATGACGGCCTCTAGTGCTTCACACAGGAGCAGTGCACTGGATAATGCTTCGCAGCCAGTTAACAGTACACAGACCGCAGACCTATCACGTACGACTCAATGACCTACACTGTTTTCGAGGCGGACGCTGTCTATTCCCTTCGGGAGAGAGAGCGCACGTCAGCGGGCGAAGAAGCGGCGCCCGCGCAGGCGTGCGCCACGCCGCCCACGTAACACGAAACGAGGAGCGCGCCCACCCTCGCCGCGACTGGCGGGCCCGTTAGCCTCCAGAACTGGCCCCAGGTTGAGATTTCCCCAGGCCTGCCCAGTGCTTGCACGTTACGATAGTCGAGGGCGAGCGCGCCTCCCGGCTCAAAGTGCCGCACGACTGAGCGAAGCTGCGCCGTATAGGCAGCCGCGATCGCGCCCGCGCCAGTTGTCGCCGATAGCCACGTGAATGCTGGCACGCGCTGTAGGTACCAGTGTGCGGTCGCCTGCCCGCGGCTGTGCACCCAGTAGCAGCCCAGACACGTCGTGGGCGGCCCGAAGAGCACGGCCATGCCGACGCACATTTCCCTTTGCGCAAGAAGAAAAATCTGTGGCAGCGAAACAACAAAGGGAAATTACTCAGGACATTTCCTGGACAACAAGAAATTAGGTGACATTTCCTGGAGAGGACAGGAAAGCGACAGCAGCATGCCGATGCCGTCAGTGTCAACCGCTGCTGCGCCACCGATGATGGGGCGCCTCCTGCTCATCCTCTCCTTCGCCCTGTGCGACGTGCACGGCTTTTTCGCTGGCAGCACACAGTTCGCCGCTCCGGCGCCGCAGCGCCTCGCCACACCGCCGTTTGCCAGCCGCAGCGCTCCGCACGCCCTTCGGATGGGTGGCGCAAAGGATGGCCCATTCACGCCTCTGGTCAAGCTCACCAAGCGCGTCATGGGTGAGCAGCGCTTTCTCAAGTTTCGCGCCAACGTCATCAGCGAGCACACAAAGGTGATCCAGGCGTTCGTGGAGACCTCCGACAGCCCGTTCGGATGCATCGCCCTGAAGAAGATGTTTGAGCTTGCAGACATGGACGGTTCGGGGGCTATCGACGGCGAGGAGCTGAAGGCCGCGCTGAGGAGACTTGGCTTCTCGCACCTCAGCGACGACCAAATCGACAAGATCCTTGCTCGTGCCGACGCAGACGACAACTGCACGATTGATTATGACGAGTTTGTTAAGGAGGCGCCGAAAACCCTAAAGGTGAACCTGGTCAAGCTAGCAAAGGCCAACGGCGCCGAGCTCGGCTTTCTCAGTTAGGCCGTCGTTGCGGCCATGCGTGAGTGTAGCGGGTTGAGCGGCTCGTCGGAACGGTGCAGCCCTTGTCTGGCGTTGGCGGGGACGCGTGCCATTCGGCTCGTCCACCCTCTCGCCGCTCGGGCTCCCGTCCGCGAGGCTCCTCCCAGCAATCCTGGTCTCGCCTTTAGAGGGATTCGCGAGGCTGCAAGCCTGTGTCTGGTCTCAATGCGCCGTGGTGTGTGCAGCAGGGTCCAGGCGACCAGGGGAGCGTCCACATAGGACATAGCTCGTAGGAAGAGAGAGAGCGAGAAACAAAAAAGAAAGAAAGAAAACGGACAACCCAAGGGAGGGATGGGAGGACGGCACGAGAAACAAAGCATCGTACAAGCTGTAGGGCGTGCACTTGGAGCACTTGGAGTGCAGTCATTAACCTCACATCCAGGGCCGGGGAGCTGAGAAGCGCACCCAGCGAGCCGGATGGCGGATGATCGGCATCGGGCTACGGGCTAGAGAGCCCTGACCCCTAGCTAGGGGGGGTGCGCATTCGCAGGGCAAGGGCCTTAAAGTAAACACGGGTCTCCGAGGGTTAGCTCCGCGCTCCAGGTTTCCCCTAGCAGCAGAACGCCCCCTCTACTCGGAGCTAGTAAACACTCGACACGGACTCGACGCCCATCCACACCCGGCACCTCACCACACCGGGCCCCTCTTCGAGGTCTCCCAACTTTCACTCCGGGGCGTCTTCCCCCACCTCTCGGTCCTTCCTCCTGGCCGCATCCCGATAGTTGTGCGACGGGCGCGGGGCCCGACCTCCCCTGCAGAGTGTCTCCGCGTCGAGCTGAGCCTCCAGCTCCACACCTTCGGCCGTGGTCGGCGTGATGCCGTCCACATCGGCGAGGTTGACATGTCCGTGCCCGGTCCTCTCCTCCGCATCCGCGCCGCCCGATGCGACGCTGGCCGCGCGCCCGCCCACGGCGAGGACCTCGGCGTCGGCGGTACCCTCGACCCCGGTCTTGTAGGGGCCGTCTCCGTCCTCGTCAGAGGGGTACTCTCTCCCGTGCGCCGGTCCCGTTGGCGGCGGGTAGGCAGGCGCGGGGCCGACCGGCTCGGGCGGCGACGGCGGTGCCGATGGCGACGGTTGCGCCCCCCTCGGTCCCGCCTCCCCCGCCATGTTTCCCCCCCCCCCCGAATAATTGGAAGACTCCTCAGTCACACCCATGGAGGACGCACACACTACACTGGGTCCGGCGCGTGGCGTGGACAGGGGCGGTGGCAGTGACGGCGGCGACCCCGACGTGGGCCTTAGACTAGCCCCCTTCCCCTTCCGCGGCCATCTGCGCCGACTGCGCTTTTGCTTGCAAGAAGTTTTTTCGTTGTGTTCGCTGTCGGGGGGTTCGCGTTCAGCGTGCCATGCTGCCGCTCACGCCTGTCATCCATCTCGCCGCCGCCGGCGAGTCGTGCTGGGACGCCTGCTCCAGCGCAGGCTCCTTCTACGGTGGCCGCTGTGCCGGGTCCCCATGCGCCGACACTGAGCTGTGCTGTCGCTCGGACATGCCTGCAGCAGCAGGCTGCGCCGGTCTGGGATGCGTGGGCGAGCACTGCTGCGCCGACGTCGCGTCTGCAGAGGTCAGCAACGAGGGTGAGCACTGTATAGAGGACTGCGTCGATCCGACAGGCGAGTTCGACCCCGCATGCCGGAGCGGCTTCTGCGGCTCTGGCGGCTTTTGCTGCATGCGGCATCAGCCGGCGAAGGGGTTCGTGGGGTGTGGCGACGCTGGGTGCCGCGGCTACCACTGCTGCGTGTCGGTGGTCGGCGAGAGCGCGCCGGTCCTCAACGAGCACGTCGACTGCTGGTCTCGCTGCTTGGATCCAGAGGGCGAGAGCGGCGGATGCAGCTCCGGGTTTTGCGGCTCGGGCCTCTGCTGCCGCGGGGACCTCGAGTACCCGTTCGACGACCCGGTCTGCGGCGAGAGCGGCTGCTGGGGGTATCACTGCTGCGTCTTGCCGGGCAGCGAGGCAGCGCAGAGCCTTGCCGACGCCCCGCCTGCCTGGGTGGTTGCAGCGGTATGCGTGGCCTCCGCGCTGCTACTCGTCGCCGTATTGCTGCTGCTTCGCACGTGCCAGGTGACGGCTCGTGCGAGAAAGGCGGCCGGCGTCCTGCTGGAGGGGCACGACTTCTCGACCGGCACGCCGCCATCCAACACGCCCAACGGCAGGGAGAGCGGCGAGGCGACGTGGCGCGCGTACACCCCGTACGAGCACGACGAGCCCTCCCTCTCCTCGAGCCGGACGGCGTCCTCCTTCGAGGTGGCCTCGCCCGCGGGCGCGAACCAGGACCGCCTCCATCAGCTGCAGACCATCCGCAAAAACTTCCCCTCCCAAGAGGAGCCCGAGTGGCTTCGCGACGCGGAGGAGGCGGTCTCTTTCGGCTCGCCTGGTCCGCTGCGGAGCGGATCCGCCGCCAGCGACCGCCGCGCGCCCAGTGGGTCGTCGCTACGCGGCTCATGGCGCTTGCTGTGAGAACGAGCCAGCACTCGCCCACAGCTACACGCCGCGCAGCGCGGGAACGGAGCTTTTATGATATATTTCACGAGCGTCTCGCCTCGCCGGTCGGCGGGCTCTCGCTCTGGCTCTCACGTCTCAGGACTCAGCTCGTACTCGCTTGCTCTTTTTTTTCGCTCCAGCCCTGCGGGTCTTCAGTAGACCGGAGGGCTACGACGCCTTCACACTCCAACGGGCTGGCTCTCAGCTGACAACAGCTGTTCTTCATTACCCAGGCTGCACTCCCTGTGCCGCACATAAGTGAGTCAGCAGTTTCAGAGGACTCACACTCAGGAGCGGCACCACCACCAGGGTGTGTGGAGCGCCGCTCGAGTGTCGAGACCGGCTGCCAGCCTCCAATTCCGCCATCTCTCTGCCCATCCGCCCAAAAATGCCAGCGAGCAATATACAACTCGCAAAAGAAAGTAATAATGATCCGTGGCTCCGGCTCAGGTCAGAGGGCCCAGCCACTCGAGGGTCCTGTGTAAACGGGCATTGCCTGTGGTCTTCAACGCACAAAGGGTGTGAATAGAGCTCTCTTGATCCTTCTGAGCACGAAGACCACTCGAACTCTTCTGCAGACTTTAGTTTTTCCGGTTTTCATTAGCTGTGAATAGTTATTGCGCCCGCCGCAGCCCGCCCTATTCACCAGGGCACGCGCCACGGGCCACGAGAGCCCTGGAAGAGCCCAGCTGGCATGTTCTATCGCCCGCGCGGGTGGCGGGCTGTCTGCACACAGACGTCTCGTCGCCATGGCTGACGCACGGATGGTCCGACCTGTGGCGGAGTTTGACCTCAGCTCGGCCGTCGGTGTCGGCGGGCTGACGGCGGCCGCCGGAATCGCGATTCGCTCTGCCAGCTGCCAGCAGCCTCGTGTCGCCGCTCTCGTTGCGCAGCAGCAGCGATTGGCCTTTGCGCCGTCGCCCGGCGTCACCGCCGATCGGTCCCTTGCAGCTCCTGCAGCTCCTGCTGCTCCTGCTGCTCCTGCTGCTCCTGCCGCTCTTCCTCTCTCCTGTGGGAGATCCCCACTGGGAACGAGCGCTTAATCCTCGATCGATGCTCGTAGAGATTGCGATGGAGATCTTGTGTATTTGAGCTAAGAATCGTCAAAATTTTCTTCGCGGGGCTCTGCCCCGCACCCCGGTTGGTTGGGGCTCCCGCCCCAGACCCCGGCTGGGGCTCCCGCCCCAGACCCCGTTTACACATGAGCTATGCCCCACGACCTGAGCCGGAGCCCGTGCATGCGTTGAACGTGAATGTTGAAGCAGTGCAGCGTGGAGCGATTCTACTTTCTAGCGATGCGTTGAAGGATGAAGCACGACGGCTGGGCCGGTCGGTGGCGGCAACTTTAAGGACCGCAGCGCACAGGGCCGCGTGCAAGTGGCAGCAGTAGCAGAGTGATCGCCGGCTGCCGCTCACGGCGGTTGGCGGGGTCTCATCCGAACATCTTGCCGTACATCTTCTTCTCCTTGTCGAGCTGCCGCTTGATTTGCGCCTCGACGCGCTGCTGCAGCTTGGGGACGGCCTTGTCGTCGGGTGCAATCTGGGCGGCGGCGGCGAGGTCGGCCTTGGCCGCCTCGTAGTCTTTCTTTTGCTCGAGGGCGGTGGCGCGGCGGTACAGCGCCTTGACGTTCTCGCCGTCCAGCGCGAGCGCGTCGGTGCACGATCGGATGGCCTGGTCGAGGCGAGGGCGAGGTTGGGCGGTTGAGAGCGATGGAGGGCGACAGAGGGCGATGCAAGGCTTTTGGGAGGGCGAGCTCGCCTGGTCGAGGTGGTTGGTCGCGTCGGTGATCTTGAGCCAGCACATGGCGATGTTGAGGTGGAGGGACAGCTTGAGCGCGTCCACCTCCTCCCTCTGGTCGGGCGACAAGTCGACGAACTTGGCGGCGTGCGTCAGCGCCTTGTTGTAGCGCGCGGCCGCCTGGCGGTACTGCGTCACGTCGACGGCGCCCTTGAAGAGCTCCGTGCCCTCGTCCTTGTTCTTCTGCACCATCCGAAGCCGGTCGGGGTACTTCAGCCTCCGCTGGTCGTGGTCCTCGTCCTCGCCGTTTGCCGCGCGCTCGGCTGCAGCGGCGTCGGCGCTCGCCTGCAGCGCGGCCTCGCTCGCCACCCGCTCCGCCTCGACCTTCTCGCGGAAGGCAACCATCGTGCCGTCCACCCTGACGCGCAGCGCGGCCAGGAAGGCGCCGAGCTCGCCGCAGCCGGCCGCCTCTCCCGCGTCCGAGTACAGCCAGTCCTCGGCCTCGTCCAGCATTGGCTCCAGCGACGCCCCGTCGATGAGCGAGCCATGCTTGCGGCTCCGCATGCCGCGCGCCTCGAGGATGTACCCCTCGAGCTCGTTGACGGCCGCCGAGCGCGCCGCCGCAGCCGCGTCGCGGCCCGCCATCTCCGCCTCCGCGGCCACGCAGACCGCCAGCGCCTCCGCGCCCAACGCGCTGCCGTGAGCAGCGTCCGCAGCCTCCGCCTCGCCGGCCGCCGCGGCCGCCCCCGCCTCCCCCGCGGTGGCGGCCCCCGCCCCCGCCGCCGGCCCTGCCGCGTCGACCGCCCGCTTGGCGACGAGGGCTGCTCCGACGGCGAGGGAGGCGTCGTCGAGTTTGGCGCCAAAGCGCCTGTCCTCGAGACCGCCGACCGCGGCGCCCGCCGCCGACTCGAGCAGCGCCTGCGTGACAGCCTCTTGCACCGCCGGGATGCGGGTCCCTCCGCCCGCGAGCTCCACCTACGGTGCGTGCCGTCGACGTGTCGCGGGAGGCGTCCTATACAAGGCCTCTTCAGGGTCGCACGACGACCGACCGACGCGAGCCGCTCGAGGCCAGCGGTGGAGAGCGCTCGCCGCGTCATCGCGCCGAGCTTGGCGAGGAGGGGCGCGAGCAGGGCGACGAAGTCGTCGCGCGCCAGCTTGAGCGGCACGTCGCACCCGTCCACCAGGTTCTCCACCGACACCGCCGCCTCGGGCAGCGTCGAGAGCAGCTTGCGCAGCCTCTCGCAGCCGTCCAGCAGCCGCCAGCCGGCGCGGCTGGCGGGCTTGATGGGCGTCCCGTGCGACGCGCCGACCTTGGCGCCGAAGTGGTCGAAGAGCGCGTCGTCCATCTGGTCGCACCCCAGAAAGGCGTCGCTCTCCTCGTACAGCAGCTCGGCGCGCCACGCCGCGGCGCCCTCCTTGGCGCCCTCCTTGGCCAGCGGGTGCAGCCGCACCGCCGCCACAAAGGCGCAGCTGTGGCCGACGTCGACGACGAGAGTGTCGACCGCCGCCTCGCCACGGGGGTACTTGCGTGCGAGCGCCTCGCCCGCCGCCTCCGCCGGCGTCGGAAGAGCGACCACCTCCCCCCACCCTCCGACGGCAGCAGCGTCGGCGAGCGCCGCCTTTGCAAAGCGGCGGCTGGCCTCCGCCTCCTCCGGACTCGCGCCGGCCGCGGCGCAGGGCGGCAGCGAGAGCGCGACGGGCGACCCTGCCGCCGCGCCCGACGTGGACCGCAGCTTTCCCAGCAGCGCACCGAGGAGGGCGACGCCGCTCTGGTCGCCAAAGCCAGGCACCGCTAGCTGCGAGAGCCCGGAGGCGTGCTCGGACCGTGGGAAGGGCCAGTGGCGCGCGACCGCGGCGTCGGCGAGCGCGGAGTGCTTCAGCAGGCCCAGCCGAGGCACCGAGCAGACCCGGTCCTTCGCCTGCGACCCGCCGGCAGCCTCGCCGAGCTTGCGCTCGGCGGCCGTGAATGCGACGATGGACGAGGTGCGGACGCCGCCGTCCTCGTTGCGGAGGATGGCCCCGTCGGCCGACGCCACGACAGCGGCCTGCGAGCCGAGGTTGATGCCGACGACCATCTGTCGTCTGGAGACAGGAGGCTGTGCTGCACGCGGCCTCGGCCGGCGTATTTTTTTCGTGCATTTGTTTTTAAACGATGGCTCTTAAACGTACATTCAGCGCGGAGATTTCTTTTTACAACGCAGGCGCGCCTTTGTCCCCGTTTTTGAGGGCTCACGCGCTCTGCTGGCTTCCGCCGGCGCCTATCCGCGATGGAGATTCAGCCTCGCGCGAACAAGAACCGTCCGGCGCAGCAGTCGACCAAGCGCGCCGTCTCCACGCTCCGCGTCGCGCCCGGCCTCAGCGCCTCTGCCGGCGCAGACAAGTCGGGCCGCGACCCGCGGTTCGACGCGGTGAGCAAGGGGGCGGTGGACGAGCACGCGTGGCGGCAAAAGTACGGCTTTGTGTTTGACAAGCAGCGCGAGGAGGTGCGGCAGCTCAAGTCGACGCTCGCCTCCGCCAAGGCGGCGGCCAAGGCGCAGCACGCGGGCGCGCCAGGCGCCAAGCGGAAGCGGAGGAAGCGCGGCGCGTCGGCGGCGGCGCTCCCGCCGCACGAGGTGGAGGCGCTCAAGCTCGAGCTGAGCCGCAAGTCGAACCAGCTGATGGCGCACGACCAGGCCGCCGAGCGGCAGCGGCTCAAGTCGGCGGTGCGCAAGAAGGAGGTGGTGGCGGTTGCGGCGGGCAAGCGGCCGTACTACAAAAAGGCGCGCGAGATCCGGGAGGAGCAGCTCACCGAGCAGTTCCAGCAGCTGGAGAAGAGCGGCCGGCTCGACAACTACATGGCGAAGAAGCGGAAGCAGCGCGCGAGCAAGCAGCGCAAGGCACTGCCCACGTACTCCGACTACACGACCTAGAGCTCCGCGCCGCCCCTGTGATGTGTGGGTGTGGTCTGTTTCGTGTGAGAGGGAGTGCTTGCGGGTAGTTTGCCTTCAACGGCTTCATTCCGGAAAAAAATTGAAAAGAGGCTTCCCTCGAAGATGCGGCGGACTTGGAGCACTTGGAGTGCAGTCATCAACCGCACATCCAGGGCCGGGGAGCTCAGAAGCGCACCCAGCGGGCCGGATGATTGGCATCGGGTTACGGGCTAGAGAGCCCTAGCCCCGGGGGTGCGCGTTCGCAGGCCAGTGGGAATTCTCTTTAGCGATTCGCCTCCTTCAGATTCGCTTCACCGCCTTCTGCTCCTTCGGCCGGGGCGCGGTGCCGCCGACAGCATGCTCGTACGGATCGGGCGCTTCGCGAAGGAGCACCCGTTCAAGTTCGGGTGCGCCTTTTCCTGCGCAAAGACCTCCTTCTCAGACTACCTCGTGCAGACGTACCTCGAGAAGCGCGAGCGCATAGACTGGCGACGGAATGCGACCTTTGCCAGCTTCGGGCTCGTCTACCTCGGCGGCGTGCAGTACGCGCTCTACGTGCCCATCTTCGGGCGCCTCTTCCCGGGCGCCGCGTCCTATGCCGCCAAGCCGCTGCGCGCAAAGCTCGCCGACGGCGCTGGCTCGCGCTCGATGCTAATGCAGGTCGTGCTGGACCAGTTCGTGCACCACCCGCTCATGTACTTCCCCGCCTTCTACTCGCTCAAGGAGGTGGTGAGCGGCGGCTCCGTCTCGCAGGGCCTCGCCAAGTACGGCAACAACTACCAGGAGGACCTGCTCGCGCTCTGGAAGCTGTGGGTGCCGTCCACGATTGTCAACTTCGCCTTCATGCCGATGCACCTGCGCATCCCGTGGGTCGCGACGACATCGCTCTTCTGGACGTGCATCCTCTCGTACATGCGCGGCGGCGACGACGTGGTGACGATGCCCGAGGAGGCGATGGACATGCTCGGCAGCCAGGGCCGCTCGCTGCAGGGCATCTACGACCTCGGCGTGTCCGCCACGCCCGAGTACTGCTACGACACGACGAAGGAGCACCTGCTCTTCACCGCGTCGGGACGCGACCGGATCGGCTTCATCCAGGAGGTGTCCAACACCGTCCTCCAGCACGGCGGCGCGGTGCACGACGTCAAGGCGTACAAGGTCGGCCGCGACTTTGTCACCATCATGCTCGTCGAGTCGGAGCCGGCGTCCGTGAGCGGGATGGTGTCCGACATGCAGCAGCTGAGCCAGGGCGACATCCACGTGAACGTGCAGCGCACGCAGCCCTGGATGTCCAGCTCCGACTCGCCGCGCTGCCGCGACGGAGTCAACTTCACCGGCCACCTGCGCGCAGTCGGCCCGGACCGGCGCGGTATGCTGCTCGACCTGACGAACCTGCTCTCGCGGCTGGAGCTCGACATCATGTCCTTCTCCTCGAACCAGAAGCTCCAGCGCGCGGGCCCCGACGAGCCTCCCTCCGTCGTCTTCCAGATGTCGGGCGTCGTCCGCGCTTTCCACGACGTCGACCGAAAGGCCATCGCCGACGGCCTCGCCGCCTTCAACCGCGAAAACAACTGCCGCGTGACGCTGCAGGAGACGGAGACCGACCTCTCCTACTCCGCCTTCCAGTCGACGCACCAGAGCCGCCCGCTGCGGCCCGGAGCTGCCGCCGCACGTAGCATGAAACGCTCGCTCACCGGCGCTTTGCCGGCGCCGGCGGCAGCGCCGGCGCGCTAGGCCACTGCACCAGTACCGTTCAGACTCGAGAGAGAGGTCACGTAGTACAATGTCCATGGGCCCTACGGGTGGCCAGGGGGGGGAGGTCGGTCTGAGAGACGAAGGGGGAGGGGGAGAGTTGTTCCGCTCGTGCTCGTGGTTCGTTTGGCGGGCGCGCGGGACGCTTTCTGCCTGTGGGAGGTTTTGACTGGAGGTGCGCCTTGACGTGTGGCATGTGCGGATGTCTATTGTACTCCTTGTTATTTGTGTGCGTGTAACAGACAGTCAGCCCATCTATTCAACGGGCATGAACCGCCCCTCACCACGACGGTCTCACACACTGCACCGTCGCTCACTTCACACTTCACACTTTTCTCGGGTCCGTTGGCCTCTTTCGTAGGGAAGAATTTTGATACCCGTCAAGACGCCTGCTGGGGGCAGCTTCGCGATGAAGCCGTCTGCTCCCCCCAGCAAGGCACACACAAGACAGATAGGAGGAGAAAGGGGATGGTGGTGGGTTCGACGAGGCGAGAGAGCGCGCACAGACTGACGTCAGCTACGCTCCTGAAGGACACCTCTGAAAGGCACCTTCGTCTGAGGACGGCGTCTGAAGACGACGGCCTCTGGTCAGATTCGGTCTCGTCGCTAGACTCCGATTTCTCTTTGTCAGGCCATGTGCCGCTCGCTCGTCCGCCCAAGTGACTTGGACGCGCGGTCGAGGGCACCCCACCGTTCCTGGGGCGCGCTGGCGCTCACCGCTGGCGCTCACCAGCGGTCACCCCCCACCCATCCACCCTTTTGTCTTTGAGGCTGTCGCTCCGAGAAAACTTGTCTCGCAGCTGCGAGAAATTACCTTCTCGGGTCCGTTGGCCTCTTTCGTAGGGAAGAATTTTGATACCCGTCAAGACGCCTGCTGGGGGCAGCTTCGCGATGAAGCCGTCTGCTCCCCACTTGTCAACAGCAGGCGCTGGCGCCATCAACGTATCAACGTTCCTCCCACATGATGTTGACAGGGTGGGCGGGTGGTCCATCCATTTGCTCCAAGGTAATCGCAAGCAGACCGCATGGCTTGGCTGCGACGGCGACTGACAGAACTGCGAGAACTGCGACGGCGACTGCCAGGACTGCGATCCGCCTCGGGCATACAGGTAGTGCAGCGGGCACGCGGTCGAACACGCCTTCAGAGCGCGCGCCGAAGCGAGCACCAACACCGCTCGTCGAGCCGCCGTCGATGGCGGTGGCGGCAGCCCCGCCGGCGCCCTCGAGAGTGGCCCAGCCGCACACACACGCGAGCGCTCGCCGCCCCCCCCCTCAAAGAGGCGGGGTGGTGACGGGCGCCCGCGGCTGGTGCACGAGCGGCGATGGTGTTGCCCGCCCGCCGAGCCGCGCGCGGGCAGCGCAGGGGCAGCGCGAGCAGCCACGACATGGTGCGGTAGCAGCGCCGCGCCCGGCGCACCAGCGGCGGCGGCAGCTTTGAGCCCGGCCGCAAATCGCCTCGGGCATACAGGCAGTGCAGCGGGCATGCGGCCGGGCACCGCCTCCAGAGCGTGCGCCGAGACGAGCACCCAATACCGCTCGCCGAGCCGCCGCCGCGGCAGCGGACGGCGCCGCGGCCCGGCCGGCAGCATGTCGCCAAGGGGGGGAGGCGAGCGCGCCCCACCGACGGTAAGGGGTACTGCCAGGCCCACTCGCCGGGCGCCGGGACGAGGAAAGGCGAGCTGGCCCGATGGCCAGCTGGCCCGAAGGCGAGCTGGCCCGATGGACGCAATGTCCCGATGGACGCAATGTCCCGATGGACGCAATGTCCCGATGGCCAACTGACCCGAAGGCGAGCTGTCCCGATGGACGCAATGTCCCGATGGCCAACTGACCCGAAGGCGAGCTGTCCCGATGGACGCAATGTCCCGATGGCCAACTGACCCGAAGGCGAGCTGTCCCGATGGACGCAATGTCCCGATGGCCAACTGACCCGAAGGCGAGCTGTCCCGATGGACGCAATGTCCCGATGGCCAACTGACCCGAAGGCGAGCTGTCCCGATGGACGCAATGTCCCGATGGCCAACTGACCCGAAGGCGAGCTGTCCCGATGGACGCAATGTCCCGATGGCCAACTGACCCGAAGGCGAGCTGTCCCGATGGACGCAATGTCCCGATGGCCAACTGACCCGAAGGCGAGCTGTCCCGATGGACGCAATGTCCCGATGGCCAGCTGACCCGAAGGCGAGCTGTCCCGATGGACGCAATGTCCCGATGGACGCAATGTCCCGATGGACGCAATGTCCCGATGGCCAGCTGACCCGAAGGCGAGCTGTCCCAATGGACGCAATGTCCCGATGGCCAGCTGACCCGAAGGCGAGCTGTCCCGATGGACGCAATGTCCCGATGGCCAGCTGACCCGAAGGCGAGCCGTCCCGATGGACGCAATGTCCCGATGGCCAGCTGACCCGAAGGCGAGCTGTCCCGATGGACGCAATGTCCCGATGGCCAGCTGACCCGAAGGCGAGCTGTCCCGATGGACGCAATGTCCCGATGGCCAACTGACCCGAAGGCGAGCTGTCCCGATGGACGCAATGTCCCGATGGCCAGCTGACCCGAAGGCGAGCTGTCCCGATGGACGCAATGTCCCGATGGCCAGCTGACCCGAAGGCGAGCTGTCCCGATGGACGCAATGTCCCGATGGCCAGCTGACCCGAAGGCGAGCTGGCCCGATGGACGCAATGTCCCGATGGACGCAATGTCCCGATGGACGCAATGTCCCACCGCTGCGCCCGGTGAGTGAGTGAGCGACGGCGACAGCTCTGAGCTCAGCCGCACATCGCCTCGGGCACGCAGGCAGTGCAGCGGGCGTGCAGCCGAGCACGCCTCCAGAGCGTGCGCCGAAGTGAGCATCAACGCCGCTCGCCGACCCGCCGTCGAGCGTAGCGGGCTGGGCCGCGGCCCGGCCGGCAGCACGCGTCGCCAAGAGGGTGGGGCGAGGGTGCCCCACCGACGGCAGGAGATGCTGTCAGGTCCAGTCGCCGGGCGCCGGGACGAGGGGAGAGTGCTGCCACCGAGGCGGATAGCACTGCAGACCGCCACATCGCTGCAGAGCACGTCGGCGGCGGGCTAGCCCCGGCGGCACGTTGCGCGGAGTGAGACGGCAGCGGCGGCGGCGTGCGAAGGCGCCGCAAAGCGGGAGCGCCGGGCCAGCGGGGGGCTTGCGCCCAGGGCAAGTTCCTTGCCGAGCATTGGGCGCGACGCTCTCGTCGGCGCGGCCGGGGAGGCGACCGCGGCGCAGTGCCCGCTCAAGTAGAGCGGCGGCGGTGGCGGCGGCCCCGCCGGCGCCCTCGAGAGTGGCGCAGCCGCACGCACATGCGAGCGCTCGCCGCCCCCCCCCAGAGAGGCGGGGTGGTGACGGGCGCCCGCGGCTGGTGCACGAGCGGGGATGGGGCCGCCCGCCCGCCGAGCCGCGCGTGGGCAGCGCAGAGGCAGCGCGAGCAGCCACGCCACGGCGCGGTAGCAGCGCCGCGCCCGGTGCACCAGCGACGGCGGCAGCTCTGAGCCCGGCCGCAAACCGCCTCGGGCATACAGGCAGTGCAGCGGGCATGCGACCGGGCATCGCCTCCAGAGCGTGCGCCGAGACGAGCACCCAATACCGCTCGCCGAGCCGCCGCCGCGGCAGCGGACGGCGCCGCGGCCCGGCCGGCAGCACGTCGCCAAGGGGGGGAGGCGAGCGCGCCCCACCGACGGTAAGGGGCACTGCCAGGCCCACTCGCCGGGCGCCGGGACGAGGAGAGGCGCACTGCCGTCAGCGCGGCGGATCGCACTGCAGACCGCAACGTCGCCGTACATATTGGCGGCGGGCGAAGACGAGCGTCGCGTCGCGCGGAGCGAGACGGTAGCGGCGGCGGCGTGTGAGAGCGGCAGAGGCGCTGCAAGGCGTGAGCGAAGGGCTGGGAGGCTCTCGCTCCTTAGCAAGCGCCCTGCCGAGCGCTGAGCGCGACGCCCTCGTCAGCGAGGCTGGAGAGGCGACCACAGCGCAGCGCGCGTGCAAAGCGGAGCGGCGGCTGGGGCGGCCGCCTCGCAGTCGCCCTCGAGAGTGGTCTGGCGCCCGCACACGTGAGCGCGCGCCGCCCCCCTCCTCCCGGAGAGACGGGACGGCGACGGGTGCCCGCAGCCGCGGCGCACAAGCGGCGACAGTGTCGCCTGCCTGCCGAACCACGAGTAGGCAGCGCAGGGGCACCACGAGCAGCCACGCGGTGGTACCGGCGGCGCTCCCGGCGCCGCAGCGGCGGCGACAGCTCGGAGCTCAGCCGCACATCGCCTCGGGCCCACAGGCAGTGCAGCGGGCACGCGGCCGAGCACGCCTCCAGGCACGCCTCCGGAGCGTGCGCCGAAGTGAGCACCAACGCCGCTCGCCGACCCGCCGTCGAGCGTAGCGGACTGGGCCGCGGCCCGGCCGGCAGCACGCGTCGCCAAGGGGGAGGGGCGAGCGTGCTCCACCGACGGCAGGAGATGCTGTCAGGTCCAGTCGCCGGGCGCCGGGACGAGGGGAGCGCGCTGCCACCGAGGCGGATCGCACTGCAGACCGCCACATCGCTGCAGAGCATGTCGGCGGCGGGCGAACCCCGGCGGCACGTTGCGCGGAGTGAGACGGCAGCGGCGGCGGCGTGCGAAGGCGCCGCAGAGCGGAGGGCGCCGGGCCAGCGGGAGGCTCGCTCCCCGGGCAAGCGACTTGCCGGGCACTGAGGGCGACGCTCTCGTCGGCGCGGCCGGAGAGGCAACCGCGGCGCAGTGCCCGCTCAAGTGGAGCGATGGCGGTGGCGGCAGCCCCGCCGGCGCCCTCGAGAGTGGCGCAGCCGCACGCACACGCGAGCGCTCGCCGCCCCCCCCTCAAAGAGGCGGGGTGGTGACGGGCGCCCGCGGCTGGTGCACGAGTGGCGATAGTGTCGCCCGCCCGCTGAGCCGCGCGTGGGCAGCGCAGAGGCAGCGCGAGCAGCCACGACAGGCGCGGTAGCAGCGCCGCGCCGGGGTACTAGCGGCGGCGGCAGCTCTGAGCCCGGCCGCAGATCGCCTCGGGCATACAGGCACCGGCAGCGCGGCGGGCATGTGGCCGGACACGCCTCCAGAGCGCGCGCCGAAGCGAGCATCGACACCGCTCGCCGAGCCGCCGTCGAGGCAGCGGACTGCGCCGCGGCCCGGCCGGCAGCGCGTCGCCAAGCGAGAGGCAAGCGTGCCACGCCGACGGCAAGAGGTAGCGCCGGGTCCACTCGCCGGGAGCGGGACGAGGAGAGCGCGCTGCTGCCACCGCGGCGGATCGCACCGCAAAACGCAGCGTCGCCGCAAGCGCGTCGGCGGCAGTGAACACGAGCGTCTCGTCGCGCAGAACGAGACGGCAGCGGTGGCGGCATGCGAGGGCGGCGGCGGCGCCGCAAGCGGACGTGACGGGCCAGGAGGCTCTCGCTCCTCGGGCAGGCGCCTCGCCGAGCACTGAGCACGACACCCTCGTCGGCGAGGCTGGAGAGGCGAGACCCCGGCGCGGCGCACGCTTAGAGCAGAGCGGCTGCGGGGCGGCGGCCTCGCCGTCGTCCGGCCGCACGCACCCGCACACACGCGCGCGCCGCCCGCCGCCCTTTCCATAGAGACGGGGTGGAAATGGGCGGCCGCGGCTGGCCAGCGAGTGGCGATGGTGCCGCCCGCCGGCCGAGCCACGTGTTGGCAGCGCGCAGAGGCCGCGCGAGCGGCCACGCCGTGGTGCCGGCGGCGCTGCGCCCGGTGAGTGAGTGAGCGACGGCGACAGCTCTGAGCTCAGCCGCACATCGCCTCGGGCACGCAGGCAGTGCAGCGGGCGTGCAGCCGAGCACGCCTCCAGAGCGTGCGCCGAAGTGAGCACCAACGCCGCTCGCCGACCCGCCGTCGAGCGTAGCGGGCTGGGCCGCGGCCCGGCCGGCAGCACGCGTCGCCAAGAGGGTGGTGCGAGGGTGCCCCACAGACGGCAGGAGATGCTGTCAGGTCCAGTCGCCGGGCGCCGGGACGAGGGGAGAGTGCTGCCACCGAGGCGGATAGCACTGCAGACCGCCACATCGCTGCAGAGCATGTCGGCGGCGGGCTAGCCCCGGCGGCACGTTGCGCGGAGTGAGACGGCAGCGGCGGCGGCGTGCGAAGGCGCCGCAAAGCGGGAGCGCCGGGCCAGCGGGGGGCTTGCGCCCAGGGCAAGTTCCTCGCCGAGCATTGGGCGCGACGCTCTCGTCGGCGCGGCCGGGGAGGCGACCGCGGCGCAGTGCCCGCTCAAGTAGAGCGGCGGCGGTGGCGGCGGCCCCGCCGGCGCCCTCGAGAGTGGCGCAGCCGCACGCACACGCGAGCGCTCGCCACCCCCCCCCAGAGAGGCGGGGTGGTGACGGGCGCCCGCGGCTGGTGCACGAGCGGGGATGGCGTCGCCCGCCCGCCGAGCCGCGCGTGGGCAGCGCAGGGGCAGCGCGAGCAGCCACGCCACGGCGCGGTAGCAGCGCCGCGCCCGGTGCACCAGCGACGGCGGCAGCTCTGAGCCCGGCCGCAAACCGTCTCGGGCATACAGGCAGTGCAGCGGGCATGCGACCGGGCACCGCCTCCAGAGCGTGCGCCGAGACGAGCACCCAATACCGCTCGCCGAGCCGCCGCCGCGGCAGCGGACGGCGCCGCGGCCCGGCTGGCAGCACGTCGCCAAGGGGGGGAGGCGAGCGCGCCCCACCGATGGTAAGGGGCACTGCCCGGCCCACTCGCCGGGCGCCGGGACGAGGAGAGGCGCACTGCCGTCAGCGCGGCGGATCGCACTGCAGACCGCAACGCCGCCGTGCATGTTGGCGGCGGGCGAAGACGAGCGTCGCGTCGCGCGGAGCGAGACGGTAGCGGCGGCGGCGTGTGAGAGCGGCAGAGGCGCTGCAAGGCGTGAGCGAAGGGCTGGGAGGCTCTCGCTCCTCGGGCAAGCGCCCTGCCGAGCGCTGAGCGCGACGCCCTCGTCAGCGAGGCTGGAGAGGCGACCACAGCGCAGCGCGCGTGCAGAGCGGAGCGGCGGCTGGGGCGGCCGCCTCGCAGTCGCCCTCGAAAGTGGTCTGGCGCCCGCACACGTGAGCGCACGCCGCCCCCCTCCTCCCGGAGAGACGGGACGGCGACGGGTGCCCGCGGCCGGCGCACGAGCGGCGACAGTGTCGCCTGCCTGCCGAACCACAATAGGCAGCGCAGGGGCACCACGAGCAGCCACGCGGTGGTACCGGCGGCGCGCCCGGCGCCGCAGCGGCGGCGACAGCTCGGAGCTCAGCCGCACATCGCCTCGGGCCCACAGGCAGTGCAGCGGGCACGCGGCCGAGCACGCCTCCAGAGCGTGCGCCAAAGTGACCCTTCACGCCGCTCGTCGGGCCGCCGAGCGGCAGCGGACTGCGCCGTGGCCCGGCCGGCCGCACGCGTGCCAGAGGAAGAGGCAGGCGCGCCCCGCCGACGGCAGGAGATGCTGTCAGGCCCACTCGCCGGGCGCCGGGACGAGGAAAACGCGCTACCGCCGCAGCGGCGGGTCGCGCTGTAGACCGCTACATCGCCGCAGAGCGTGCCGGCGGCGGGCGAGCCCCCGACAACAATACGCGCGGAGCAGGACGGCGGCGGCGGCGGCGTGTGAGGGCGGCGGCGCCGCCGCAGAGCGGGAGCGCCGGGCCAGTGGGAGGCTTGCCCCCCGGGCAAGCGCCTTGCCGGCATCGAGCGCGACGCTCCTGTCAACGCGGCCGGAGAGGCAACCGCGGCGCAGTGCTAAGTAGAGCGGCGGCGGTGGCGGCAGCCCCGACGGCGCCCTCGAGAGTGGCGCAGCCGCACGCACACGCGAGCGCTCGCCGCCCCCCCCAGAGAGGCGGGGTGGTGACGGGCGCCCGCGGCTGGTGCACGAGCGGCGATAGTGTCGCCCGCCCGCCGAGCCGCGCGTAGGCAGCGCAGAGGCAGCGCGAGCAGCCACGACATGGCGCGGTAGCAGCGCCGCGCCCAGGGCACCAGCGGCGGCGGCAGCTCGGAGCCCGGCCGCAAATCGTCTTGGGCATACAGGCACAGGCAGTGCGGCGGGCGGGCGGCCGGACACGCCTCCAGAGCGCGCGCCGAAGCGAGCACCAACACCGCTCGTCGGGCCGCTGACGAGGCAGCGGACTGCGCCGCGGCCCGGCCGGCAGCGCGTCGCCAAGCGAGAGGCGAGCGTGCCACGCCGACGGCAAGAGGTAGCGCCGGGTCCACTCGCCGGGAGCGGGACGAGGAGAGCGCGCTGCTGCCACCGCGGCGGGTCGCGCCGCAGAACGCAGCGTCGCCGCAAGCGCGTCGGCGGCAGTGAACACGAGCGTTTCGTCGCGCAGAACGAGACGGCAGCGGTGGCGGCATGCGAGGGCGGCGGCGGCGCCGCAAGCGGACGCGACGGGCCAGGAGGCTCTCGCTCCTCGGGCAGGCGCCTCGCTGAGCGCTGAGCACGACGCCCTCGTCGGCGAGGCTGGAGAGGCGGGACCACGGCGCGGCGCACGCTTAAAGCAGAGCGGCTGCGGGGCGGCGGCCTCGCCGTCGTCCGGCCGCACGCACCCGCGCACACGCGCGCGCCCGCCACCCTTTCCACAGAGACGGGGTGGCAATGAGCGGCCGCGGCTGGCCCGCGAGTGGCGACGGTGCCGCCCGCCGGCCGAGCCGCGCGTGGGCAGCGCGCAGAGGCCGCGCGAGCGGCCATGCCGTGGTGCTGGCGGCGCTGCGCCCGGTGAGTGAGTGAGCGACGGCGACAGCTCTGAGCTCAGCCGCACATCGCCTCGGGCACACCGACAGGGCGGGCATGCGACCAGGGCGTGCGCCGGAGCGAGCGCCAACGCCGCTCGCCGAGCTGCCGTCGAGGCAGTGGAAGGCGCCGCGGACTGGGTCGCGGCGCGATCGGCAGCACGCGCCGGCAGGGGCGAGCCGAGCGTGCCCCGCCGACGGCGGAGGTGTTGCCGGGTCCACTCGCCGGGCGCCGGGACAAGGGGAGCGCGCTGCCGCCACAGCGGCGGGTCGCACTGCAGACCGCCACGTTTCCGTAGAGTAGTCGGCGGCGGGCGATTCCCGACAGCACGTCGCGTGAGGCGAGACAGCAGCGGCGGCGGCGTGCGAGGGCAGCGGCGCCGCCGCAAAGCGGGCGCGACGGGTCAGGAGGCTCTCGCCCTTCGGGCAAGCGCCTTGCCGCGAGCGCCGAACCCGACGCCCTCGTCGGTGCGGCTGGAGAAGTGATTCTGGCGCAGCGCGCACTCGAGGCGGCGGCGGTGGCGGCAGCCTCGCCGTCGCCCTCGAGAGTGGTCCAGCCGCACACACACGTGAGCGCTCGCCGCCCCCCCCCCCCCCCAGAGAGAGGCGGTCGGGCGATGAGCGCCCGCGGCTGGCGCACAAGCAGCGATAGTGCTGCCCGCCCGCTGAGCCGTGAGTGGGCAGCGCCGAGGCAGCGCGAGCAGCCACGCCGCGGCGCTGACGGCGCCGCGCCCGGCGCACCAGCGAGTCGCACACCGCCTCGGGCCCACGGGCAATCTGTGCAGCGGGTGTGCGGCCGAGGATGCCTCCGGAGCGTGCATCGAAGTGTGCGCCAACGCCGACAAACATGGCGATCTGGCGATGCGCAGCGGCCGCGCGGCGCTCCACATGGCAGTCGCGGCCCAGCCAGAAGAGTCGGGAAGCCGAGCGGGCTTCGGGCTGATGCGGGCCACGAGCGGGCGCCGCTGCGAGCACGGCAGCCACGGCAGAGCCATGCGAGGATCCCGTCTCCAGCGAAACTCCCCTTCCTCAAAATCAATCCCAAACTTCGACGAGGCGAGAGAGCGCGCACAGACTGACGTCAGCTACGCTCCTGAAGGACACCTCTGAAAGGCACCTTCGTCTGAGGACGGCGTCTGAAGACGACGGCCTCTGGTCAGATTCGGTCTCGTCGCTAGACTCCGATTTCTCTTTGTCAGGCCATGTGCCGCTCGCTCGTCCGCCCAAGTGACTTGGACGCGCGGTCGAGGGCACCCCACCGTTCCTGGGGCGCGCTGGCGCTCACCGCTGGCGCTCACCAGCGGTCACCCCCCACCCATCCACCCTTTTGTCTTTGAGGCTGTCGCTCCGAGAAAACTTGTCTCGCAGCTGCGAGAAATTACCGTCTCTTGTGCGCGTCTTTGCCTGTGTGCAGTCTCCACCTCAGATGTCAGATACCCGTCTGGTTGCTGCATCTCCTCCGACGCAGCCCCTAAAAGCGGATCGATATCGAGAGAAGGGGCTCGTGGAGTGCGGCGTTTTTTTTATTTTGTTGCGGCTTTTGTGTGCACGTCGCTGCGCCTGCGGCACGTTCCGGAACTCTGTCAACCTACTCGAGTAGATAGTACAGCGCGTGGAGCCGGGTGGAGCGCGGTACCCTGCCACACCATGCAGCGCGCCGGGACGTAGCTGGGCGAACACGCTGCGCTAGCCAGGGGCCGGGGGGGCAAACAGCGCCTTGGCAACGCAAACTCGGTCTCTGCTCCCCGCTGCAGTCCCATGTCCGCTGTCAGCGCTGAGCTCATTCAGTGCTTATGGCTTTGCGAATGGGCTCCATCTCGTTGATAACCTTCCGAAGTTGCGCGTAGCGCTCGCGCAGCAGATCTCGCATCTTCTCCTTCTCGGCGGCCTCCTGGTGCATCTGCTTCTCCTTGGAGGTGCGCTCGGCCTTCTCCTTCTGTAGCTCGCTGCGCAGGCTCGTGAGTCCATTCTGTGCAACCATGAGCGCCTCCTCCCGCTGCCGGAGCACGTTCTGCTTGCTGGTCAGCTCGGACTTCTCGTGCTCCAGCGCCTCTCCTAAGCTCGACGCCTTGGAGGAGGCGTCGGCCAACTGGCTCTTCAGCGCCGCGTCCTCCTGCTGCGTCTTCTGCACTTGCCCTTTCAGTTTGTCCAGCGTAAGCTTGGCAGCCTCGATCTCCTCCTCACGCTTCCGGATCGTCCCCTCCTTCGCCTCCCCATTTTGCCTTTCCCGCGCAATCTGCGTGCGCAGGTCCGCAAGGTTGCTTTTGGCCTCACCGACCTCCGAGCTCAACGCCGACTTGTCCGCCGTTGCGCGCGACAGCTGCTCCTGCAGATTGGTGACGCCGTTATTGGCCTCTCTAAGCTGCTTCTCGCGTCCTTCGAGCGCCTTTGTCTGTGCCTCGTGCTGGCGCTTCTCGTCCTGCAAGTTGAGCCGCTCCGACTGCAGCTCCGCCCGCAGGCTCGTGGCGATCGTCATCTGTTCGTTGACTTGTTTTGTGAGCGTCGCATTGCTCCCCTCCGCGCGCACAAGCTTCTTACGCAGGATCGATATGCCATCATTGGCGACAACGAGCGCGGCCTCCTTCTCCTTCGCCTTCTTCTCGAACGACGCCCTCGCTTCCTCCGTCGTAGACACCAGCGTGTTCTTCGATTGCAGCTCGAGGCGCAGCACTGCGAGGCCAGCCTTGGCGTCCTTGAGGGCAGCCCCTCGTTCGTTGAGCTCGCTCTTTTTCTTCTCGTGCTCTGCCTTCTGGTGCTCTAGCGCCTCTTTCAGCTCCGCGGCGCCGCTGTTGGCTGTGGCAAGCAGCTTATCGCGCTCCGCGAGCGCCTTCGATGTTTCGAGCGCCTTGCGCTGCTCGTTCTGCAACTTGGCCTTCTCTTGATCGAGCACCTTCCTCAGCCCCGCGGCGTTCTCGCGGGCCTCTGCAATTTCCGTAGCGTGTGTAATGTTATGCTGCAGTGCGGCACGCAGCTGCTGTGCCAGGCGGATGGTCAAGGCCTGGATCTGCGCTACCTGCTCCTTCTCCATCGCCGCGTGTTGCGTCTCGTGTTTGTCGAGCTCCTTTTGCAGGTCAGAAGCCTTTTTCCACGCGCTCGCATACCTTTGGTACTGTGTGCTGTTGCTGTCGCGTGCTTGCTTCAAGGCCTCGACCAGCGCCTCGGCCTCCTGGCCGCGGACACGCAGCTCATCCTTTTGGCTCAGAATCTCTCCGGCCTTGGCGTCTGTCTCGCGCTTCTGTGTCTGCAGCTGAATTCTGAGGTCCCTGGTCAGCTTGTTGGCATTGGCATTAGCCTCTGTCATCAACTGATAGAGCGTCGCGTTGCTCTCCCGAGCCTGCCGCAGCTGCTCCCTGGACCAACGCAGCTGTTCCCGCACGCGGCGCGCTGCAGCCACGCCGCTGACCTCGGCCGCCACACCCTTCACCTGCCCAAGTATCTCGTCTAACGCGTCTGGTCTCTTGAGAAGCTCGCCAAATGCGTGAGGCAACTCACTCCATTTGTGTAGCCCGCCGAACACGTGTGGCCTGCTGCCACCTGGTTGTGGCATTCCGTCTATGACGACGAGCCCCTCGACCTGATTCACCATGTGCCGATACCAGGCAATGACCACACCTTGCGACACGAAGAGCATGAGCAGTGTGCACGTGCACAGGACAGCGGCGATGGTACTTCGCCCGTGCGGGCGCTGGAGGCTGGGCGTGCGGACCATAGCGCTGGTTGTTGCTGCGCCCACGACTACGAAGGAGTCTCGTAACTTTGTGGCGCTTTCGTTCAACGTAAGGCGTGGCTTTTCTACTTCGCACTTCTACTCGTGTGTGCCTGTGTTACTGTTATATGATAGTAATAGAGCAGTTTGGTCGGAGGGCGCCCGGGTCGCCCCGGAGCGGCCCCGCGCGGGGAGGTGGGTGGAGGGCGGGCGCCACGCCGTCGGGCAGGCCGCGCGGGGACGCAGCCGGGGCCAGCGCGCGGCGCTAGAGGGCCGGGCGCAAACTTGTGGCACCTGCACTGGCACCGGCACCTGGGTGCCGCGAGTTTTGGTGGTTCGAAATGCGGAGCGCGCAGTCCGTTGTGGTTCGAAACGCGATGCAAACCTAAAGCAAAGAAATGGAGCTCGGGATTCAACTCAAGAGTTTCCATTGGACAGCACAAAATCACAAAATCCGGCCCGATGCAGTCGCGGCCAGAGTATCAAGTACCAAAAATAAAATATTCTTAGCTTCAAGCCCCCCTCCGAGACTAGAGACACCCACACACACACCAGTAACAGACCGGTGGGACTGCCCCCCGCCCCCACTTGCCCTCTGCCTGACTGCATAGGATAGCGTGCCCCGATAACGGCGACACACAGTGGGGGACACCACGCAAGGAGAGGGTGCGAAGGCAAGATTGGGGTGCTAGGTGGTGGGACCAATGAGGGGGGAGGGCGGGGTCCTGTGCGCTGTGGGGGTGAAATGTTGCGCGGCGAATTCGAGCCTACCCCCTCGCCGCGCCGATCCTCTGTGTGTAGCGATGCGCTGGCGTGCGGCGCGCGCGTGCTGTGCGCGTGTGCGTGTTGGATTCGCGTGTGCGTCTGTGTGTGCTGCGCGCGCGCCGCCGGTGTGTGCTGTGTGTCTCTCCTCTTCCTTCTCCCCTTCTTGTATGCTTTGCACATCGCGTCGATTCCTTTTCGCGTGAGCACCAACCTGAAGCCCGCCCAGCAGCTGAACCGCTCCCTAAGTCGAAGGAGCATCATCAGTCTCACCCACTTCGCTCGCTGCCCACCGTATGACATCTTATGAGACCTTACTTAAGAGTATGTCCTCGTCCGGTTTGCATGCAGCCACCGTCGGTAGCTAGTAGCTAGTAGTTCTGTGTCTCGCTCGCTGCTTGCTCCCGGAACTTGCTACATGCTAGAGCTGGCTCCGGCTCGCGTTCGTGCTGTGCTAGCACCATGCCCAAAGCCCCAATGGATTGCCAATGCCAGCGCTCTCTCCCCACGGGCACAGCGGGCTCAGGTGCATAATGGACCATGGTGCTTTGGTGGGGCGGGCGGGCTTTCTCTCGCGCGTGAGAGAGGTGGCCGGCCGCGTGTGCTGTCGGTATACTGTAGTTCTCTCTTACCAAAAGTACAGACACATGGACACGCGACATGACACCTTCCTTCAACTCGCCGTGGCGTGTTGGGCGATGGGAGATGGGCAAGGGCGACACCAACACATGCGGAGCCGCCGCAGGATGACCCTAACTGGGAAACGCCGGTGAGGCGTGCCTCACTCACACTCGCATCCTCGGAGAGGCCGCGCTGAAGCCATCCTCGATCGTCGCGACAACGGCAGCAGTAGGCGTCTCCCGTTTCGGAAATCGCAGCCAGCTCAGCATGGCCATGAGCCGCCCCTGCTCCTGCTGGTCCGGCAAGGCCTTTGGCCGGTCAGCCCGGATCTCTGCGAGACTCCGTTTGTATGGAACTACCGCTGCCACTGGCTGAGCATCGCCATGCCCTCTCGATGCCGTCCAGCTGTAGCGAGGAGCGGTCTCGCCACGCAAGCAGCTGGTGCAGCGCAACAGGAGCAGAGCCAGAAGCTGCAAAAAGATTATCGCTGCCAAGAGGCCAACCAGTGCGAGCAGGCAGGCGCTACCGCTGACAGGGTCCATGAAGGAGCAAGTGAGTGGTTGCCGGGCCGACCCAAGGAGAAGCCGAAATTCGTTTACTCTTTTCAGTGGCTCCCGTGGGAGGACTCTGCTGTTTTCGCGTTTTGTCACAGCGAAAAGAGAAGAAACACCGAGAGACTTAGTGAGAGAGATTTTTAGCAATACCAAACAACTCTAACACTCACACATCATTTGGGGCCTGGAGCCCTGTTCACATAAACGCAAAACAAAACACACATCTCTCTCTCATAAACGCACAACCCCGGGCCCTGTTCACGCGTTGTTTGTTTGAGAGAGAGAGATTTTTAGCAATACCGAACAACTCTAACGTTTTGTTTGTTTGTGTGAGCAGTGACCATGGACCCCTCACCAGATTTTTCCTTTTTCTCTTCGCGGCGGTATCTAGACATGAAAGCGATGAAAGAACTTCAAAGAGTGTGCGTGCGTCCGCAGCAGAACATGTACATGAGCCTGGCAAGCAGCAACGCCGCCGCCGGGTGCGGAACGTCGTGCCCGACCGTCAACAACTCGCAAGCGGAGTGCGCGGTTGGCATCAGGCATTGGTCGCAGCGCGTATGCTGCAGCGCCGCGTGTGGCCTGTGTGGCAGAAAAACCTAGATGCGCGTGTCCTTTTCCCTGCCATGAACCCGCGTCCGATCCCGTTGCACCGACCCCACCAGCACCACCAGCCTCACCCATCGGCCGCCAATGCGTGTCACTATGCATGTCTTTGCGCACACCGAATCACCTTAGGTGGCAGCGGCTGCTCGCGCCGCCCGGGCGGAGCAAAGCAATGCTGCCGGCCGGCCATCTTGCTGCAAGGCACACGCTCAGATTCACACGCACTGTCTCACTCCCTTGTCTTGGCTTTTTATATGGTGGACGAATGGGGCTTCTTCCTGGCTTCTTCCCCCTTTTGCCCCATACACACGCTCCTCACCGCTTCTCATCGCCTCACCAAGGTGTGCGTTGTCAGACCCCGCAAGAAGTCGCCTGCGTCCTCTCGAATGCCACAAGTTACGGCGCGGCTGGCGCGAGCGTCGCACGGCGGCGGAGGCCGGCGTCCCGTCCGTGGGCCGGCATTGCAGGCTCATCTCAGCTAGTCACGGAAGATCACACCACACTTCCACGAGCCTCCTCGCCGACAACGTAGGCAGCAAGGGCGATGGAGGGAAAGGCTCGCTCGAAGAGCTCCACTCAACCACCGCGACAAGCCGGCCGCCTCGCCTGCTGATTGTCTACCACATCCCCAAGACGGGAGGCTCGAGCCTCGTGCACTGGCTGAAGAGCCTGCTGGCTGCAAAGGAGCGCGGTGGGCCACTGCACCGGGCGTGCCGCTGTTGGCGCCCAGCTCTGTGAAGACGTCTCTTCTTCACAGCACACCATACTGTCAATAGCTCTTCGTGTACGGCACAGAATCATGCTTCTTTGCGCGCTTCCCGGACATTTTCCCGCACTTCAGAGGCGCCAGCCGGGGGAGGGGCTTGCCGTTGTGGTTGCTGTGGGGGTCCGCTGGACGCGAGGGAAGACGGGTGGGCTGGATAGGGCGGGGGGCTGAGCGTGTGCTTCACCTCACTTTGCCTCAGGGCGGTGGAAGCCCGAGCTGTGCGGCGAGAGGCTAAGGTGGCAGGCGGAGAGCGTGGCGATAGAGTTCCATCCTCGCAGAGAGCACACCTTCCTTCGCTGGCCATCGATGGGCAAGTGCGGGCAGCTCGAGGAGCCCCACCTGCCCTGACGTGCACATAACTCGTTTGCTACACGCCCTGTAGGTACTGGCAGCACGTGGCGCCGCACTTGCCCGCCCTGCGCCGGCTGTACGACCAGCGCGGGGGCTCCATCACCACCGTGCTCTGCCTACGCGACCCGGCCAGCCATATGTTGCTCCTGGGATCGGATCTTGCAGCACCGTGTGGAGGCGCTTTTCCACACCCGCGCTTGTGAGCAGGCGCTCATGGTATCGCATGTGGCCCTCTCGGCGAGCCTCCCCCCTCTCCGGCGAGCAGCAGACCGAGCCATTCGCCGCATGGGCATCCTCCGACGAGTCCCTGGGGCTGCAGCTTCGCGCGCTCGTCCCCGACATCGTCGACCAGTCGACGACGAGGGACGGTGCGAACGCGCCCGCCGCCAGCTGGCGGTCGACGTTCGCCGAGCTTCCAACGGCAATGCAGCGGCTGCGAGGCTTCGACTTGGTTGGCGCGCTCGACTGCGCGACGCGGCTGTGGGGCCAGATTGGCCGGCGAATGGGGTGGGAGGGCAGCTTTGAGGCGCGTCTCGAGGCACAGGTCCAGTGGGGACTAACCCACAGGCCGAGGAACATGGGGCCGCGCCCGCCCCGCGAAAGGCTCGAGATGCAGCGGCTGGCCGACGCGACGGCAACGGCGAACCTGAGCGTGGCAGAGGTGTCCGACGTCGCGCGCGCCGCGGCGGTGGACATGCCGCTGTACGAGGAGGCGCTGGCGCGGTGCTAGAGATATTAAGAAGCAAAGAAAAATAAAGAAAGGGGTAACCAAACTAGGGAGGGAGGAGGACAGACGTCCCCACCTTGCAGGATTTTGCAAGGGCGGGGTGGGGAAGAAGGGCTGAAAAGAAAAGAAAACAAAAGGGGTGCGCCAGCGAGGGATGGGAGGAAAAGGGTCACGCTCTGTTGGATTTCTTCTGGCTGTGTTAGTGCGCTTGGTCGAGTTTCTTCTTCTTGGCGCTGGGTTCTGCGCTTCTCTCGACCGAGAGCGCTAGCCTCTACCCCTTCGGTCCGTCGAATCTCGGCGCGGCAGATGCGACGCCGAGACTGACGAAACCTCCCTGTGGTGGGCTGCTGAGCCTCCCCCACACACGAGAACACCACTGGGACACCCATGACACACTAGAACAGGTATGCCACGAGGCGGGATGATACTAGACGTCTCGGACGAGACTCGTCACTCGACGGAAACCTAAATCGTGAACATCGGGTTGCTGCGCGGCGGGTCAACCCCATTATGCGCAGTCATCCAGATGTCAACTGCACCTCAGACAGTCGCCGGCGTGGGCGGGAGGGGCGACTGTATCTGAAGGCGCGGTAGCGGTAGACGGGCAAGCCACAGCTGGCAAGATGCCGATCGCCATTGACCTTGCTCGAGCCGCGGCGAGCCCTGAAAGTGGAGCGTGTCAGGATCGATTGCTCGGCTGTGAACTGACCTCGCTGTGAATGTGACCGCCGTCACAGACACTATTGTCCATGAATGGTAGACTGAGAGTAGAGTAGAATCGGGTCGAGCGACCGGCCCAGTCGACCGTCCCCTCCCCTCAGCAGAGCGGGCGAGAATCCTAAAGGATTCACGCCTCCTCTGCCAGGGGCCCCTCCACTCGCCTGCACCTGCTCGAACCCTGAGCACTGTGCGGCGTTGCACGCTCGAGGTCGTGCATGATGTAGTAATCATTGTCTTGAGTAATGCGCTTCTCTCGACCGAGAGCGCTAGCCTCTACCCCTTCGGTCCGTCGAATCTCGGCGCGGCAGATGCGACGCCGAGACTGACGAAACCTCCCTGTGGTGGGCTGCTGAGCCTCCCCACGCTCGACCTTTGAGGTAGTATGATGGAAGGTCGATGCCCGGAACGGCCTAAGCTCAGCTGAACCCCACGCATAGACCTCCTCGAATCACCTCAAAGGTAAGGGATGGCAACTGGCGGTTGAGTCGCTGACGTCGCACGACCATGCGCCCGAGAGACCGATCGTGATTATCGACCGATCTCGCAACTATCCCAGCGAGTAGTCCGGTGCTCCGGTAAAACCCCCCCGCCCCCGCCGTAGCGATGACGATGAGGAAATAGCACCCGACGCGAGTCGGGCCTACACTCGCTTGGGTGGCAAGCACGCCACAGTTGCACTCATCAACAGTGTCAAACACCGTTGCCACTGTCGACTTAAACGATAGCAGCTGCCGACCTGATTGCTGCTTCGTCGTGACCCAAATTTTAACTGAGCGAGTCGATGATCCTGCCCATACGGTCTGCTGCTTCGACGTCGAAGAGCATTACTCCGACCGTGTCGTCAATCGACCATTGTTGCCCCATCGACGACATCGGCCGAAATCATGCGTCGCGCAAGGCAATTGAAAGATCGACCACGAGTGGATCGATCAACCTGCCCATCTGGCGTGCGCCCAGAGCTGGTCTGGTAGCAGCCAGTGGATCTCTCTGAATCTGAATCCGAGCGTGAGACTAGTCAAGCATCTACTCAAAGTCCCTACACAGAAAGAGGCGAGTGAGGGACGCTCTCGGCGGATCTCTGGACAGCCTCGGCCGATCTCGGCCCACCTCGGCCAATCTCGGCCAATCTCGGCCAATCTCGGCCAACCCCGGCCAACCTCGGCCGACCTCGGCCAATCTCGGCCAACCTCGGCCTATCTCGGCCAGCCTTGGCCATCCTCGTCCACCCTTGGCCCACGCGCCAACCACCTCGGCCCACGCGCCCAACAACCATGGCCCACGCGCCAATCTCCCATCAGTGGTCGATGGCGGGCCCATCGAGTGCCCTCCCGCCATCGCCTCCGGCAACGCCCCAGTCGAGTCCGGTGTCATCAGTGACAGGTCCATCCGACCGAACCGAACCCGCCCGACATCCTCGGCGGCCGTCTCTCAGGCCCTACGCCACGCGGGCCGAAGGGTCAGAGATTGACCGTGGAGCGCGCCGCACTCGCCTGTTGCCCCACACGAACACCACGATCCCCATTTAGGACGGGTAGTCGTGCGGGGCGCTCCCAGTCACACCGACTTACTCGGGAGCGTGTTGACGGCGCCACATACCTCCATAACTACTCGGAGGGCGGCATGTCGTGGCCCGTCCCCCGCCCTTGAGGGCGTCGAGACGGGGCCGACCGCGTCTGCCGTAATGAACGGCGGCGAGTGAGGTCGACCCTCGCCCATACCTCCATCCACGGCCATGCGACACGCGGAAGAAAGCTGAACGGGAGCCTAGGGTCGGTCGGCAGCAGCCCGCCACCTGCAGGCTGCTGCTCGACCGCCCTGGAATCAAAGGCGGGGATGCCAACCTCTCGTCTGGCCCACTGAATGTATGTCGCCCGTACCCGGCCGCTGCTCCCGGCAGTAACACGAATACGGTTGACTGTCCATCCGGACATTCGAAAGTATCAACTCGCACCCGGTCCCCGCTCCCGGCAGGAACACGAGTACGAGCCAGTTGGGTTCTGCTCCCGGCAGGACCAACAACTGAAGATACTCTCGTCTCCCACGCTCGGTCCCTGAGACCAGTTACACGAGCGCGAGAGTCAGCCGGGCCCCGCTCCCGGCAGGACCACAGCTGAATTCAGCGAGCGTACAGGCTCGAGGTGGCATCGCCTCCTGATCCGCAGCGGTTGCGTCGCTACGAGTAGTACGCTCGCGGTTCACCACCCTGCACCGAGCAGAGCGCGGATCCAGAGCATATTTCATATAGATCCGCAAGGCAAACCACGGCGACCATCCCGCTGACCACAGCAGTCCATACTGTGGCCACGGCCTCGCGTCGTTGCTTCCACGCGCTGTCTGCAGAGCCCGTCAATACAAAATCCCCGTCAGGCGCAGACCCGTCTGAAGCCGCTGCTGACGCACAGCCGGCGGGTCAATCAGACACTGGGTGCTGGCCGTCGATGGGCTGAAGTGTGGGTTGCAGGGACAGCGCGCGAGGAACTGAAGCAGAATGCATCGGTCTGCGTCCTATCGACGCCAGACTCGACCATATGCCGACTACCTGCCTCCATTGCGGAGGTAGGCGAGGATGGACTGCCACTTGGCATCTGTCCAAGTCTGGGGAACCGCACTGGCATCAAAGATAGTGCCAGAGAGGCGCCCCAAACCACTGCAACGGTAACGACACTGGCATAGCTCGCCGGATTGTTGGCCTCGCAATGGCGACCCACCATCGAGGCGTCAGCGGCCGAGCAGTATCCAGATGCTGTCGCGTAGGCCGGCCGGGACCACATCGGTGAGCTGACCCAGCAGAACCTCGACGACAACAGACATTCAACGCACACCAGTTACTTTGACTGTGCGCTGACTCACGGGTCCCCGCGCCCGTAGAGGAAGCGAGGCAGTCGAAAGACGAGCTCGGTGCCGTCAACGACGACACTCGGCTCGGCTGCACCCACCGCCACCACGGCAATCGCACCGACAAAAACGATAAACGTAGAGAACCGCAGGAAAGCATGGCACCGCACGCGCCAGCAAGGCACGAATGACGTCTGAGCGAAGCCAAGCCTCTCTGCGACTGTATCATGCGACTGTATCTGAAGGCGCGGTAGCGGTAGACGGGCAAGCCACAGCTGGCAAGATGCCGATCGCCATTGACCTTGCTCGAGCCGCGGCGAGCCCTGAAAGTGGAGCGTGTCAGGATCGATTGCTCGGCTGTGAACTGACCTCGCTGTGAATGTGACCGCCGTCACAGACACTATTGTCCATGAATGGTAGACTGAGAGTAGAGTAGAATCGGGTCGAGCGACCGGCCCAGTCGACCGTCCCCTCCCCTCAGCAGAGCGGGCGAGAATCCTAAAGGATTCACGCCTCAGTAGCAGCGAGCCGAAGCGAAGCGAGGAGCGAAAGAAGTCTCCGCTGTCACGCTACGTCTCCAAAGTTTGTTATGGCCTCTCGAGCGAGCCTGCTGCTGCTCCTCCTCTCCGCCTCCTCTGCCGCCACCCTCGGCGTCGCGTCGGGCGGCGTCGCTCGCGACGCGCTCTTCACGGAGCTCGACCGGCTCCCAGTCTTTGTGCTCGCCAACGCCGGCCGACAGCCGCTGCAGTACACGCGAGACGGGGTCGACCTCGCCCTCTTCTACGAGGACCCACGCGACGCCGAGGCTGCGCTGGTTGAGGCAGTCGACTCGTACCCCACGCTCGGCCTCCGGCTGCAGCCGACAGGGCTCGGAGGCGCACTCCGCCTCGCCCTCGACGGCGGACGCGCGGTGCTTCTTCCGGGCGACGGCTATCGCATCGTAGCCCAGCCGAGGCTGAGCGTCCGTGCACTCTGCGTCTCAGGTGCTCGTGCCGGGCGGGGCCAACCTCGCTGCGGCCAAGGCGCTGCCTCCGATCCTCGCTAGCGGCGCAGAGGCTTGGGGCGCGGTGGGCACGCTGCCGCTCTTCGGGTGCCGCGCGCTGCGGAAGCCGCTCGACGACGAGCCGGGGGCGCTGGTGACGCCCCTCTTCCTCTCGCACGAGGCGCGAGAGCACCATCCACGCCCTCGCCCTCGCCCCTGCCCTCGCCCTGCTCAGCGGGACCTTCCCTGCCCGCGTGGCCGCCGCAGGACGCGCGGGAGGCACTCGCCGCCGCCGCAGGGACGGACGACCCCGCTTCGCGCGGGCTCCTGCTGGAAGCTTGCGCGCTTAGCAGCCTCGCTGAGCAGCTGGTCGCAGGACGAGTTGACGGCCCTTTCCTGTTCGTGCCGTCGCGCCGCGCCGCTCGGTTCTGCGCCGAGCTGCAAAGCGGCGGCTCCACCGCCGCTGTGCCGCCGACAGGAAGTCTCGTGGCGGAGGGCGCTCGCCCGTGAACAGGGGCTCTGACCGTCCGCAATTTCTGGTGATAGGGAGCAGAGCTGGGGGCGCCGCGCGCCGTTCGCTCACGTCCTTGTACGGCAGCGGCGGTGGAGGCGCTGGGCTCTTTCCGAGCTAGCCTCACCAGGCCGCACCGCGCCGCAGATTCCTCTCTCGCCGTCTGGGCCACACAATCCAGCCACCTACACTCACCGATGGGGTTGGTACAAGAGTTGCCGTTTCGCCCTTCTCGCGTAATTTTTGGGGTCAGAAACAGAATTTTGGTATAGACCGTACGTACGGCTTTATTTGGAATTTGCTCTCGACTCTCGTCTCCGCTCAGCGACCTCGAGACTTTGGCTCATGGCGGTCGATGGTGACACCGTGACACCCCTGAGAGAGGCGTGAGGGAACCTCGAGAATATGGAGCACCTCTGTGTTGCTCTGAGCGTCTGTGTGTCTTTGGCGTGAGTGAGACGGCATCCGCACAGCCTCCTCTCAGCCTGTCAGCAACACAGCGTGTCGCACGTGGCGGTGTGGTAAGCAGCGAGGGCGGCAGCACGTGCTGCAGCTGGCTGTTCAGCCCCCTCCGCGCCCGCCGCCTGCGGTTGGCCGATGGCATTTTGGCAACAAAGTGGAGGCACAAATGCCAAATCCAAGATAACTTTTTCCAGCTGGTACGGCGCTGACCTCTCGTCAAAAAGTAAGCTGTTACTTCGAGAGAGCTCGCTGAGAGCTTTCACATGGTGTGCGAGCCGTTTTCTGACCCCTACGGGGAGGCTATTCCGACATTTCCACTCGTTTGTGGGTCACCATGACCTCAGCCAGAGCCGGTGGGGTCAGCGGCCCCCCTGCTGCTGGTGTTCACTGCTGTCCCGTGTGTCCGCACGGCGTGCGTTGTGTGTACGGCTGGCTCTATAGTTCGTACGAACGACTACGACGCAGCTGGCGACCCGACGGGGCGGGGGTGCTCGATGCGCCCCGGTGGGCATCTCACACTGCCACATATCACAGATCATATTGTGTCCCCGCCCTGCACGTGATCTTGGTCCTCGGACCCGAGAACGATTTTACGCTCAGAACCAGCATGTACAATACCGTTCAGTCGCTCCGCCGCCCGCGCGATGGACACTCCTCGACATTAGGGTTGGGCTGTCTCTGTCTAGCATGCCAGCGAGACACGGAGCGCTACCGTCATAAGTTGTACTCAATGGTCGGCGCGGGGCTGGTCGCGTAGTACGGCTCCCACCCCTCGCGTGGGGGCAGCGGCTGATCACCATTGATGGTGTAGATGCCCACGCGGTCAATGTCATCTGTGATGGCCCAGCAGTGCGGCGTATCGCCGTCCTCCCAGTTGATCAGAAAGTCGCCACCTGACTTGCGATACTGTGGTTTGCCGCAGTGCTCGCTGTCGAGCTGGTAGATGCCGTTGACGTGCTCAAGGCCTGCGCCAACAACGCAGAGCGACAGCGGCGGGCCGCCCTCCTCTTGGGCCGACGCCCCGGCTTTTGCTTGGCGGCCTGCTTCGCGCGATTCGCCTTGATCTCGTCGAGTTTGAGCGCGGCGGTGTGAAGCTGTGAACGAAATCTTGGCCCACTTGCGCGATGCGTTCTGCGGAGAGCGCATGCAATACTTGGCGAGGATGCCAGCGGAGAAGTAGTTGGCCAGCAGCATCTCGGCATTCAACTACTCACGCCCACCCATGCATGCACTTGAGTACAACTGTAGCTTCTTTCTCCAGGCAGGAGACAATTGTCGGCAGGTCGTCGGACGGATGCGGCGGCACTGAGCATGCTGGGAACGCTTGTTTCGTTGCCCTCGACGATCGACGCGAGGCAAAGGCGAACGCTCGGCGACACGTTCGCCTTGTGGGCGCCAAGCGCTGACGTCTTTGACATGTTAAAGTTAGTTGGAGGCTGCGCAGGTTCCCGGTTCACAGCCTTGTTATTGACAAGAAACTACGTCCTATGACGCTGTGCGCTGGTCTGTGAGAGGTTGAGGTGCGAGCCCTGGAGGCCCTGGGGATGGGGGGAGACTACCCGCGGGCCTAGAAGGCCCGCGCGCAGAGGGGTGGGACATTGAGATTTAACATTCTGTTGAGCGTGTGGACCACTTGTCCGATGTCCAGCGTCGGCGCGTAGCTCGGGTCGTACAAGTACTCACCGGGCTCAGCGGCATTGCCATGGTAGGCCAGGCCCACCTTATACCGCAGCGCAGCGCGAGCCTGCATGTGCTCGTGCAACCCCACCTTGGAAGGCAACTCGCCGCGAGGCCAGCCCTCCTCCAGGAGGACCTGCTTGCGGCGCGCTGCCGACGAGGGGTTGAGGAGGTCGTAGTCGCCAAGGTCTTCTGCCTCCCAGGCAGGGCGGAAGGCCCGTTCACAGCTTCCCGGGACAGCCCGAGGGAGAAGAGACAAGAGTTGAGGTTAGAACTGGTGGTGTGCGGCTGGGCGGTGGGTGGGACGGTGGGCTGCTTTTTGATTCGGCAGATGGCCTTCCCAATCGGTGTTAACACAGTGAACCGGGAAGGTATTCCGAGTTTTCCGACCTAGCCACAGGCAGGCAGGGCCCTCTTCATGGAGATCATGGACATGGTGATTGGTTGGTGTCTCTCTGAGCACTGAGGCGAGGTCGGGCTGCTTTCTTTCTTTGTCTGTTGCCCGAACTCTTGCTGTAAGCCCGCGTAACGATCGAGATTTCGAATCGCGTAAAAACATTTAGCAAAAGGTGGCCCCGGGGGCATATTGAAGAGTCACAGGATCCACGCTCTGCACGTCGTAGAGAAGGGACGCGCGAGAGCGCGACCGCGGTCGTCGGCAGGCCCGAGCTCAAGATGTTTGCCACACTACTGTCATCTCTGATTGCGGCTGCTGCATCTCTGGTTCGCGCCACGCTACGCATACTGACAGGCGGCAAGACGTCTGCCAGCGAGCAAGAGGAGGCTCGGAAAAGACCTGTGCCGGGATCTCCCAAGTCGGTGCTGGGTGTCGCTCACATTGATCGGCGAACACGATATTCAGGTCTTGGCCCGGCTGAGATCCGCCGGGAGCAGCGCGTCTTACCGCAGAGAACAGGACCTCTTCGGCCCGCGACGCTTCCAAGGCCTAGCCTTAGCACTCGGCCTCAGCAGTGGTCCGGGAAGGGGTAAAGCTGCCTCGTGAATGTCCTTGGCCCTCATTGGAGGTTGCTCTTGACACGTCCTGGGCACTGGTGGGCGGCGCATTGGGTCTACGCGTTGTCATTGCGTGCTTCTGTGTTCTGACACGCTACCCACCCAGCTGTAGAGCTTGCTGTCGCTGCTTGCTGTGCGAGTGAGTAGTCATGTACCTTGGTTAATCCCTCTTAGTTAGTGATCTCCACCCAAAAGCCCGGCCTGCGTCACTGAAATACTCCGCGCAATAGAAACGAACACCCGCCCCCACCCCGAGACGGCGCGCCCTCTCCCCCCCCCCCCCGCATCATCCCCGCGGCGCGCAGCTCTCTCGCTAGCTCAGCGCCCCAACCCCCTAGTGGCCCGTCAGTGCCGCCCTCACGCCCGTCACCAGCCAATCGTCTCTGACTCATTCGATGACCTCTCACCAAAATGTGCTTCTCCTTCGTATCGAGGGCTAACTCTCGCTGTCGGGAGGGGGTGGGGATTGGAACTGGAAGATGTGCGCGAGCAGCGGCACGCTGTCGCCCATATCGCTGCCAACTCGCGGCCCCGTGCCCTGGGGGGACAGACGTGCAAGCATCTGCGAGATGATGTTGTTGGCAGGAGAGGGGACCGCGGCCGCTGACGTTGGGCTGGAGGCGTCAGGTTCGGCCGCAGTGCTAGACGGGGTAGATGCCGCATCGCCCACCGCTGCACGGCAGGTTGGGCAGGTGGCGTGGCGGCGGAGCCAGGGTGCGACGCATGCACGGTGAAAATGGTGGCCACACGGCAGCCGCACGCAGCGGCCTCCTTCCTCGAAGTCGTCGCGGCAGACAACGCACGCGCCTTCTGGCGCCTCGACGTCCGGAAGGGAGTCCAGCATCGCCTCGGTTGCTGGCTCGGGACCGGAAGAATCGGCCCCGCCCATGCGGATGAGGACTCGCCCCATGGGAAGGTCCTGCGCCAGCTGGTGTAGGATCGTGGAGTGCACAGCATCATCGAGTTGCCTCTCCCGCCTCATGCGTTCGCCACGGCGCGGGCGCTCTTGCTGGAAGATCGGACGTGGCGGAGGCGGCGGCCAGAGGATATCATCTTCTTGTCGCAACTGAGGCTGCGCGTTTTGCGGTGGCACTGCAGCGCCGCTTGGTATGTGGATGTTAAACGTCATGGCCGGTGCCGAAGTTGGTGCTGGCAGCGGCTCGGTTGGTGGACTTGTTGCTGCTGCACGGCTGACCTCGAGCTTCAGGTCGCTCACCTCCTTCTCGAGCCGTTCCACCTGGCTGATGAGCCGCGACACCAGCTTCATGGCGTCGCCCATACTTGGCTGAGGTGCATTGGTGTCGGAGGAGGCGCGGCTCTTCCCTGAGGTGCGCCGCTTTGAAACCGGGCGACGCTTCGTCGTGGCCGACTCCGCATGCGCATCGGCGGCAATGGGGACCATTTGGAGTGTGAACCCGGCGGGGACCTGAGGCAGGATTACCCGAGGCTGCTTTGCAGGGCGGGATCGCTGCATTGTCGTTGAGAGTATGTTGACGGTTCAACGGAATGAAACGTAACGTCCACCTTGGCAAGCGGGACGGCGGCAGCCATTGCAGTGCCCCCTCCACACGCCGGCCGAGGCTCGGAAGTGACCGAGGTGGTTCGCCGCGATCGAATCCTTCTCGCAACGAGGGTAAGGGTTTGCGATGAGGAGCGACTCCAGGAGAGATGGGCGACGCACGAACACAGAGGCACAGTGCGCACCCCGCCCCGCTCACAGGGCGTGCATGAACCTGTGTGGTGAGGGGAAGGTTTTTTGAATTTGAAAAGAAAAAAACGCGCGGCCCCACGACGGCCGATGCCGATACATCGGCAGGCGGTCAGCGCGGTCGCCGCAGCAAGCCTGGCCGTGTACCTTTTCAAGCGGCTTCGCTCTGCTCGTGAATCAGACGACGACGGCGGCTCAATCTGCCCCGGCGTCGAGCTCGTGGGTAACGCTCCCGACATCCAGCCTGAGCGGGTACGCGTGGAGACCTCCAAAGGGCCTGTGCTCGGCTTTCGGCGCTTTCGCGGCGCAAGTGGAGGCATAGCGGTGCACTTCCGCGGCCTGCCATTTGCGGCCTCGACAGCGGGCACCAATCGCTGGATAGGTCCGCAGCCGCGAGCCCCGTGGACGGAGCCGCTCGACTGCACAACATACGGCGAAGCTTGCCGCGAGACGACCGCAGAGATCCAGGGATTGGCAAAGCAGTTCGGGAAGGCAAAGGTCAGCAAGCTCGAGGCTTCGGGCCGCGTGGGCGACGATTGCCTCAACCTCAACATCGTCACTCCGTCCGTCACCGGCGTGCTTCCGGTGATGGTTTGGATCCACGGCGGTAGCAATGCAATATCAAGCAACCATGGCAACTGCCTCGGTTGGAGCCCGACGACGTCAGAGTACTTTGCTCAGGCCGGTGTGGTCTCGGTGTCCATCAACTATCGCCAAAATATGCACGGCTTTGCCCACTTCCCTTCCCTTGGCGTCACCAACCTAGCCCTGCGCGATATGCTCGGCGCCCTGCAGTGGGTGCAAGACGAGATTCGCACCTTTGGGGGCGACGCTTCCAACGTCACCATCTACGGAGAGAGCGCTGGAGGGGTCGGCGTCGCGACGCTGCTAGCATGCCCAGGCGCGCGGATGCTCTTCCACAAGGCGATTGTGCAGTCAGGTGCGATATCCGCACTCTCTCGGCTCGATTATCGCGAGCACGTCGAGCCCGACTACGTCGCCGCTATCGCCAAAGCGACGGGCTGCAGGGAGGAGTTGACCCGCTCGGCGCTTGACGGCCTCGACGGTGAGAAGGTCGCATTTGCGGCGGGGGCGCTGAGTAATAGCTTGCTCAAGACGCACCACATCCTCTGCTCGCCGCCCGACTACCACCACATTTTTGGCGACGACGTGCTGCCGCGCGAGCCGCACCAGGCCATTGCGGCGGGCAGTGCGGCGGGCAAGCCTGTGATGCTGATCTCTACCGCGAGCGAGTCGGATATTATGGTCATGGGAATGGGCAAGCGCATCATGTCGTGGGTGGCGTCCTTTGTCGCTCGCTTCGCTCTGCGCGGTGTCGGCTGCAGCTTCCTCACTCCGCCTGACGAGGCGGGCCTCCCCTCCGGCGCGCTCAGGAGCGCGGTGGCGGACTTGACCGCCGGTTTCGATGCGATCGACACCAGGCAGCCCGGTTGGCAGCGGCTCGTCAACTATCTCTTCGGGACTTGCGGCGTCGCCGTCTCTCGCCTCGCAGAGGCACTCGGAGCCGGCGGCGCGGGGCCGCTGCACGCTGGTCTTCTCGAGCTCTCTCCGGAAGAGTCCCCGAAGTTGTGTTCGGGCCACGGCGCCGACTGCTTCGTGCTCTTCCGCAGCGACACACCTCAGTACGATCGCTACCTCGCAGAGATGTTTTGCGGCAGGCCGGCGTTCGCAGCCAGCTTCGACACACTCTGCAGGTCGACGGTGGCGAGCTGGGCCGCTTTTGCAAGGAGCGGCCGGCCCGGCCCATTCGGCGGTTGCGAGTGGCCGCCGCTGCCCGCGTGCTTGCGGTTGCGCTCGGACTCGCCCGCACCTGAGCTCTCCGAGCACGCGGCCGACTCGAAGGAGCTCGAGCTCTGGCGGACCGTCTGCGACCGATACGGTCTTCCTCGGGGCCGGCTATAGCGAGTGGTCGGGTGCGTTTGCAATAGAGCAGAGTGAGAGGGGGGGGGGGGGGTAAAAACTGGGAGCAATATCTTTTGCAACAACAGTGCAACAACGGCGGATGCCTCGGGTTTTTTTGCGCCAGTGCTGGGCGCAAAACTTAGTACTGACATGCGCATGCACATGTGGTGTGTGGGGGAGTTTGACACGGCAGTGCACGATCGTGACTCTGGAGGGAGTCCAAAACGCTAGAGGAACGAAGGCAGCCACCACGTCCGGCAGTGGCGGAAGAGCCCCTGCACGGAGTGCGCCCCTCCGATCCAGACCGTCATCGCCACGCGGTCGACGTCCTCGCGCGAATGAGGCCGCACCTTTGAGGGGCGAGCTGGTCAGCTCTCCTATGTGTGCGCGCGGCGGGAATGCGGGCAAGGGGCATCGGCGGGAGAGGGCGGCGGGCGGGCGCCTCGTGCAGTATCGTCCGGCTGTCGAAGAGGACCAGCCGTCCTCCCACCGGCAAGATTTCAACCACGCTGGACGCGGTCTCGCCGGTGAGGTCGGCGCTGTCGGCACCGAGGTGCAGCAGCAGCGCGCCGCCGCGGGACGCCTCCGCGCCGCCCTCCACCACTCGGGGCTGGTCGCGGCCACCCTCGCGGCCAGGCCCACCCTCCATGCCACCCTCGCAGCCGCCGCCGCCCTCGCCTGCCCAGTTGGCCGGTTCGCTCAGGTAAAGGATGGCTGTCACCTCGCGCATGCAGAAGCCCGGCTCGACCAGCGCGAACGCCACCCCACCGCTGCCCACGGCCACCCCGTCCCGGTGCGGCACGTACCTCGCCCCGCCCGTCGCTCGCGCGACGGTGTCGGAGAGGGGAGAGGCGGCGGCCGGGTAGCAGGCGAGCTGCGCGCCTCTCGACACGCCTACGTCACAGGCGCGTGGCCTCAGGCAGGTCGGCGCTCGTCGGCGAGCACGGCAGCGGTGGCGTCGCTCCCATTTCGACGACGCGCGGCTCGTCTCCAAAGCCAGTCCATCTCCCGTCGGGCGGCCCGCCCTCCTCGGGCGGGCCGCCGTTCTGCAGCTGCAGCGCGATGCCACGCAGGCCGCGCAGCGCGGTGCGGAGGCCGAGCGGCGGCGCGTGTCCGCCAGACTCGCTCACCCAGCAGAGGTGGTCCGACCGCACATCGCCGTGCTGCTCTGACGGCTCAAAGTCGCCAGAGAGGAGGAGCCGCTTCACATCGAGCCGGGCATGGGCGAGCGTGGTTGCGTCCAGCGCGTCGTCAAGCACAAGCCAGCCTCGGCTTCGGAGCGTGAGCACCTCGGACGGCCCGAGTCGCGTCAGCGCGGCGCCAGGGTTCTCGGGCTCAGCAGCCGTGGCAGGGCCGTCCCGGCTGCAAGTCTCGGCGACTGTGGCGGCGCCGGCGAGGCCGAGCCAGCCCGCGACGCCGCTGAGCTGCCACGGGACTCGTGTCGAAAGCTCGGCGAGGCGCTGCATGCGGTGTTGTCGGCGAAGGGTTAACGACAGCGGTTGCCGGCTCCGTAGGTTCCTAGGGGACGCGCGCCTTCCCGTCGGCGTCAGCCTCTTTTCGAAAAAAATATTTTTTGTGCCACACTTCCGCTACCCAACGAGACCTCGAGATAGATTCGAGCGCGCTGGGGACTGGCGCCCGAAAGTGGCGCTTTCGGGCAAGGCTCTGAGCCACGCCCCGTGCGCGCTCGGCTCGAGGTGACCCGGCAGGACCTTCCTCCTTCGTTCGTCCGGGCCCACGGCCGGCACGCCGTCTCGATTTCCACTCGCCCGACGCGCTCAGTCTCCGCTGCCGGCTGCCGCAAGAGCGGCTGGCTAACGACAGCGTCTTGCCGGTTGTCGGATGGGAGAGTATAGAACGTCTTGGAGTGTAACTGTGTACGTGAGATCGGTCTTGGTAACAAGCACACAGTCGGTCTATCGAAGCGATGCACTCGTTTCCGTTGCCCTCGGAGCTTGACACGAAGCTCAGCACCCCGCAAAACAGGAAGAGCCGTCCGGCAAGAAGAGCTCGATAGGGAGCGAGAACCGTTAGAGGTGGTCTTACTCTTAGAAGGTATCAGGACTCCGTCATAACACGGTAAGATCGCCCCAACAATGACCGCGCAGACGTCGGATCTCGTTGAGAGATCTTGCAAAATCTGCTCTTCCCGAGCCGGCAGCATGCAGAGAGGCGCAGAAAGGCTACGAGTGCTCGACGAGTTTTGAGACCTGCGCGTTCAAACCTGCGTGGGGGGAACTGACCGCACCAGGACGGACGTCCGAAACCTGCGTGAGCACCTTTGACGGCTCTCGCTCCCCATCGAGCTCTTCTCGCCGGACGGCTCTTCCTCCGGACGGCTCTTCCTGTTTGCCGGCACAGAGCTCCGTGCCAGCCCTCCTCCAGCGAGATAGGAACGAGTGTAAACTCTGTGACGGATCGACCGTGTTTGTTATCCAAATCGATGTGACGTACACAGTGACACATCAGACGACACAGATTCTCCCACCCGCCGGGCCGCCAAAACGCTCTCGACGAGAGCCACAAGAAGCCGTCCGCACAGCAAGCCGGTGGAGGCCGAGCGCGCGGAATCGATTACGCCGGCCGTGGGCCCGGACGAAGGTCCTGGCTCGAAAACGCGAGCAGAGGCCGCCGTGTGGGGCCACGGCGAGCCTCGGCGAGAAAGGTCAGCACCCTATCTCACGAGCCTCGGCGAGAAAGGTCAGCACCCTATCTCACGCCGTCGGTTGGGGACGAATGGGACGGCGTCTAAGCGGGGAAAGAAAACCCGCCTCCGCTGCACCGTCCAAGCTCATGAGCGCCTTCGCCTCGTGGGGAAACCAGCGAGCGGCGGGCCGCTGGATATGGGCGGCCGCACAACCGCCAAGCCCGCCGCCGCCTCAACCACCGCCGCTGGCGCCTCCTCCGCCATCCGCATCGCCCCCCGAGCAGCCCTCGCCCCGCCCACCGCCTCCTCCGCCACCGACGCCGCCAAGCCCGCCGCCTCCCTCTGCCCCGTCGCCTCCGCCGCCGTCCGCCTCGCCCTCGCTGCCTCCGCCCTCCTCCCCGACGTCGCCGCCGCCGCCGTCCGCCCCGCCCTCGCCGCCGCCGCCGCCGTCTGCGTCGCCTGCCCCCCCGCCGCCATCCGCGTCGCCGCCGCCGCCCTCCGCTTCGCCGCCGCCGCCCTCCGCTCCGCCCCTAACGCCACCAGCAAGTCCTCGTGTGTTGCTGCCCGCACCCGGGTCCAGTCTCGCGCAGAGGGCCGACGACGCGCTGCGCGGCGCGCTGGAAGATGGTCTGGGGCACACCGCGACCGACTCGCCTCGCGTGCCGCTGGTCGCCGCCTCTACGGCCCTCCTCACCCTGGCCGGCGGTGCGCTCTGGTGCGCAATCTTAATCGTCTGCATGGCCCGATGCTTCCGGGCGGGGGGCAAGGCGAAGGGCGCCTCTCCTCGGCGTAGCGACAAGCAGTTTTTGCGCTTCCACGACGACGCCTCGGCGTCGGCGGGGCCAGGCCTCGGCGCCGAGGCGGGGAAGGTGCTACAGCGCATCGCCGACCGGCTCTCAGCCGTCAGCCCGGTCCCCCTCTCCGGTTTCGCCCTCCCCGAGAATCCGTTTGCAGCGAGGGCGCTCGCGCTGCGCCTGTCACCCGACGACTCGCCCAGGAAGCGGCCGGAAAGCCCACAGCAGCCTAGCTCGAAGGCTAGCTCGATGGCCCATTTCAGCAGTGAGGGGGGCATCAGCCTCACATGTCCCTTGTCAGGAGCAGGAGAGCCCCACCTGTCCCCCTGATCGTCCTTCCAAAATCCTGCTCGTGTGCAGGTGGGGACCCTGTCCTCCTACCCCATCCCTCGTCTGGGTTTGTCTGTTTTCTTTCTTTCTTTCAGCCTCACATCCAGGGCCGGGGAGCTGAGGAGCGCGCCCAGCGGGCCGGATGATCGGGATCGGCGTGCCACTGTGCTCTTTTTATTCCGGGGGCCGTCCATCGAGAGCTCAAAGCGACACCCCCCTTCCGCAACTCTCCCCAACGTTGCGGAGACTACCTGCCGCCTGCATCGATGCCGAGAGGCCTCTACGGCCTCGTCCGCATCCTGTACGAGAGCTTGGGCGGGGCCCGCGACGGTTCTTCCGAGACCGGCTCGGCGAGGACCAAGCCAGGGACGTCGCCCGCGCCAGCGCTCGGCGTGGCTACCGCGCTCGAGATTGAGGAGGGGGCGGCGTGCCGCTTCTGTTTCGAAGGCGGCACGGACTCGCCGCTCGTAGCTCCTTGCTCCTGCAGCGGCACGCTTCGGTGGGTGCACGAGGACTGCCTGCGGAAGTGGCAGAAGACGTCACCCTTCACCGCATCCGCATGCAACGTCTGCATGACGACCTTCGCGCTTGCGCCGCCAAAGCCTCGGCAAGTGCGCGCGGGGATGCTGCTGGTGGCGGAGCCGTCACTGCACGGCACATTCTCCCAAGCCGTCATCCTCCTCTGCGAGATCACCCCCGACGGCGCACACGGCATAGTGGTCAACTGTCCGAGCGAGGTGATGCAGTCCACAAGCCTTGCGGTCGCCTACGAGGTGTCGCGCCTCCGCCAGAGCGGAGGGTCGGGGCCGGGCTCGCCAGCCAGCCCTCTGATGATCGAGTGGCGGCGCGGCGGGCCCGTGTGCGGGGGCCGGCTCGGCGTCGTGCGCTACACGCTGATGCACACTCTCGGCTCGCGGTTCGGCTCGATCGAAGTGCTGGGCGCGGAGGAGGTGGCGGCGGGGACGGGCGAATCCGTGGTGGCTCGCTGGAGGGGTGCCGACGGCGCGGCCGAGACGGAGGTTGAGGAGGCAGGGACCGAGGCGGCGGTGGAGGCGGGGACGGAGGTGGAGGCGGGGACAGAGGCGGAGGCGGAGCCGGTGGAGGCGGCGGGGGAGCAGGAGGAGGCGGCGGCGCCGCAGCATGACGGTGCGAGCCGGCTCCCCTCCGTCAGCGTGGTGGCGGAGTCTAGCTACGGGTTCCGCTCCCCCGCGGCCTTGGGCACAAACCACGCGGCGCGACTCATCAACTCGCTCAGCGCGGTGGCGACCATCGAGCACGCGGCTGCCCGCGCCGGCGCGGTGCCGCCGGTGGCGCTGCTCTTCGTGGGACACTGCCGGTGGGGGCGAGGGCAGCTGCAGGCGGAGCTCGCGCGAGGGAGCTGGCGCCTCTGCGAGGGGCGCGTGGCGGACGTGCTCGGCGACAACGTCCAGCTGTGGCAGGAGCTGCAGCGGAGCGGCAGGCTGCGGACCTGGGCGGAGTGGGCCTTCGAGGGGGCCGCGTGAGGGCGGAGGTGCCGGGTGAGGACTGCTTGCGCTTTGGGACCTGCTGGCGCCCTGGTAGACTACGCTCTGGCCAGGGGTGTACTATTCGCGTGTACCTTTCTTCTCTGCTCTGTGATGCAATGAGAGTTCCCCTGCACATTGGGAAGGGTACAGATTAGGGGCCATGATGGGGCCTGTGCTGATGTGTATGTTCTCTAGGGAAGGCTGTGTACGCCACGTGTAGTATCTCAGCACCGCACTATCTTTCTGCGGTGTGACTTGTTTGCCGCGGGGCCGCACGCGAGCCCAGCGCCCCGCTCTAGGCCCCAGGGAGCTCTCCGCACACCCGCCCCACACTGCCACACAACGCGCGCACACCCCGCACAACGCGCGCACCCCGCGCGTAGTGTAATTCGGGCGCTGGCCGTTGCTGTTGTAGATGCGTGGTGGGCGGACCCTCATCACAGCTCACGTATGGGTATGTGCGGCGCGACACCTCAAAAACAAGTGAAACAGGGCGAGCCAGCAGCATCACGAGGGCGAGGAGCCGATGACGCCGAAACAAAAGTTGCGACAACGCAAGCGGGAGCAGCAATCGCCTCGGACATCCAGAGCCCAGAGGGAATACGACGAGAGGCATCGCGCTGAGAGATAAAGAGTTGTGGGGCGGGGGAAAGTTTCTGAACGGCCGCGCACGCACAGCGTGCCGGCTTACTAAGCTCTAAGGAGGTCCCTCGCCCCGGAGTGGCCAGCTGACGGTCAGAGTTCGTGATTGAATTGTAACAATGCTTGTAATCACGATCGATGCAAGGACGCAAGTCCACCAAACTCGGCCATTCCAACGGCCAGACCGCTCGCTTAAGGCGGATTGGCTAGACGAGCGGTCTACCTCCGACGGGGCTGTTGCAATAACAGAGGAGGCCTAAGCCGAACCCGCCGGGCCGCCGGCGGGGTGACGGTAGACCACCACTGCGACAGCCCCCTCCCGACGGGGACACCACCACCCTCGCCCAGGGATCTACAATGCTGTCCTAAGGTCCGACCTGTGGGCTCTGCCTGCGCTCGGCACCGGGCACCGCCTCGGTATACAAAATGCGCCTGCGGGCGGCCCCTTACAGATCACAGATCACAGTGAAACAAGACACCAAACGCGGCCAAAGGATATCCAACCTCGAGAACCTCGAGAACACCGGCGGGTGAGCAGCAGCTGGTGAGCAGCGCGCGCGATAAGGGTTTTGCTTGCCTTCCCTGGGACCCCGTGTTGCATGTCCGACTGACTGTCACTTTGCGTATTTCGAGGAAGGGGGTTGTGCTTAGGGTACCCCTAGGGTTCTGAGGGCCGGACTTTTTAAAGACCTTTTAAGAAATGAGGAGATTTGGGGGCTGAAATTACCATTTAAGAGATTGCAGGCACGGGGGGTCCCTCTTTTAAGTCCGTTTAAGAAAATCGGCCTCACCGGCACGCGTCGCTGGGTTCCGCGCCGGTTTCTCCAATACTGCCGTTATTAGGCACAAACCCGCCTCTGAAGACACATCTGTAAGTCTGGTGCACTGGCAGGAGCCATACTCGCATAGGGGGCGCGTGCTAGCTGACTGTAGCCAGCTCCCCGGCCTCCGGCGTCTACCGGGAGCCTCCCGGAGACCCGGACCACTGCCGGACCATCGACCTCGGGAGCTCTCCCGCACCGTTTAAGCGTTTAAGACCGTTTAAGGAATCAGCGGCCCAGCAGCTCTTAAAACCTGCCCGGGCAGGTTTTAAGCCGTTTAAGCCGCAAGCGCCCCAGGGCCCACCCTTTTTAGCTAGGGGTACCCTCGGGGTTGTGCGTTTTGTGAGAGAGCCAGGGCGTCTCTAAACCTGTGTTCACCGCGAAGCCCATGGAGGCAGTGGAGGAGCAGCAGCTCAACGAGGCGATGGCGGAGCTGCGTGGCGCGCGCGGTGCCACGGCGAGCAGGGCGGAACGGGAAGCTGCACGACGCGGCAGCGGCCGTGGCCGCGGCCGCCACACCGGCGTGGCGATCATGGCGCGGCGTGGCGATCATGGCGGCGGCCGTTCGGCTGCACCTTCCAGCGCCACTGAGCAGCGGGCGCAGCGAAGTGGCGATCATGGCGGCGGCCGTTCGGCTGCACCTTCCAGCGCCACTGAGCGGCGGGCGCAGCGAACGGAGACCAACACCGTGGCAGCAGCAATAGCGGCGGTAGCGACGCCGGTGGCGGGATCATTCGATATGGACGTGGAGTCCGCATCGGATGAGGACAACGAGCCCTCGCCGCCTCGTCTTCGAGGCTCGATGTCGCTGTTGTTGCAGCAGCGGTCGCGTGAGCTCGTGTCGCTCGCGCGGTCACGCGCCCTCAGTGCGCGCCAGCGAGCGGACGCGACCTTTGGCGTGCTGCACCTTCTGCTCGCCAGCGCGCTCATCGTCCTCTCTGTCGGGTTGGCCGGCTGCAGCCTCTCCCACGGTTGCTCGGCCGACCCTGTCGGGCTGCCGGGTGGCCCGCTCTTCTCGCTTCTGGCTGTCCTGTCGAGTTCTCGAGTCGGTGCGGCGGCGGTGGAGGCGGCGGGCCGCGGCGTCCCGGGCCTCTGCGGATCACTGTTGGCCTGCTGCGCGCTGGTCAACATCGACGGGGCGCTCGACACCTCGGACGAGCTCTTCCGCCTCGTCGCGGGCGTCGCAAAGGCGGCGGCGCTGTCCACCATTATGCTGCGCGCGGGTCTCGGCCTCGACTTCGGAGTGCTCCGCTCCAACCCGCGCTTCGTCGCCACCCTCGCGGCCGTCCCCTGCTTTGCGGAGGCTTGCACGGTCGCCGTCGCCTCGCGGTGGGCCCTCCCGTTCCTGTCGAGCGGCTGGTCGCTCCTGCTCGGCTTCCTGCTCGCCGACGTGAGCCCAGCAGTGACGACGCCGCTCTTGCTCGACCTGCAGGCGCGGGTGGCGACCCATTGGTTGACCTGCAGACGCGGGCTCGGCTGGCCCTAGCCCCTCACCCCAGCCCTATCCCAACCCAATATGCAAACCTTGGCCCCATCCAACCCCAACCCTGCTTGACAACATGCTTGACCTGCAGGCGCGCGGGCTGGGCGCCGAGCGCGGCATACCGAGCCTCTTGCTCGCCGCGGCAAACCTCAACTCGGTCCCGCCGTTCGGGCGTCGTCTTTCCTTCCCCGTGTGCTAGCTCAGCTGAGCTCGTGCGTTCTGGCTAGGTCCTCGCGATCGTCGGCTACGGAGTCGTCTTCGGAGGCGTCTTCTCAGGCGGGGGCAGGCCGGCGTGGCAGACGGTCGGCTTGGGCGGGCTCGAGCTGCTCTGCGGCGCGGGGGCCGGCTGGCTGGGCGCGGCGGCTTGCCTCTCGGTGTGGCGCACCGCGAGGGACGGGGCGGACCGGCACGGCCTCTTGGTTGGCGGGGCGACGGTCCTCCTCCTCGCGAGCCAGCGGGTGGACATGGCGGGCGGCGGCTGCCTCGCGGTGACAGAGGCCAAATGGCTCTCGCCTCATTGTCGCAGGCTCTCATCTGAGTCGCCACCCGGTGACAGGTGATGGTGATGGGGCTGACGCTGCGCGAGGGCGTGCTCTCCCGGATGCCGGCGGAGGCGGGCAGCGTCGCCGAGGCGGATTGCGTGCTGCGAGCCGGCTGGGCCTCCTTCGGAGCTCCCGTAATCTTTGGCCTCCTCGGCGCGAGCATGGACGCGTCTCTGCTGAGTGCGCCCCTCGTCGCCGGGTCCTTCGTCGTCATCGTCTGCGGCCTCGCCGGCCGGGCGGTCGCCTGCTGGCTGTGCGTCCGCTCTCACGGCTGGAGCGCCGCCGAGCAGCTCTTCGGGGTGGTGACGTGGTGCCCCAAGGCCACCGTCCAGGCGAGAGAGCCGCAAGGCGCCGTCAAAGATCGGTTGCCTCTTCACACAGCTCCGCAACCTCTGTGGACAGGCGGCGCTGAGCAGCGTCGCTCTCGACTACGTCGCGGAGCACTTGGCGGGCCTACCCGAGTACGGCGCGGAGATGGAGAGGGCGGAGGCGCTCCTCACGTGCGCCGTGCTCTCCATCATGGTGACGGCTCCGCTCTTCGCGGCCGTCATCGCAAAGGTCGGGCAGTGGGTGCTCGACGGGGAGCGGCATCAGCTGGAGCTTCTGCAGGCCGAGGCGGCGGCCGGCGGCCGGGGTCGCGGGCTGCAAGTCGCGTCGGGAGAGGAGGGCCAGGAGGGGGAGGGAGAGGAGCGGCCGGCGGCGCGCCTGCATGGGGCGGGCGGGCGAGTCCGGGGCGTCTACATTTAGCTACTGGTATGCTGTCCGAGCGAGCGAGAGCGAGTACGTGCACACAACTCTGATCCGTTTTTGAATATGTTGTCGTACACGGTGACCTACACGTGCGCAATACCAATAGCAAGGGGCCAGAAGCCTCTTCCTAAAATGTAAAAAAATGGAGCGGTAATAGGAGGTAGGAGGAACTTCGATGGCGCCAGCGCCTGCTGTTAAGTGGGGAGCAGACGGCTTCAGATGAAGGCCCCCAGCAGGTGTTTTGAGAGAGAGGGATATCAATTCTTCCCTACAAAGAGGCCAACGGAACCGGATTCTCAACCTAAAAAACGGAAGAGAGAAAAACAAAACAAAACATCTCTCTCTCTGAGAAAAACGGACATCCCAAGCGAGCGGTGGGAGAAGGACAGGGTCCCCACCTGCACGAGCAGGATCTTGCGAGGACGACTTCGGGGACAACGAGCGAGGATAGGATGATGGCGCAGCGCTCGGTCGAGCTGCCGACGACGTCCTGCATCAGCTTTCGCATGGCGGCGCGCGGGAGCTTCGAGCGCTTGTACTGCTCGAAGCGCTCGAGCTGCTCCTCGGATGCGACCCTCGCAAACTCAAAGTAGATCTGACTCGCTGCGCAGCGGGGGAGAGCGCGGTGGGCGCGCTGCCTCGGTCGCGAACGCGGGGCGCGCGGGCACGCCTCATGCGAGTGCTGTCGGCGCCCCTCCGCCGCTCGAGCCGCTCCATGAGATCGTCGTCCTCCTCGTCCTCCCGCCGCTCGCGCTCCGCGTCCACGTCGGGCGCCGCCGCGTGCGCGCGTTCACTCATGTTCATGTATGCGACCACAGCCTTGTTATGAGAAGAATCTTACAAGCCAACTCCCTCATATGAGAAGAAAATACCTCTCGGGCGCTGTGCGCTGGTCTGTGAGAGGTTGAGGTGCGAGCCCTGGAGGCCCTGGGGATGGGGGCAGACTACCCGCGGGCCTAGAAGGCCCGCGCGCAGGGGGGTGGGACATTGAGACCTACACACACGTTTCCTCCCTCGCCACCTCCCACCCCTTCCACCCCACCATCGCCCCCGCCACCCGCCCCAAGAGAGAGTCGTGATTTCTTGTTGGTTAATAAAAATCTCTCTCCCGCCCCACCGCCTCCTTCACCGCCTCGCCCCGGTCCATCCACCCTTTCCAAACCCGCCGCCGGCCGCCCTCGCCGCCCCCGCCGAGCCGCCGTCTCCACCGCCGTCCACCGCCTCCCTCCCCTCCCCCTCCCTCGCTCTGGGGGGAGGCGGGGGCCCCCGGAGGCACCGTGCGCCGTGCAGCAGTGCGGAAACGGGGCTCCGGCGCTCAGAGTCGCTCAGAGCACCGACTTCCCGATTAAGCTAGGACCTAGGTTAATCAGAGGGCAGATTTGGAGAGATCTCGAGGAGTACATACAGAGACAGACCCTCCAATCATGAGAAAACTCTAACCTGATCGGTCGTACTGACGTCTGACCGCCGACAGATCACTCCAGACAGCAGACAGGCCGACGTCTGCACGCGGCCGGCCAGGCGAGAGGCTTGACACGATCCGACCCTGCGACCCTGACGCTGCTGCTCTAGCTATCAGACATGCGCTGCTGACTGCTGCCACAATGTGCGACCGGTGCTGGCCCACTTGGCGGCCTTCCCGGTCAGTGGTGAGGCGCAGTTCAGAGCTGTCGATGGCGCGATGCCGCACTGGTCCCACATTGGTGACACGAGAGCAGACCACCACGTTTGCCGGTCCAAGAGAGAGGCACCGGCGCTGTCCTGAGAAGGTGCGTGGTCCTCTTGACTGCCCATGCGCGCGAGGCTGTGTAGGCATAGCCTCGAGAGTGCCAGCAGCCAATCCGAGGCAGTTTGTGACGCGCATTGCGTCACAGAAGCGTGCACGCGCTGGAAGGACACCTTCCTAGGAATTCCTACTGGCCGCACGATCAGGTCGTCACTGAATGCTGAATACTAAGGCCGTGAGCTATGCAGGTGGTCAATTGTGCAGCAGGGCACGGTCAGCAGCGCCGACAGGCTGTCGCAAGGGCGTGATAGCATGGCCGCAAGTACGGCGAATTCCCATGAAAACAAGTGAAAAATCGCGCAAACAAAGACCCCCCCCCCCCCAAAAAAATCGGCGCCTGCGGCGGGCTGGGGGACCCCATCTCCCCCCCGCATGGGTACCCCCTAGTGGCCCCGCCTCCCCCCAGAGCTCCCTCGCCACCATATATGTTAAAAAGTAATATAGTAACACGCAAACAAAAGTGTTCGCTGCGCGACAACGGGAGTCACAGCCCTGCTCGTCACACCAATGCGCAATCAGCTGATTGCGCCTTGCCTTCCTGCCCCACAGGTGCCTTGCCAATCCGTGCTAGGAACCTCTCCGAGCTCGCGGAACAATGTGGCAGCCAGGGCCTGCACCACCCCCGCCTGCCGTTGTGCTCCCCGAAGCGCAGGGCGTGCTTGCCGGCGCCGCCGGCTTCGTGTCCCGCGACATGAGCGACCCGCCCTGCATCAGCATTGTGCCGGCGGTCGTCGGGGACGTCGCACGGGCGCCTGCCAGGGCTGCACAGCTCTGGCTGTGCAGCTCCCTGATGGCCGGCGGCAAATGCCCGCATTTCTGCACAAGCGTCCGCCAAAACAACATCATCGAGCCCTTCGCCCTCTTCGTCACTAGCTGCTACAACAAAACCGACCTGTACCAGTCCGCAGTCGACGGGATGGCGGGGCACGTTGAGAGCACGGTGCACCCCCTCCCCCGCCCGCCCTCCCCCCTCTCCATGCAACACACCCCGCCCCGCGCTGCTCACCTGCCCGTGCCTCGGTACGGCCAGATGCACCAGTTCGTCGACCACGTTGAGAACTCCAACTACATGCCCGCGTTTCGTGCGGTGGCCCGGCAGATTGGGAAGGCCGGCGGCAGCGTCGTGGCCGCCCTGGCGATGGAGCCCCTCCAGAAGCTCCTCACGGGCGCCGTCTACACCTTCAACGCGTCGAAGACCTACGAGGCCGCCTACGTGCGCAAGTCCTACAACCTCACCAAAAACAGCAACAAGGCGTACGAGGTGGTCTTTAAGAACAGCGCGGGCGCGGAGGTCTCCCGCCTTCTTGTCTGCGTGCCGTATGAGGTTCGCAGATCCAACCGCGAAATGCGACACTGCACAAACACCTCCCTTTTAACCCACATCCCACTCCTCTGCGCGCAGTTCGGCTGCTTGATCTCCAACAACGCCTGCCTTGCGGCTTACAACCGCGAAGGCGTCTCCGAGATTTTCGCAAGCTACCTCTGGGCGGAGGTATACGACGGGAAGGACAGCCGCCCGGACGGCGTTTAGCAGGCCAGAACCGGTGCGCGTCGGATAGGGCCGCAGCGCGCCGGGCGGCCCGCGGCGCCCGCGCGGGTGGGAGAGGCCAATGTGTCGTTTCATCACACGGGGCACTCCCCCCCCCTCTCCTCCTTCCCCCCGAGTACGAGTTTAGTGTTGCATGTCTGTCTCTTTACCCCAGTGAAAATTCTTTTTCCATGCGCAGGAAGTAGCATGGTCAGTTTTGAAAATGCACCGCTCTACCTGCACCTCGCGCGCACGCGGAACACCCGAGACGCGGCGATCGTGCGCGTACATCTCTACGAGTGGTTCCGGCTCGGGCCCGCCGAGGTGATCAAGGCACCTCGCGAGCACCTGTGCAGAACGTACAGCTCCTTCAACGAGGCGGCTGCCTTGGTCAGCCGCGAGCTGTACGGCGAGCTCCTCGTCTTTTGGGAGGCGTGGGAGATCTACGTCCGCTTGGGTCCCGTCCAGCGCGAGCACCTCGGCACGCTCGAGTGCCGCGTCTTCGTCCACTCCCGCAAGGCGCTCTACACCCGGGCGTCGCCACGGCTCGCGGCGCACGCTGTCGTGCCTCTCCCAGAGGAGGACGGCACGGGCGAGTGGGTCCAGATCGGGCTGCTGCGGCCGTTTGTGCCTCCCGGGATCGTCATCTCGCGCGCTGAGGTCGAGGCCAAGGTCGAGGAACTCATCTCGGAGGGGCGGCACAACATGTCGCGCAACAGCGGGGGCGCGCGAGGCCGCAGGCATAAGGGGGTGCACCGGCCCGATCAGCAAGCGGAGGGCGGATGCCCGGACGGGCACGCCGCACCCGCTTCGCGCCTCGGCGGCGAACGTGCGCCTGCGGCGGACGAGCGCGGCGCCTCGTCGGAGCTGGCCGTGCTCGACAGGGTGGCCGTCGCGGAGGAGCGGCGGTGCGGCGCCCTCGCGCGCAGCGGGGAGGCGATGCTGCACGACTCCACCGCTCCAGATCGTTCGCGGACGCCTCCTAGACAGTATTCCTGGGCGCCTCGTAGGAGATGCCGCGCGACCTCGCCGGGCCGGGCGCGCGGGAGGCGCAGCTCGAGCGGCGGCTGCAGCCGCTCGGGGAGGCCCTCTCGGCCCTCGCTCGAGCGACCCAGCTCGATGATCTCGGCGCTTCGTGCCCGCTGCCGCCGACGGAATGCTCGGGTGTCGGGGCGGCAGCGCCAGCGCCAGCGGCGGCGGAGGAGCCGCAGCCCGTCGTCGGCGCCTCGATTGCGTGGGCGGCAGCGTCCCGGCTCCGACCACCACGGGCTCACAGACAAATGCCAGCAGTTTCGCCGGGGTGCAAGTTTGTCTTCCGATGCGCGCAGTGCAACACCATGCTCGCGCTCGCGCTGCCTGCTTCCTACGTCGGGAACACGGTCTCCCCACCCCCCCAACCCCGCC